GCCAGTGCCAGCTCTGACTTTCTAAGCTCCGGCTGGAGTTAACTCCTTGGCTTCTGATACCAAGGAGGTAATTTTATTTGAAGACTAAGATTTGGAGCAGAGAGACATAAAGCTAACACAACATTAGTCCACAGCCCTCACTTGTCCCATGGACTATTTAGAAGTGTGTTGTTTGGTTTCCAAATATTTGAAGACTTTTCTGGATTTCTTTTTGTTACTAACTTCTAATTTAATTCCACTGTGGTCAGAGAACACACTCTGTATGAGATACATATTTTAAAATTTATTGAGACCTATTTTATGACTCAAGATATGGTCTATCTTGGGAAAATTCCATGTACACTACAAATTAAAGTGCACTCTGATGTTGATTACAGAGTATTCCATAAATCTCAATTAGGTAAAGTTGATATGATGTTCAAGTCTTTTATATCCTTACTGAGTTTTTCTACTCAATCTATCAGTAATCAAGAGGGGGTATTGAGATTTCCAACTATAATTGTGGATTTGGCTATTTCTCCTTTGAATTTTATTAGCTTTTGCTTTGTGTATTTAGAAATTTTGGGGCCAGGCATGGTGGCTCACGCCTATAATCCCAGCACTCTGGGAGGCCGAGGTGGGTGGATCACGAGGTCAAGAGATCAAGACCATCCTGGTCAACGAGGTGAAACCCCGTCTCTACTAAAAATACAAAAATTAGCTGGGCATGGTGGTGCATGCCTGTAATCCCAGCTATTCAGGAGGCTGAGGCAGGAGAATTGCTTGAACCCAGAAGGCGGAGGTTGCGGTGAGCCGAGATTGTGCCATTGCACTCCAGCCTGGGTAACAACAGCGAAACTCCATCTCAAAAAAAAAAAAAAGAAACTTTGTTATTAGGTGCATAACTATGATTATGTCCTCTTGATGAATTAACTACTTTATCACTATGCAATGATCCTCCTTATCATTAGTAATCATCTTTGCTCTGAAATTTACTTTGTCTAACATTGATATAGAAACCCTGTCTTTAAATTAGCATTTGCAAATATCTATCTTCCATCCTTTTACTATTAACCTATTTATGTCTTTATATTTAAAGTGGGTTTCTACTAGACAGCATATACAGAGGGCTTTTAAAAAAGAATCTAATTTGGTAACCTCTGCCTTACTTAATTTGTGTTTTAGATCATTTACTTTTAATGTGTTTATTTATATGACTGGGTTTAAATCTACTCTCTGGCTATTTGTTTTCTATTTGTACCTTCTATCACTTATTTCTCATTCTTTTCTTTCCTTTCTTGGATTATTTGAGCATTTTTAATGGTACATTTTATCTCTTTACATTGTTTGCTAAATAGAACTCTCTTGTTTTTCTAGTGATTGCTCTAGGATTTGTAGTATATATCTTTAGCTTATCACAGACTTTATACATTATATAACTGTATATTGTATAAAAATCTTGCAAAAACATACTTTCATTTCATACATCTAAATTCTACATGTTGTAAACTCCACAATGCATTCTTATTGGTTTTGTGTTAAACAGTCTTTTAAACAGATTTGAGAAAAATAAGAAAAAGTATTTTATATTTGCCTGCATATTTACTATTTTTGCTACTTACTTTGGTATGTCTGTAAAGTCTATTTCACTTCATTTTTGAAGTGCTTTTTTGCTAGATAGAGAACTCTAGATGAACATTTTTTTCTCTTAATTTTTAAAAGAGGTCACTCCACTGACTTTTGACTTACATTGTTTCTGAGGAAAAGCCTGCTGTCATTCTTGTTTCATTCCTTTATATGTATTATCCATCACTGCCTTTGCAGCCTCCCCTTCACTCCCCATGCACCTAACTAGCTTTAAGATTTTCTCTTCATCACTGATTTTCAGCAATTTGATTATGATGTGTCTTAGTGTGATTTTTCTTATTTTTCTTTTGCTTCATAATCATTGAGCATTTGGATCTGTGAGTTAAGAGATTTTATCAAGTTTGGAAAAATCTCAAACATCATTCTCTTAAATATTTTTTTCCTATATCCCCACCTCTTTACTGTTATTCTGTGGTTCCAGTCGTTCTCGAAACAAATATTTTAGGCTGCTTGATGTTTTATTAATGCACTGTTCATGTTTTTCCTCTGTTTCATTTTGGATAAGTTCTATTGCTCTGTCATCAAGTTCACTTGTCTTTTCATCTACCCTATCTAGTCTGCTGTTAATCCCATGTAGATAATGAGGCTTTTAAAATCTTTACAAGTTCTATTTGAGTCTTAAATTTCTTCCATTTCTCTTCTCATTGGGTTTATGCTTTATTCTATCTTCTTGAGCATCTGGAGTAAATTTATTGTAGCAAATTTAATAATTTTATATACTAATTCTATCCACTGTGTTATTTCTGGGTCTATTTCTACTAATTTTTTCATTATTGTTCATATTTTCCTGCTTCTTTGTATACCTGGATGTTTTTGTTTTGATGCCACACATTGTCAATTTTCCATTGTTGAGTCCTGGGGTTTTTGCTTTTTTTTTTTGAGATGGAGTTTCGCTCTTGTTACCCAGACTGGAGTGCAATGGCAGTTGCTGTCCTCATTGTTGCTGTCCGCTCACAGCAACCTCCGCCTCCTGGGTTCAGGCAATTCTCCTGCCTCCGCCTCCTGAGTAGCTGCGATTACAGGCATGCGCCACCATGCCCAGCTAATTTTTTGTATTTTTAATAGAGACGGGGTTTCACCACGTTGACCAGGATGGTCTCGATCTCTTGACCTTGTGATCCACCTGCCTCGGCCTCCCAAAGTGCTGGGATTACAGGCGTGAGCTACCGTGCTTGGCCCGAGTGCTAGGGTTTTTATTCCTTAATGTTTTTGTCTTTTGTTCTGGGATGCTGTTAAGTTTCTTGGAAACAGTATGATTCTTCCAAAGCTTTTAAAAAACCTTTATTGGTGGATGCATAACAGCCTTTCATCTAGGACTATTCTGACCCCACTACTAAGGCGATACTCTTCTGATCAGCCTACTTGATGCCTCATGGGTAAGGTCTTCCACTATGGCTCATCTAGCTTGAACTGAGCTTTGGGTTTTTTTCTGCCTGCTTCTTTTCAGGGGTTCTTTCCTCATTTTTAGTAGTTTCCTCACGGGATATGCTAATCAGCACTCAAAGAATCAAAGAAGACCCACTTCACATCTCTGGAGGTCTCTGTCCAGCTCTCTTCTCCCTGGTCATCTTCCCTGTGAATTCTAATCACCTTGGACTCTTCAAACTCTGATCTCTGTCCCCTCAACTCAGGGAGACCACTCAGTTCTTCTGGGACTTCCCCTCCCTGTGCTGTGGCCTGGAAACTCACCCAAGGCAGAAGACAGAGCACTGTGGGCCTCACTTATCTCCTTCCCTCCTTTCAGGGATGACGGTGGTACCCTATTTCCCCATATCTAAAAATTGTTGTTTCGTAATTTTTGTTCACTTGTTGCTGTTGTTGTTTAGCCACAGGGTAAATCTGGTCCTATTACTCCATCAGGGCTGGAGGTGGAGGTCCTCTACATCCCTCCTGCGAAATACGAACAGGAACTATATGAACTGCAACAGAATGCTATGTGTTTAGAAGTTGAATATGATACTGAGGAAAAGAGTACCCATTCCAGAGCAAAAAAAAAAAAAGAAAGAAGTTTCATATGAAAAAAGAACCACTGAGACCTCATACATGGCTAAATCTCTTTTTATCCTATTTAGGCAAAAGATATTATGACAAAAAGAGAAGAATTTAAAATCCTAGATTTCAAAGGAGCATAAGATGTTCTAATCATCCAGTCCATCTCTATCCTTTTGTATATGAGGAAATGAAATCTCAGAGGTGTTAAGGAATTGTCATGTTAGTATTGGTCAGAGCTGAGATCAGAACCCTAGTCCCCCAACAGACAAGCCACCAAACCATGTTATTTCCATTCTGTCCATAAATGATAGTGACCATTTGTCAAGTAACATTAAGTACAACAGGTCCACATTTCGTAAGCATGATCCTAAACTTCCCGACAACCCTAGTAGTATCAGGGTACACACTACCATTGTCACCATTTACAGATAAATCACCTGAATCTCAGAGAGTCTGAACGATTTGTCTAAGACAACTGTCCTTAAAATATGATCCCTGAAACTCTCCTATGGGAGAGCCAAACTATTTTTACAATAATACTAAGATGTTATTTGCCTTGTTTACCACGTTGACACTCGTACTAAAGGTATAAAAGCAAAGGTGGGTAGAACCACTTGCACCTTGGCATGAACCAGAGCAGTGGCGCCAAACTACCTTCAAAGCTCTTGTCTTTTTCGCCATCATGAACTTGCGGGGCTTGTAAAAAGCCAGTTTGACTTAAAAATATTCTTAATGTAACAGTATGTTATTAATTGTATTAATTATTGACACCTAAGTAGATGTCATTTTATTGTTCAGTGGGACAAAATGGGAAACACACGTGAAGCACTTCTGCTGCCTCAAAGAAGAGCATTTCCGTAAGTGTTTGCGTTTCAGGCTGACCTTGACACTTTTTGTGGGACATCCTTTTTATTTGAAATAATTACTGATAAACTATGGTTCATCATATGCAGTTATACGGCAAACGTTTTCCCAGAAATGAAGAAAATGAATCTATTTCTTCAAAGAAAACACCTGACAATATTTGTTGTCAATGATAAGATGAGCGTTTGTGAGGGGAATGGAATTTTGTAAAACTTATATTTTTCACTATGAGCTTGCCAGCTTTTCAATACTTCAAGACTCTCCTGATGACATTGGTGAAGACACTGATAAAATGATTTCATGGTATTGTACAATAAAATGCATCAACATTTGGAATATCTGCTGAACTCTCTGAATAAATATTTTCAAGATAAGCAATACCTGATACCACAAAATCATATATTAGTAAAAGTATCCATTCAAAGTACAAAATCAACCAATGCATTTTAATGTAATAGGATTTGAAGAATGTTCACTGATATGCTTTCAGATCCCACATTGCAATTAACTTTTTTTTTTTTTTTTTTTTTGAGACGGAGTTTTGCTCTTGTTACCCAGGCTGGAGTGCAATGGCGTGATCTCAGCTCACCGCAACCTCTGCCTCCTGGGTTCAGGCAATTCTCCTGCCTCAGCCTCCTGAGTAGCTGGGATTACAGGCACGCGCCACCATGCCCAGCTAATTTTTTGTATTTTTAGTAGAGACGGGGTTTCACCATGTTGACCAGGATGGTCTCGATCTCCTGACCTCGTGATCCACCCGCCTCGTCCTCCCAATGTGCTGGGATTACAGGTTTGAGCCACCGTGCTCGGCCACAATTAACTTTTAAGAAATTGCCATCTGCCTTTGTAGAATCAAAAAATATCCCAAGATTACCTGAAAACCCTATTAAAATACTTCCTGTATTCCAACTGCAGATCTGTGTGAGACTGAGTTTTTCTCAAGTACATCAACCAACACAACACACTGTAACAGAGTGGATGTAGAAACTGACATGAGAGTCCAACTGTATTCTATTAAGCCAGGGAGTAAAGAAATTTGCAAAAGTGGAAAACAGTGTTACTCTTCTCAGTACATTTATTTATTTATTGGGAAAATAGCTTTTTACATAACAATGTGTTATTTTTAATAACACATTTAGCGTTACTTCTAAAAAAGTAAATAATCACTTACATTTTCTCCTATTTAATTTTGAATACCGTCAATATCAACAGCTATAACCCACACAAACAAACGCTCCTTAGGGTCCTTTAAAAGTGAAGGGTGCTGAGATGAAAACATCTAGGAAGTGCTGGTTTTGAATGACACATCTGAGCAGTGCTGAAGCCGGGTCTGTGTTCCTCTGGCTGCCAAACCCATTTTGCTTCCATGACACAATGTTGCCTCCTTCCCCAAAGTCTTATCAGCATTAAAACGAAAAACAGAATTGGGTCCCTAAAAGCTTTATTTTGCAATGTTTTCCATAATACTTAAGTTTTTCAACGTTTAGATATTTTTCTTCATTGAAAGATGAATTTCTTTTTATGGCTTATTTTATATCTTACAATGTTGTTTTCTAAAATATTTAAGTTTTTTGATGTTTAGATTTTTTTTATTTTTTATTTTTGAGATGTAGTCTGGCTCTGTCGCTCAGGTTGAAGTGCAGTGGCACGATCCTGGCTCACTGCAACCTTCGCCTCCCAGGTTCAAGCGAGTCTCCTGCCTCAGCCTACCGAGTAGTTAGGGCTACAGAGGCGTGCCACCACACCCATTTTTAGTAGAGACGGGGTTTCACCGTGTTAGCCAGGATGGTCTCAATCTCCTGGCCTCATAATTTGCCCAACTCAGCTTCCGAAAGTACTCGAATTACAGGCATGAACCACTGCGCCCAGCCTGATGTTTGATATTTTTGAGGAAGCAAAAGTTTTTTGTCCTAATACTTTAGAACTCCATTAGGTATTGAAGATGACTATTTTTTGGCTATAAAATAAAATGCAGTAAACATACTAGTTTTATATTGCATACAAAGTCCAAATAGTTGGGAAATGTCCTCTATTAGATTTTACAAAACAGAAAAAATTCTGAGCCAGGCACGATGTCTTATGCCTGTAATCCCAGTGCTTTGAGAGACTAAGGTAGGAGAACCACTTGAGGCCAGGAGTTTGAGACCAGTGTGGGCAACAGAGCAAGACACCATCTCCACAAACAATTAAAAAATTACCCAGGTGTGGTGGCCTGTACCCGTAGTCCCAACTACTCTGGAGGCTGAGGCTGGAGGATCACTTGAGCCCAGGAGTTCGAGGCTGCAGTGAGCTATGACGGTGCCACTGCACTCCAGCCTAGGCCACAGAGGTAGACCCTGCCTCTTAAGAACAAAAACGTATGGCCAGGCACAGTGACTCAAGCCTGTAATCCCAGCACTTTGGGAGGCTGAGGTGGGCAGATCACTGGTGGTCAGGAGGTCAAGACTAGCCTGGCAAACATGGTGAAATCCCATTTCTACTAAAAATACAAAAAATTAGCTGGTGTGGTGGTGGGCACCTGTAATCCCAGCTACTCGGGAGGCTGAGGCAGGAGAATTGCTTGAACTCGGGAGGTGGAGGTTGCAGTGAGCCAAGATCACACCATTGCACTTCAGCCTGGGTAACAGAGTGAGACTCCAACTCAAAAAAAAAAACAAAGAACAAAAAAAAAGTAATTCTGATTCTCTGGCTCTGAGCTGATTTTTCATCCGTTGGGACTAAGCCCTGGGAATTACACTGACGTTCTGGGGGGGCCAGCCTTGCGGGGGGATGCCCTTAGGAGGAACTCTTGCATGCCCTTCCTCAGCCGGGCATTCTCCGCGGCCTCCCTCAGGCTTCTGTGCAGCTTCTCCATCTCCTTGTATTCACTCCCGACATCTACAGGAGAGCAGAAAGTGCACATCAGGACTTGACGTCCTTTGCAGAAACATCTCCAGAAAGCAAATCCCCCAACAATCCCGTCACTTGTCCCAGAATATGAGATCTGGAGTGGCGCTTACAGATCAGACATCAAAGCAGGTACTCCTCCTCTTACCAGAATGCTGTCTCAGCATGGGAGTCACCCTCAAAAGAAACACAAAACTACCCATAAGAAAACCCTGAGAAGTCACTGGGTCTGGATTAAGCCTTCACAGGCATGTAATAAATACACAAAGCACATTGCACAATAACACCTCCCCTAAGTCTCCTCCAGGTGGCTCCCCCTCTTACCCACCCATCCCTGTCCTCCCAGCACAACCATTCTCAGTGAATGTTCTCTCTTTGGCATCAGGGTTTCATCCCACAATCTGCAATCAAATTATGTTCTCACAATGGTTAGTTTTGTATCAACTCATCTAGGTCACAGGGCCCAGACACTGGGTTAAACGAGAGTCTGGATGCCTCTAGGAGGGTTTTTAGATGAGATTGACATTTAACTCAGTGGACCTCAAGTAAAGCAGATGGCCCTCTCCAGTGTGGATGGACATCAACCAGCCAGCTGAAGGCATGCATGCAGCCAAAGGCCAGCCTCCCCCAAGGAGGAAGGGATTCTCCAGTGACAGCCTGAGGCCTTCGTCTACAACATCGGCTCTTCCTGGATCTGCAGGGATGTCCTCTGGACTCTAACCGCCACTCTTTCTGGAGTCTCCATCCTGCTGGCCTCCCTGCATCAGACTGTGGGCTCACCAAACCTCCACCATCGTGTGAGCCAATTTCTTAAGATAAATCTCTTCCTCTGTCTATCCACACATGCTACTGGTTCTGTTTATCTGGAGGATGAGCCTGATGTGGTCCCCTTTAATGGGACACTTCAGACTGAGCGCCAGATGCCTTTCCAAACCCCCCTGGCTTTCTGTGCCCCAGAGTGTGACTCAGGCTGGTTGGCCCTGAGCCTGGCCAGGGATGGGACTCATGAACAGGAGGGGAGTTAGCATTCTGAGTCTTTTTGTCCTGTCTCATACCTGGAAGGCCTCCCTTCTCTCTGCTGCCTCTGAAATCAACCTAACCTTCGAGGCTTCCCCTCGGACCCAGCTTCAGTGAAGCTTCCCACGTCCCAGCCCTGAATAACCACTGTCTCCTGAACTTCAAGAATGACGATCTGAAGTCTGAGTGGGTGCCCTCCTTCGGGGCCTTGCTTAAGCGTCCCATTCCCAGGGAGATCTCCCTTGACCACCCTGTCCCCTACCCCAGCATCCCTTCTCCTGTGACTCTGCTTCACTTCCCTGCCACATATTTCACTTACTAGTTTTCTTACTGCCTGCCTTCCTCCCACTGGGCTGTGAGCTCCATGAAGGCAGGGGCTCTTGCCTGTATTGGTCACCACTGTGTCCTCAGCACCCAGGAGGTGACAGAATCGCTCGCTGAGTGAATGCAAACTCCCCAGTCTCAAAATGCACATTCTTACACATCTTGTCTTACCAACCAGGTAAGGCCCTATCAACAGGGACTGCCTTTTAGATTTCTTTATGACCTGGGCACCTGCCACAGCCACCCTGATGGGAGGTACATTCTTTGTCGATGATGAAGAGAAGGAAATAGGCTTAAATTACAGCAGGTGCAATTGACATGAAACTGAGGGAAACACGATCTGTCTGTGAGACCTGGTCAAGAGCTCTGGCAAGCAGGAGTTCTTTAAAGGCACACAGTGGAATGACTACCATCTTAAAACTTAGATTCCTTTAAAGGCCTTGAAAGAAGGTCGTGAGAATCCAATACATTATAGTGTGAGGGTGTTGAATCTCCTCCCCTGGAGTTCATTAGGTGAAGGTAAGAGGTCCATCTAACCAGCCATAAATGGGGCAGAAAGATTCCCAGAGAGATGGAGAAGTGCAGAATGATGTTTAGAAGCAGCAATTGCGGCTTTGACTTTGGGAATAGCTCTGTCTACGTTCACCCTGGCAAACTCAGCAGCATCAAATCTATTCATTTCAGCAGGCAACTATAGATGTGGAATAAAGGATAAAAGGCACAGCTGGGTGCAGCGGCTCATGCCTGTAATCCCAGCACTTTGGGAGGCAGAGATGGGCAGATCACCCAAGGTTAGGAGTTCGAGACCAGCCTGACTAACATAGAGAAACCCTTTCTCTACTAAAAATACAAAATTAGCTGGGCATGGTGGCGCATGTCTGTAATCCCAGCTACTCGGGGAGGCTAAGGCAGGGGAATTGCTTGAACACAAGAGACGGAGGTTGTGGTGAGCTGAGATAGCGCCATTGCACTCTAGCCTGGCCAACAAGAGCCAAACTCTGTCTCAAAAAATTATACATATATAAAAGTCACAAAATATACAGGGGCAGAGCAAGTTTCCTCCCCTCCCCTCCAGCCTTCCAGTTCCCCTCCTTAGAGGCAACCAGTACTACCAGTGTTCTGTGTATCCCATGCAGCTTTTTATGCACATACAAACATATACATACGTATTTCCTTCTTTCCCCTCTGACAAATGGGAACATACCATACACATTTACTCACTTTGTAATATATTTTAGAGATCATTTCACACCATTACTTATAAAGCTGCTTTATTTTTCTAACAGTTGCTTAGCCTTCCGCTGGTTGTGTCTCTAATTTAATTTAAGCAGTGCTTTACTTACAGATATTTGAGTTGTCCCAATTTTGGACGTTAGAAACAATGCTACTCTGAATAATGGTGTCTACATGCCATTCTCCCCACATGTGAGGATATCTGTATGGCAGTCTTAGAAGTAGGATGGCTGCACCAAATGACATGTGCATTTTAAATTTGGCTAGAAATTACCCAGTTGCTTTTTGTACCAGTTTACACTCTCCAGTTTATACCGGGGGCCTGGTGGAGCCCACGGCCTGAAAGCGACACGGCTGCCTACCCCAAGGTCCACAGCTGGTGCTGCATCCCCAGGCCCCAGTTGGCTTAAGAGAAGCCTTTCTCCACCATTGCCAGACAATGGAGATTTTCATAAGCAGGCATCAATTTCAAAGAAAGGCTTTATGGAGTCAGCAGGGCAGAGCTGTGGATTTAAATTAGCGGCTTTCCAGTTACAGGGCCTTCGACACATTTCCTAATGTGAGTCTCTATTTCTGCATCTGCAAAATGGAGCAATAACATCTATCCCGGGGAACTAATGTGAGAATTCAGTGAGACCATGAGCACAAGCCCGAGTATAATGCTTGCTCTCAGATGGGTGCTCAGCAAAGAGTGAGGCTGTCGTTTTCATCATCATCATCATCATCATCATCTCCACTCCTGGGCCTGATCATTCTTCCTAACCTAGTACCTTTAAATTCAGGAAGAAGCTGCCACAGCCAGGGCCATCTGCACAATCAGCCTGCATGCAAAGCTTTGGCATACTTACCTGCAAGCTCCTTGTAGAGGCCATCCCCGTGGGACGAGGCGAGGGCCAGCATGGTGGCAATGCTGCCCTTCACTTTCTCCACGATCCCAGCCTACATGACAAGAACATTCATTCTGTTAGGACGGTGCAGCCCAAGGGAAAGTGGATCTTATCAAAGGGACCCCACACAGTCCCCCAGCCACAGAAGGTACAGACTTTCGAGGACACCGAATGGCCCAGGAAGCAGCAAGACAACGTTTCTGTGGGTTCCTACCACCTGTACAGCATCGGCCTCCCCGCCTACAGACTCGTGCGGGGCTGAAGCTCTGGTGTCAGCTGATCAAATCAGAAGCTAATGGGGAAGCACAGAGGCATGGGGGAGAGAGGAGGGGCCATCACAGAGATGGAAAAAGAGGTAATGAGGTGGCCATTCTCCCACTGTCCTCTCCTCTATGCATCTGCTCACTGGGGAAATGTTTGCTGGACACCTGCTCTGTGCCCTCACCTTACGGTACATGTCTGATTCTTCCCAACTGCCTGAGAGGTGTCTTCTTGCTACTGCTAGTCCTTTTATCAACTGAAACCCCTTTCTTCCCTCTTCTGTTTCTTGCCTCCCTTTGAAAAAATGTCAGGCTCCTTCCTCTAGCCTGGCAGAGTCTAATTTGGAAGATGGATCTCCCGGGCTTTTTTGTTAACATTCTAGATTCCAGCATCTCAGCTCTAGCTGTGGGCCTGGAACTTGTAACTCAAGACCTCTAGGTTTCCACCTCCTCATCTCTAAGATCAGGGAATGAGAAATTCACAGCTTTTAAACCAGGAGAGGCAGTCACCTCACTCTATAGTGAGCAGCAAGCCACATTACAGATCAGTATATCAGAGACTAATCTGTATATTCAATGAAATGGTATTCTATTATTTAACTTATAGGACTATTGCAAAGAGGTAATTTTTTTAAAAACAGTAACTCTTCAGACATTACATATAAAAATAAATTTCATCTATTGTATAGAACTAAAATATCTTAAACAATAACTAAAGTGAACTGGCATTCTGTTTTTTTTTTTTTTTGAGATGGAGTCTGAGTCTTGCTCTGTCACCCAGCTGGAGTGCAATGGTGTGATCTCAGCTCACTGCAACTTCTGGCTCCCTAATTCAAGTGATTCTCCTGCCTCAGCCTCCTGAGTAGCTGGGATTACAGGCACATGCCACTACACCCGGTTAATTTTCGTATTTTTAGTAGAGACGAGGTTTCACCATGTTGGCCAGGATGTTCTCAATCTCCTGACCTTGTGATCCACCTGCCTCAGCCTCCCAAAGTGCTGGGATTACAGGCATGAGCCACAACGCCTAGCCAACTAGCATTCTTAAAACAAAACAAAAAAGATCACTCTGTGATCTCACCCAGTTTTAACTTCCTACGTTTCTGTAATTTAAGATACATCTGTAATTTAAATTCTATAATTTAAGATACACATTTTTTTTAGTGACATACACACTTTTTTTCAGTGCCATTGTTTCCCAGGAGTCTTAAGATCCAGTATGTATGTATTCAATGGGGAAACGGGAACCGGCTATGTGGAGTTCAGCCAATTTCTTGCCCATGAATTTGTAGACTGTGATAACATGTGAAGGATTGAAACTGAACTGCTGCTGGTAACAAGATGCCTCTTAGCCTACTCCAAGGGGAAAGGCATGCTTTGAATTGTAAAGAAAGATATTTTCCAAAGCTGCAGTCCTGGTAGAGGAGAGGCAATTGGGCAGAAACAGGTTGGAGATGATTCGAGAAGGCTGGTTCTGAGGTGGACTGAGATAACAATGGGCCAGCTTCCTTGAGGGCCTGGAGACAGGATCAGCCAGCCTGGGTTGAGGCAGAAAATACGGAGCCTTAGATGGCCACGGAGGGAGCCACAGTGGCATGGACTCCAAGATCTCTACTATTTAGGGGAAAGGGAGTGGCAAGCAATGAGGCCCAGAGCAGAGGTAAGGTGGTCCTAGTAGGCTTGGCAGAAGCATTTAGGTCCAAGGAAACCATCGGAAACTGTCTTCTAGGGTAGATAAAACTAAAGCTGAATGTGTGCTGGGTACTGTCACTGGCCTTGAGTACGGTATTGCTATTTACTTATCGACATTTTGCATAGACAAGACATTTCCCTCTTTAAACAATCTGTTTTGAGATCATGCTGCTGTTGGACCTGCTGGAGCCAGGCTCCCTGGTCCCGAATCCCGGCCATGCATCTCCCTGGCTGTGTGGCTGGTCGACACACCTCTCGCTGCTGGAATTTTCTTCTCTATAAAATGGGAACAATGCTAGTACCTGCCTCACAGACTTGCCGGGGATTAAACAAGCCAATGTCTGTAAATGCTGAGCACATGTCTAGCTACCACCGTCGCTGTGCCACTGGTGACTTAGGAGAGAGGAGGACGCAGGAGAGTGAGTGCTGGCAGAGCCGCAGCTCTCAAGTCGAAGCCCCAGAAAGTATCCATTCCATGTGGGTCCAAATGCCTACTACGTCTTCTATCTTCTGCGGCCGCTTCCCCTTCTCCCCCAGGGCCTCTCAGGGTCTAGGATCTGGGCTGTGGGCATAGAGTACCTTCAGCTGCTGAAACTGGTGCTGCATCCTTTCCTGGGCCCTTTCAAACATGCCCTCGGCCACCTGCCGGTCCACTCCTCTTCTGATGACATCTTTCATCCGTTCACACGCTTTTTTCCCCGTGATCTGAGCTGCCTCTGGCAAAAGTGATAGCCACAGTCACACCATGACTAGGACCTGCTTAGAAGTCTTTGGCATCATGGCCAGGCACGGTGGCTCACACCTGTAATCCCAGCACTTTGGGAGGCTGAGGCAGGCGGATGACCAGAGGTCAGGAGTTCGAGACCAGCCTGACCAACATGGTGAAACCCCATCTCTACTAAAAATACAAAAATCAGCTGGGCGTGGCACACACACCCATAATCTCAGCTACTTGGGAGGCTGAGGCATGAAAAATCACTTGAACTCGGGAGGCGGAGGTTGGAGTGAGCTGAGACTGCTGCCACTGCACTCCAGCCTGGGCGACAGAGCGAGGAAGACACCATCTCGAAAAAAGAAAAAAGAAAGAAATCTTTAGTATTAGAAAGAAAAACAAGCAAGCCAAGTAAACAAACAAACAACAACAAAGTATACACACACACACAAACACACATACACACACACATTGATATAAAAACATTTTCAATATTTAGATAATAACCAGCATTCAGAAAACCTAATGACTGAATTAGGCTGAAGCTTGCAAAATCCCTCCCTACCCCTCAAACAATGGAGCCACCAAAACAGGAAGAGTCTAAAAATGAGTTCACAGGTGAGTCCAAGTATTTGCAAATACTTGGAAACAAGAATAAGAGCTGGATGCTGCGTTCTACAGCTAAATCAGCTGGGATGTTGTAGGGTAAAAAGCAGGGTGTCCGGACCAAGGGTGGACAGAAAGAGCTGGAAAACACAGAGAAGGGTCTCCACACCTGCAGCCAAGTGGTTGCGATATGTGGACTGAGAGTACTGCAAAGACTTAGGGTGCCAGCTGGGCACAGTGGCTCACGCCTGTAATCCCAGCACTTTGGGAGGCCGAGGAGAGTGGATCACAAGGTCAGGAGTTCGAGACCAGCCTGGCCAGTATGGTGAAACCCCGTCTCTACTAAAAATACAAAAAATTATCCAGGCGTGGTGGTGCATGCCTGTAATCTCAGCTACTCAGCAGGCTGAGGCAGGAGAATCGCTTGGACACAGGAGGCGGAGGTTGCAGTGAGTGAGCCGAGATCACACCACTGAACTCCAACCTGGGAGACAGAATAAGACTTGATCTCAAAAAAAAAGACTTAGGGTGCAAGGAGACAAGGGGTTTGAGGGAGCCGCACAAAAGGATGCGAAAGGCGCTGACAGAAAGTCCCAGAACAGGCAGAAACGCTGCTCCCTGCTGCCCGCACCTTCATAACAGAGCTTCAGGTCACTCTGGATAGAGGCAGTGAGGGACTCATAGATCCTCCTCTTCCTTCTGAGGATGTGGTCCTCCAGGACCCCAAGGATGGCACTTATCTAGGAAGACATAGCAACAGAGGCCACTGGTGGCAATTCCTTCAACGGAAGCAGGTCAGGTGTCCCAGTGCCTGGCCACATTCCCTCCTGCTTATACAATGCCTGGCTATTTGCCTGTCATCTCTACAACTAGCTGAGAGCTACTCACAGGCAGGAGCTTTGTTCTAGGCATCTCTGTAACCCAAGCGCTTCCCATGGCACCCACAAACTACGCTGTAAGTATTTCCTGAGTTGAACTCAGGCACGGGCAAGGTCCTGGAATGGTCCCTCTCTGGGGGGCAGAGGAGATACAAGCTCTTTCCCTAGCACCGCCATGTAATTTGGGCTGGCACTGGAAGAAAGCGAGTCACAGACAAGAGTCTTGAGGCCTCAAAACTAAAAACTGACCTAAAATTCAACAACAACAAAAATGACTGACTTCTTTAAGCTTCACTGCTTTGGAGGCTACTTTGTAACTGGTGAAAACGGTAGGTTCGTGAACATGTTTCCAGTTGATGCAAAGTTTCATACAACTAAAAGCTTCTTTAAAGATTCTTCCTGGAAACTGAGCAAACCTTGGAAACTGAGCCAACTTTACAAACTCGGTGCGCGCTCTCGGTTGCTTCACAGTGGAACAAAGATCTCAAACCTCCTCCAAGGCAGTCTTAGGCCCACTGCTCTCCCCACATCCCATTGCGTTCTGTATTTCACAGCACCTCCTAGAGGCCCTCCCAGACCCCAGACACTCCAGGGAACAAGGAGGAACCCACCGGCAACCTACAAAACCGGCCTGGGAAGAAAGCCACTCCCAACCTCACTGCGCTCCTCACTGTATAAGGAACTTACCTCTTGGATCAGGAAAGTTTTTTTGCAGCTGTCATATTTCCAGCCACTTCTTATCCCAATTTCCATCATTTTCTCCTGCAGGGAGCACTTAAAAGCATCAAGGTGAGGCATCAGAGCCAAACCAGTGGGCTTCTCCATCCTACAGAAGAAAGTGACAAAGAAGCTTACGAGAATGGTGGCTGCTGTGAGACTGAAACAGACATGAAACTAGCTGTGTCCTTCTGTTCGTTTAAGAGAAGGAGGATGAGATCCAGCAATTATCAAATCCCTATAACGTGCCAGACACTGTGCTGTGCCAGGCCTTTGACATAAAAGCCTATGCAGTTCGTGAGATAATGCCCATTTAACAGGTGAGAAAACTGAGGTTCAGAGAGAATTTGCTGACGTGTCCAAAGTCAGAGAGTTAGTAAGAGGCAGAGCCAGGCTTGGAATACTGCTTTAACTGGAGAACTCACAGTCTTTCCACGGTCAACATGTGTCCATTGAAAGGGTAGAACTTGAACTCTCATACCTAAAAGTTGGGTAAGATCTGAGGAAATGGAAAGAAGAAGTTATTTCCCACGGGACAACGTGGGAAGCACTGTGGTTTCTGAACATCCCAGAAACAGGAAGTGAGAGGCTGCAGAGGAGAGAGCACAAGCTTTAAATCCCAGCTCACTGCTCATGAGTTGGGTGCCACTGGGAAAGCTCCACAATTTTCTGAACCTCAGTTTGTTCAGATGTAAAAAGACAGAAGCCACTGCTTGGAGTTACTGGGAACATCTGAGGAGCTAATGCATGCCAAGTGCTTAGCACTGGTGCCCGGGGCATGTAGCTACTCTCTGTGCCACCTGCTGGGTGGGCTACAGCAGAGGGCTGCTACCAGGCTGGGGCGTAGGCAGAGGTTGGAAAGGCAAGCTGGAGGCAGGTGGAATGTCTTGAATGCATTCTAAGGAATTTGAAGTTTAGCCCGCAGAATTGTAAACAGAGCGGGGGTACAATTGGTGGAATGACATAAACCAAGACGTGCTCAAAGAAAGGTGGAGCAAGGCCCAGCACGGTGGCTCACACCTGTAATCCCAGCACTTCGGCAGGCTGAGGCGGTCGGATCACGAGGTTAGGAGTTCTAGACCATCCTGGCCAGCATGGTAAAACCCCGTTTCTACTGAAAATACAAAAATTAGCCTGGTATTGTGGCAGGCACCTGGAATCCCAGCTACTCAGGAGGCTGAGGTAGGAGAATCGCTTGACCTGGGAGGCAGAGGTTGCAGTGAGCCGAGATTGCGCCACTGTACTCCAGCCTGGGCAACAGGAGACTCCATCTCAGAAACAAAAGAAAAAAAAAAAAAAAAAAAAGAAAGGTGGGGCAGGGATGGGGGCTCTGAGTAAGACACAAGCAAAGGCTGGAGAATGGTTCAAGCAGCCACCAGCTGGCAACCATGTGAAATGCCAGCAGGAAGGACAGAGAGGTCAAGGAAGGAGGGAAGGAGGGATCACCAAGGAGGTATACTCCCCAAACCCATGTCATGTACGTGAATGGGCAGCGTCAGAAACAGACAGTGTCTTCAGTGCATTCAGGGAACGCTCTGAGGTTGGGTGCGGTAGCTCATGCCAGTAATCTCAGCACTTTGGGAGGCTGAGGGGGGATGATCACTTAAGGCCAGGGTTTCAAGACTAGCCTGGTCAACATAGCAAGACCCTATCTCTATAAAAAATATGTACATATTTGTTAAAAGCTAGACAGGCATAATGGCATATTCCTGTGGTCCCAGCTACTTAGAAGGCTGAGGCAGGAGCCCTGTCTGAGCTCAGGAGTTGAGGCTGCAGTGAGCTAGGATTGTGTCATCACACTCCAGTCTGAGCAACAGAGCAAGACCCTGTCTCATTGTTTTAAAAAGGAAAGAAAGAAAGTTCTAAGGGGCATGTATGTTTGCTTAATTCCACTCTCTCCAATCAAAATAGCCTGTCCTCCGCTCAGATCCCTGCTGCATGTGTGAGATATCTGAAAAGCAATGGAAATCATAATATTAGTCTGAAGGCAGCATCTCAGTCTGTGTCCAGGTCATCATGGGAAATTTTTAAGTAAACCAGACCAAGAAGGCTTTTGTGTTTTGCCAAAGACTAAGCTTTCCTCCTCTAGTTACAAGCTACTCTTTAAACTTCCAGATCCAAATTTAAATTCTTAAAGACTCTGGCTCAGCGTTCTTCTGTTTCTTCCTAAAGGGGCAAGATGAAAGATTCTTTACCTAAAAATGCTTCCAAAAACAGGGTCGATCTGGTCATGGATGGGCTGAGCGAGGGCTTCGTTTAGATCAATTCTCGCCGAAGTCCTGGAGGCATAGATGCCATTTTTCAGGCAAACAGCTTTCAGGGTCTGATGAAAACCTTGGTTTCCTTTACTCCTCTAGAAAATCAACAATAAATTAGCAGAGTTAGCAGGTATTAACTAGAAGGTCACTGGATTCGAATTGCATTTCCCTCACCAAAGGTCATTACTAAGAATCACAGCAAAGGGTAGAGACATGCTTTTTAAACAGATGATTAAACTGAACAAGGGGGGACAGTGGCCACCCCTCTAGGTTGTCTGGGGGTCCCTGCCATGAGCTTCCTAAGCGCCCTGGGCTCACTTTGAGCGCGATCCTTCTCAAGCGATTCTCTATGTGTTAATTTACTCATTTGCCCAGCTACTGCCATCAGCTCATTGAGAGCAGGCACAGTGTCTCCTCCATCTTTATATCCCCCACATCTGGCAACAACCTAAGTAGTATTTGAGAAATAATTGCTTTTGTTTGTTTGTTTTTTTGTTTTGAGACGGAGTTTTGCTCTTGTTGCCCAGACTGAAGTAAAATGGCACGATCTCGGCTCACCACAACCTCCACCTCCCAGGTTCAAGCAATTCTCCTGCCTCAACCTCCTGAACAGTTGGGATTACAGGCACCCACTACCATGCCTGGCTAATTTTTGTATTTTTAGTAGAGACAGGGTTTCACCATGTTGTCCAGGCTGGTCTCAAACTCTTGACCTTAGGTGATCCACCCACCTCAGCCTCCCAAAGTGCTGGGTTTACAGGCATGAGCCACCATGCCTGGTCAAGAAATATTTGTTAAACAAGCAATTACTGAATAAATGAATGAATGAATGAATGAATGAATGAATGAATGACAGTGTGCTATGACCCAACAGTAAGTATATGTCTTGAATTTTCTAAGGATATTCCTTAGATTTCATAAACTTTTTGTTGAACTTTTAATGAAATACAATTTGATTTGTATGTCTTGGTGATATTTTTTTCCCAAAGAAATAAATACACAAATGACAGGAAAGAAAAATATAAAGCTACAGCTATGAGAGACATTAATCAATTTCAGCCGGATGGCAACCATTTGTAAACTGAATAAAAATGTGTTTGCTAAAATTTTAGTAAAGGGCTCTGTGATTTTTAATCAATGATATGTTTTAAGGGAATGGCCACATAGCATTGTAAATTGGTATAATTCTCTTCTTCTCTGATCTTTTTACTTAGTATTACAACATGAGAATATCCCCAAATCACTGTAAGTATGTTCCAGGCTGGGCACAGTGGCTCACACCTGTAATCCCAGCACTTTGGGAGGCCAAGGCAGGCAGATCATCTGAGGTCGGGAGTTCAAGACCAGCCTGGCCAACATTGAGAAACTCCATCTCTACTAAATATACAAACATTAGCCAGGTGTGGTGGTGCATGCCTGTAATCCCAGCTACTCAGGTGGCTATGGCAGGAGAATCGCTTGAACCTGGGAGGTAGAGATTGCAGTGAGCTGAGATGGCACCACTGCACTCCAGCCTGAATGACAGATTGAAACTCCATCTCAAAAGAAAGTTCCAAAAACTGCACTCATAACTGTTTAACATAGTATCATATGGAAGAAAAATAATTCATTTTACCTCTCTCTTGTTCTTAAACATTTAGGTTATTTTTGTATGTCAAATAATGGTATGATGTTAGTGTATAAATGTCTTCCCAAATTTCTGATCTCAAAGAAACATCAGCTAGGAGCCCCTTGGCCACGCTGGTAGTCACAGAGGAAGAAGTCATTAGAGGGCTGATGGGAGGGGACAGCTGATGGGGCAAAGTCCTGGAGACGCCCTCCAATGTCTGCCGTTGCTTGTTCTGCTCACGGCAAACTCTCAGCGGGGTGGATGAGAAGCCTCACGCCTTCATCCTCCCAGCTCCACTCATTCCTGCCCCTTGTGTGATCTGGGTTCTTCAGTGATGGATAGAAACAGCTCTGTCCAAGGTCACTTCATTACCTATTGCTATGAAACAAATTACCGAACACAGCCGTGTGGTGGCTTAAAACAGTAAATGCCTGTCATCTCTCTGGGATTCTGTGGGTCAGGATTGGGATGGTCGGGCTGGCCACACTGGCTCAGGTTTCTCCTGAGGTTTGGTCAGGTGTGGCCGGGAGCGTAGTCATCTGAGTGAGGCTGGAGGATCTGCTTCCAAGGATATCCAGTTGCACGCTGGTGCTGGCTCCTGGCCCCAGGCAGGGGCCTTTGCTCTCCATGTGACCTCTGCACACAGAGGCTCAACTTCAGCACACAAAGGCGTCCCCCTGAGAAAGTGACCCAAGCTCCTGTGGCCCTTGATGGCCTAGCCTCAGAAGCCACACACTGTCACCTGTCTAGCATTCTCCTGCTCAGAAATCAGCCCTGATTCAATGTGGGGGGAGATTCCATGAGGGCACAAATACCGGGAGGTGAGGATGCCTGGGGCCACCTTGGTCGCTGCCTAGCACAGTCACCAGTGAAACCCACAAGGTCAAATCCAAAGGCCCTGGTTGTTTTTGTTTTGTTTTCCCCTTTCAGGAGCATGTGATGTTCTCCTTCTTAACAAACTCTTTTTTTTCTAAGAGACAGGGCCTCTCTCTGACACTCAGGCTGGAGTGCAGTGGCACAATCATAGCTCACTGCAGCCTCCAACACCTGGGCTCATGAGATCCTCCTGCCTCAGCCTCCTGAGAAGCTGGGACTACAGGGGCATGCCACCAAGTCCCACTTTTTTTTTTTTTTTTGTTAGAGATAGGGTCTTGATATGCTGCCTGGCTGGTCTTGAACTCCTGGCCTCAAGCAATCCTTCTGCCTCAGCCTCCCAAAGTGCTGGGATTATAGGTATGAGCCACTGCTCTCAGCCTTAACAAACTTTATTGCTCCAGTTTTCTGATTGGAAAATAAGAAGTTAAGCATTACACTAAAAACAAGCATGAAGATAAGAAAATAGGCATTACACAATTTCCTTCTCCCAGTACCTCTCAGGCTTTGCCTTCTCTGGCCCTCCCCTGCCCCTCTTTATTCTTTTGCTTCCTTAACGGGGCCTTTGCATGAGGTGATGTCCTATCACTGTCTTCCCTCCACTCCTCCTCAACCCCATTCACTGGTATATGTGCATCAATTCCATGCAAGTGACAGCCACATCTTCCAGCCCCACCTCTCCAAGCTCCAGTTCCACATTTCCATCATTGCATTAGATATTCCACCTCCATAAAATACTAAATACATGATCTTCAGTAGTGAACATATTGCTTCCCCAACCAAGGGATAAGCTCCTCCCTCTCATGCCTCCTTAGATCTTCCTTAAACTGAGGTGATTTGCTTTCTCTTGGATGCAAATCTTCCCCAAAATGTTGCCACCTTGCTTCCCACAGCCCCCATGTCTGAACCATTGACAATCCTGATTGAGATGTCCTTCAGATTTGCTCTCCCAGCCACCCTCTTCCTTCCTATTCCATCTGCCATAACCTTTGTTGAGACCTTGCTGTGTCTTATCTCAATGAAGCACCTACCGTAAGGAAAATGGCTGCGCTTTAGTCAGGAGTAGGCCGAGGCAGTCTTTCAGAGCAGCATGACTCAGCAGGTTTGGAGTGCCTGTGCACAACCCTGCATATTATGTAACCACTCCACATGAGGCACATTGGATGACCCACATGAGTGCATGCTTGGCTTGGAGGCACTACTGGTGGTTCACGAGGTCAGGAGATCAAGACCATCCTGGCCAACATGGTGAAACCCCATCTCTACTAAAAATACAAAAATTAGCTGGGCATGGTGGTGTGTGCCTGTAATCCCAGCTATTCAGAAAGCTGAGGCAGGAGAATGGCTTGAACCAGGGAACTGGTGGTTGCAGTGAGCTGAGATCACACCACTGCACTCCAGCCTGGTGACAGAGCAACACTCTGTCTCAAACAAAAAAAAGGTATAATTACCCTGCTAATCCTGTACATATGAGAGAGTAAAGCCATCTCAAAACTGTCTACAACTCCTCAAGTACTTTTCCAGCTACCTGCCACTTGCCTACCAACTCCCCTCAGACCTCAGTTAGACCCTGACACCTCCTAACCAGGCTCTCTGCCTAGGTTTTCCCCAAGCATTATGCTTCCCAAAGCATTAGTTCTGATGAAGCTATTTTTCTGCTCAAAACTTCACTATGTTCCAACTCTTCAACCTGGTCTAAAGTCTGCAGCAAGCAGTCAGCATCATTCCCCAAAACCCTGCCCTGTGTACCTACACTGCAGTTAGATGGCACCTCCTGGCTCCCACATGGGCTCTGGACTTCCTCCCCTGGAATGCCTTCCTTGCCCCTCCACTCCTCTGCCCAAAGGCATACCACCATCCTCCAGTGCCAGGCTGCAACAACCTCCTCTCTAGGTTTATCAGACTGTCCTCTAACCTGGCCTGGGATTTCTTGTCCAGCATCCATCCCTCCTTCTCCACTGTGGCCTCCCTAGTCCTTCTGTTGTGGAGGAAATGAGCTCTACTCCTGCCCCCAGGATGGGACACACACACGGGCCTAAGCTATTCAACACAAGGCATTCTCTTTTCTCAGGGATCAGTTCAGAAATAGGCATGTGACCCATGTAGAGCCAAAGAAACACCATGAGAGCTTTGCTGAGCTTTCTAAGAAAGGTTCTCCCGTCTTCTGAATGCGGGCCTGGAAACAGCCGTGCCCCTGCTCCTCTAGGCAGCGATTCTCAACCGGGAGTGATTTTGTCACAACTAAAGAGTGGGGCTGCTACCAGCACCTAGCAGGTGCAGTCCAAGAATGAAACAACCTGCAATTCACAGGTCAGCCCCTCACAACAACTATGATCTGGTCCCAGCTGTCAATCACACTGAGGTTAAAAACCCTCCTCCAGAGCTCATGGTGTTCAGATGTGAGTGCAAAAATAGCTACAGCCATTTTGCCCTCATGAGAGAAGCAGCCTGAGAATGGGGCCTACGGAGGCGCTGGAGTCAGTTCATCCCCCAGACCCTCTCTTCCTGTGGCTCTCAGGCACATGGGCCAATATACTTCCTCATGGCTAAGAGTGGCCTCAGTTAAGGACTCTGATTTGCAGCCAAAAGATTCCAGCCAGCCACAGCTCCCAACAGAATGTTATCCCTTCTCTAAACATTTGGAGAACTTTCTGGCTGTCCTGCGGTCCTCACCAGCATGCTACCTTTCATTATAGTTCCCCAAATGCTCTCTTAACTCTTCTGACCAGGAATGTATCTTTCTATCCCTGAAATCTAATAAGAAAAACAGATGGCCAGGCATGGTGGCTCAGGCCTGTAATCCCAGCACTCGGGAGTCGAGGAGGGTGGATCACGAAGTCAGAAGTTTGAGACCAGCCAGACCAACATGGTGAAACCCTGTCTCTACTAAAAATACAAAAAGTAGCCGGGCGTGGTGGTGCGCAGCTGTAATCACAGCTACTCAGGAGGCTGAGGCAGAAGAATCACCTGAAGCCGGGAAGTGAAGGTTGCAGTGAGCCAAGATCATGCCACTGCACTCCAGCCTGGGTGACAGAGTAAGACTCTATCTCAAAAAAAAAAACAGTTGACTTGTCAGACATTCTCTATGCACTGAGTGAATTAGTCAACTCAGCATTATCCCTTTACATGCATTCTTTCAAGTCATCTTTACAGCAACCCGAAGACATAGGTACCATGGTCCTCAATTAACACAGAGGAACCTGAGGCACAGAGAGACTGAATAACTTGTCCCCGGTCACACAGCTGACAGATGGGGAAACTGAGGTCCAAATCAGAGCCCATGTGGGCTATGCTGCCTCTTGGCAACCATGTCCTGTATTCCAAAGTCCTTGTTACTTGCAGAAACAAATGAATGAATGAATAAATGAATGAATGAATGAATGAATGCAGCAAGATTTCCTTGTATGGGGATTTACAGATGTTAAACTATGTAACCGGTTGGCAAGAACAAGTTGCTGCCCTCGTTTGCAGAGAGTTTAGGAGAAGCAGCGGGTGAGTGCAGCAGGAGTTGGGTGTCCAATTATGAATCTAGGCAGGCCTGGGTTAGATGTGGAGTCCATGCAGGGCCACGGAAAAGGTATTTGGCCTCTCCAAGGCTGAAAAATTAAAATGATACTAAGGGCATTTGCCTCACAGAATGGTTGTGAGGATTGGATACTGTGCGGTATCTGGTTTCACAGTCAGCATTCTGCTCATATTTGCCAACTGAGCGCACACACACATACATACTACACGCATGGATACTTGGCTACCCACAGCCAACTGCATGGAACACACTCCAGCTGTCATCCTCCTGTGTCCACACACTGACACTTTCCCCAGTGACCCCAGAATCACCCCGACTCATCTCCTCCTTTACTCCTGGTTCTTCCAGCATTTATTCTTGGTCTTGTGCTAGAGGTATCTCCTCCTTCCCTTTCATCCAGACTGCAGCACATACACCTACTCATGTAGACTTTCTCTTTTTTTGGATGGAGTCTCGCTCTGTCGCCCAGGCTGGAGTGCAATGGTGCGATCTCAGCTCACTGCAACCTCTGCCTCTTGGGTTCAAGCTATTCTCCTGTCTCAGCCTCCCCATTAGCTGCAATTACAGGCACCCACCACCATACCCGGCTAGTTTTTGTATTTTTAATAGAGACTGGATTTCACCATGTTGGCCAGGCTTATCTCGAACTCCTGATCTCAGGTGATCCACCCGCCTCAGCCTCCCAAAGTACAGGCATGAGCTACCAAACCCAGCCTCATCTGTACATTTAAACAAGCTTTTACACAAAGCACACAGATAGCAACACCCAGAAGAGGCCATGTGCTAGAAAGCTGGTACCATCTGTGCACATAGAAAAGCCTCCAGGAAGCTAACCACCCCATCACACTCACCCTTTCACACACTTTCCACTGCTCACATTCCAACTTTCCAAGTCCCATTAAAAACTACAACCACACACCATCCGTGCACTTCTCCCAGCATGGGGGACACCAAGTCATCCTTGCTCCATGAGCAGTGCTGTCCATCACATCTTCCCCTTAATGGGTGCTACGGACTGAAGTGCACCCTTGAGTTCATATGTGAAGCCCTAACCCCCAGGGTGACTGTGTTTGGAGACATGGCTGGTAAGGATGTAATTAAGGTTAAAGGGGTCATAAGGGTGGGGCCCTGATCTGACAGGTGTGGTGTCCCTCTGGGAAGAGAAAGAGATCCCAGGAATGTGTGCACACAGTGAAGAGGCCACGTGAGGATGCAGCAAGAAGGCCGGCTGTCTTCTCCAGAAGAGGAGAGAGGCCTCAGAAGAACTCACCCTGCTGACACCTTGATCTTGGACTTCCAGCCTTCAGAACTCCAGAAAAAACAATGTCTGTGGTTGAGGCCACCTGGTCTGTGGCATTTTGTTATGGCAGCCCAAGCAAACTAACACAATGGGCCTCTTTTTTTAACCCCTTCGTTTTAGATAAATACTGCCTTGCACTTAAATTTTCACCCTTCAGAAACTCTATACAACTAATTAAGAAATAAAATCACAATTTGCATGCCAAAGGAGAGCTTACAAGATATTTCCTTATTGTGTAAACTAATGGATACTGACATCAACGCTACATCCTCATTTTCAGAAGAAAACCAGGAATTAAAAAAAAAAAAAAATGGGTCTAGGATCTTGCCTGGGGCTGCAAGGTGGATGTCTTGTGGAGCTGGTGCTCCAGTCAAGACCCTCAGATCCCAGATTCTCATGCTATCCTTGCTGCACGTGTATCTTCCTTGGTCCTTCCGAGACACAGATGAACAATCATTATGTGCAATTTTCACTCACTCCTACCCTCCTCTAGCTCTTCATCTCTTTTGAAGGGGATGGGACCATGCAAAAGGAGCCTGCAGAGTGGGCAGGCCTCCTGAAATATCCCTGGATTTTCCCTGGAAGGAAAAATCCCTGGTGGTCACTCACCACCAGGCACGCCCTGAGGATGCAGCGGTAGGAGGTCCTGGCAGCTCTGACCCCTTCTTTCAGAGGCCGCTCCATGCAGGCAAAGCACTGTGTGATGGTCTTTTCCAGCAGCTCAATCTTCTCTTCCGTGAATCTCCGCAGGTCACTCACATGCAAGTGTTCATTCTAGGGACAAAGACCAAAAAAGCATCAGGCCACCCACTCCCTCAGAGCAGCTTCTCCTCAAGCTTTGCTTCCTTTAAGCTTGTCACCAGCTCAAGACTCAGCTTATCACTCAGAGCTGACCTCTCTTTATTGTCCCCACAAGGCCTCACTCAGTGCACAGAACCCCCTAGGCTTTGTGGGGTTACAGAACAGAACAAATACCTGCCTGGTGCGACTTGTTTCATTTCTTAAAAATGAAATCTCTGCTCATTCAGCAACTTATTTCAGATGTATAATCCATGAGGCTATTTGGGGAAGGAGCTATCCACACAGAAATCCAATTGTTATTAAAACAGATTTTTCCAATGACATCTGATTCAACAAATATTTTGTGAGCTTCGACTCTGCACCAAGCAGTTTTTATGGATAATACTTCTCAAATTTTAACGTGCATACAAATCAACAGGTGATCTTAAAATCCGAAATCCGAGGCCCTGGGATTCTGCATTTCTAGCTAGTCCCCAGGTAATGCTGGTCTCCCGGGCTTTGGACCACACTTTGCATAGCAAAGCTACACAACCACAAAAATAAATCCATGCTTCCATCTTCAAAGAACACATTCTAATCAGGGAGAAAACATATATTCAAATAATACAAGGAAGTGACCACCAGAGAAAGCCTTGACCCCCAGGGGCCTGATAGGGTCTGCCGCGTGCCTACTCAGATATCATTCTGAATCACAGCTCCTATAATTCCACATGTTGTGGGAGGGATCTGGTGGGAGATAATTGAATTATGGGGTTGGTTTCCCCCATACCATTATCATGGTAGTGAATGAGTCTCACAAGTTCCGATGGTTTTACAGGGGGAAACCCCCTTTGCTTGGCTCTCATTTCTCTCTTGTCTGCCACCATATGAAACATGCCTTTTGCTTTTGACCATAATTGTGAGGCCTCCCCAGCCATGAAGAACTGGGAATCGATTTAAACCTCTTTTCCTTGGTTGCGTGTGATGGCTCACCCCTGTAATCCCAGCACTTTGGGAGGCCGAGGTGGGCAGATCAAAAGGTCAGGAGCTACAGACCAGCCTGGGCAATATGGTGAAACTCCATCTCTACTAAATATACAAAAATTAGGTGGGCATGGTGACAGTCACCTATAGTTCCAGCTACTCAGGAGGCTGAGGCAGGAGAATCACTTGAACCCAGGAGGTGGAGGTTGCAGTGAGCTGAGATCATGCCATTGCACTCCAGCCTGGGCAACAAGAGCAAGACTCCTTCTCAAAAAAAAAAAAACTCTTTTTCTCTGTAAATTACCCAGTCTTGCTTACGTCTATATAAGCAGCATGAAACCGGACGAATACAGTGGCAAACTGGGAACTCGTAGCCTTGTTCCCTGCCTGGGAGCCTTAGTGGACCCTACAGTGTCTGCAGCAGACAGAGCCACACTCCCCAGTTTGGCCCTTAAGGCACTTCATAGCCAGACTCACCCCACCTCTCCAGCACCACCACCTGTTTGCCCAACATGTCTTGCCAAGTAACTACCCCTGGACTTGCTGCCGTTCCCCAAATATGCTGTCCATCTTGTGCCCTCTGGGCCTTGCTGATTTCATCTTTGTTACTTCAGAGACAAAGCTCAAAAGTGCCTCCCGGGAGGCACCTTCCCTGAGTCCCCAGGTAGAGGTGGGGCTCCCTGTCCTGTGGTCCCACCGCACTTCCCACAGTCCTGTGCCACAGGGTGGTCCTGTCGTATGATATCTCTCTCTTGTTCCCTATGTCTCCTTCCCTGGATAGGAACTTGCCAGAGGAACGGGCTGCTAGTCATTCATGCTCCTTTATTCCAGGGCACAGCACAGACAGCAAAACCCATATACACCTGTGGATTGAATGAGTGGTCCAGAGAAACTGCTAGATAATTCAGGCTTTTAAATTCTATTCCAAATCGACAGAAATAGCTCTGAAATTGATGGGTGACCTGATGGAGGTGATTTAACTTCTCTGGTTCTCAACTGTATCATCTTTACAGTAAGTGAATTGGGTTGAATCATCTTGAAAACAACCCCCCACTCTGAAACTCTGTGAATCTTGGAGCAAATAAGTTTTAGAATGTATGGAGACTGTGTAGCATTCGGTGCACCCTGGGAATTTTCCTCATTCTCACCATTAAGAATTCTACAAGGCATATTTTTCCCCAGGGCATCCTTTAGATTCTTTTGAATTTGTGATGTTGCCAATGATGAAAATGAAAGAAGAAAGAAGTCATGGAAAGAAAAGCTATGGGCACGATTCTCACAATGCCTCACTCTCGATAAATCTCTGTTGAATAAACAAAAGAATGGTAAGAAAGGGAAGAGCTGAAAATATAAGAACAATAAGAAACAGAGAAGCTGGCACTTAGTATGAATAAATGCCAACTTCATTTGACATTGAGATGTCACCATCAACTTACTATGGATTCTTAAAAATAATGAGTGCTCATTTAAAATCACTAACTACTGAAACTCTAAATGTTGGGTTTCAGTGACCATCTTTGATAAAAATAATCAGTCTCACACAAAGTAGATTTGATTTTTCAGAATTCAAAGGAACTCACAAATTCTTGCCTTCCAACTTTCTATCAAAGAGCTGAGAGTAAGACCAATATCTAAGGCCAAGGAATTTTGAGCAAAGTTGCCAGCAACTCCCTAACATAGCTGTCACAGAAGTGCCAGCCAGCCCCTTGTCCTCTGTTCTCCAGTGCTTGAAGTCTGGCTGCAGAGGTGAATCTGAGCCCCTCTCAGTGCTGCACTTCCATATCATCAAAGAAAAGCATGTGGGGCAGGCACTTCCGGCCTTGACGGCAAAATGCCTTGTCCTTATGTCTGTGAAATACACCAACCACACACAGCCCCAAATCAGATTTATTTTCCATCAGCACTTCCAAAAGCAATCTTGTGCTGGGCAGACAGACAAATTTCACCCTGAAGAACTGTTTGGGGAAGTTGGAAGGTCAAACCCTTCCCCAACAATTTCAGCAGATGAAAGTCAGATGAGAAAAATCTCAGATTCCAAGAGTTTTGTTTTGTTTGCTTCTTGTACAACTAGACCAAAACAAGCCACAAGAAACATGATTTTAAAAGACTGAATGTTGCTCTATATGCCCCTTTTATGCAGAAGAAAGGCCCCACACCACTAAAGACTTTATACAACCAAAGGCTCTGGGTGGCACTGCTTACTCCCACCTGGAAGTCAGGTGTCCAGTGTTTGCCTCCCTTGCCACCCCACAGGGTCAGCCTTGGCCCACTTTCCCCATCTTCAGGACCAGCTCCCTGACCACTCACAAAGCCTTATTCATGTACTTCCTCTGTCCCTTCCCTGTTCCAGTATAAGAAGAAGACAAACACTGTGCACATCTGACGGGTGAAGGCAAGTGTAGAAATAAGCAAAGAGCAACCAGATGCCAACAGGCAAAGTCTGGTTGTTCAGAGCTCACTACAGCAAGGGAGTCGGCCACCATCATTTGAATTTAGCAGAGACTCAAAAGCAGGTAGAGGAGTGGAAAAGCTTCACGGTGGACAAAAAAGGGTGCACTAATTGGAGGCTGTTGGCCTGGAGATACTAGAAATGGGCTGGCTAAAAGCAGAGAGGTCAATGTTGTTGTTTAGGCATACCAAACACATTCCCTGATTGAGTAGTAAGTTGGAAGCAGGGACAGAGATTAGGGAAGTTATTCATCAAGTCCTGGCCATCTGGTGCTGATTGCTACAGTTATTCTTCAGCCTCCTGGGTTGTTATTAGAGATAGCAGTTTGACTTCCTGCAAGTCTGACTTACAGATAGAAGGCTTCCTGGGCTGTTTATTGTAGATAAGAGGTTGGTTTCTGGCTGCCTGCTATACGTTGTGGGTCATAGATTTATTTTTACACATGGTCCAGCCATTGTCTTTGTATATTCTGTCTCTCATAAGGAGACAATACACCTGGTGACTGATGACAGTAAGAGGATTTTCTCCAAACCCCCCCTCTGAGTCTCTAATCTAGTAGCTTATCCCTCTGATTTTAGGGTTAAAAAGAAATAATCCATAAAAGAGATAAATGTATCAGTTGCTATGAGAAAAGTAATTGTAACTAGTTTTTCAGAATGCCTGCATTCTTGTCAGGGAAGATAAGTATCAAATCTCTACTGAAAGTCCCTCCAAGCTTCCATCCTCTCACATTATTTTACTGTGCTCCTCTGAGCCTGAGATTCTGACAGTACCAGGGCATGCAGGAAATCCAGAGACAGATGAAACATTCTGGGGCTGTATACATAAACACACCTCTCCAGGAAAACCAAGAAGTATCTGCATTCCACTAGAAGCCAGCCAAATCACACCTGCCACCACTTAAACACATTCCATCTTGTTCAAGTCTCAGGAGGGATGGAAAACACCTAATATTTTGACATTTTCCCCTCCGTCCATCTGTCTCAGGTAAAATAGTATTTGTTTCTCTTTTACCCAAATGTGATGATTTTAGCCCTCTAAATCTTTTCGTCCTCTTAGACTCTCTGAACTTTATATCTTCCTTTAATATGAAAAGAAAAAAAAATATCATAAGTTAATTTTCTAACTTGGTAAAAGGAAATGTTCTGCTCAGGTGGGAGAGAATATGAAAGCCCAGTGCCTTCCATACCGGCAGCTTCTGCGTGGAGTTGAAACCATCCGTGAGGAGCAACAGGCCAAAGGCTTCGGTCACATACTTGGTCACTGTCCTCCTCTTCTTGTCCAAGAGCCTTTTCCTGATGTATTCTCTTAACTTAGGGATTTCTGGAATTCACAGGCGGCACAAACAATTGTAAAAGGCCAGAAGTTTCTGGTCAACAGAATTCATAAAAGTTGAAACATGAAGATGGCAGTCTGAATGAACTAGAGCTGAGATCCCAAGTGGGCTGGACGCCTACAGAACCCACCCCTCTGAAAAGCACTTTTCCCATGTCTAGGATCAGTGACAGTGATGAATGGTAGGTCAGCAATACTGCATATTTGTTTTATTTAGCTGTCTAAAAAAAACTACATGGAAAAGTACAGGCTGGTTGAAAACATAGGCTCTTTCCTTTGGACACCTATCACCTGCAAAGGTAAACCAAAATGTTCACAATTCTAGAATCTCAGTTCTTTGCTCCCCCCAGATTTTTCTTTCTATGGCAACTAACCATTAACACCAGAATAGCCCATGCTTGCTATAGAAAGAAGCAAGAATCTCTGACGTGTGTGTCACATCCTACCCGTTGTCAGTCAGAAGAAAATAGAGGCCACTCTACCATTTTCCCCATTATTCTCATATGTGGCAATTTCTCTATATTATTCCTTTAATATACCAGGCTAATTTTTTTTTTTTTAGATGGAGTCTCACTCTGTCGCCAGGCTGGAGCGCAGTGGCATGATCTCAGCTCCCTGCAACCTCCGCCTCTCAGGTTCAAGCAATTCTCCTGACTCAGCCTCCCAAGTAGCTGGGACTATAGGGGCGCCACCATGCACAGCTAATTTTTGTATTTTTAGTAAAGACAGGGTTTCACCATGTTGGCCAGAATGGTCTCAATCTCTTGACTTCATGATCCACCCATCTTCGCCTCCCGAAATGCTGGGATTACAGGCAGGAGCCACTGCGCCCAGCCAATTTTGTCTTTTATACCCTTAATCAAGCAGTTCCCTCATCTCTGGGAATATTTCACAGCTTCTGCTCCCTAACTTCCATTCACATACCTACACGTCTAGTAAAATGCACGCACGCTGCAAACCATGCCAAGTTCAGATGAGAACGCAGTCCTGACCCTGCCTGCTCACCCACTTTCCGCTGAGCCTCCAGCGCACAGGGAGCTCTAGATTCCTTGGGCTTCTGCTACACTGTGAAGTCAGCAACACTAACTAAGCCTTATTTTCACTTCAGTTTTTGCACTTGAGTTAGTATTAGCTCCTCATCCAAATTTCAACTTCTGTGAAGAAAGAGTCACGCCTTATGCTTTCCCTGCCTTGCAGGCAAAATATGCAATAGTCACTCAGAAAATAATTCTAATGCCTGTAGCTGGGTGGGAGAAGACTAAGGAAATGAGAACTCAATTATTTTGTTTTGTCATTTTGTTTTGTTTTGTTTTTCTGAGACAGAATTTCGCTCTTGTTGCCCAGGCTGGAGTGCAATGGCACAATCTTGGCTCACTACAACCTCTGCTTCATGGATTCAAGCAATTCTCCTGCCTCAGCCTCCCAAATAGCTGAGATTACAGGCGCCCACCAGCATGCCCAGCTAATTTTGTATTTTTAGTAGAGACAGGGTTTTGCCATGTTGATCAGGCTGGTCTCGAACTCCTGACCTCAGGCAATCAACCCCCCTTGGCCTCCCAAAGTGCTGGGATTACAGGCATGAGCCACTGCGCCCAGCAATCCAATTATTTGACCTTTGCCAACCCACAGTAAGATTTGGAGGCAAGAGGAATTGTGGTCTCTGGCACCACAACAATGTAGAGAGGAAAATAATCTTTATTTGCAACTGGTATCAAAACTGAGGCAAGCTAGAAAAAAAAAGTTTGTGAGGCACAAGAAGTTCTAGAGAAGAAAATTCAAAGTGCCAAACTTGATCTTGAGAATTTTAGTGATGGAGATTTAAAAAACATAAATTACCAGTTTCCTCTTCGGTGAGGAGAGCCTGCTGCCAGTACTCCTGGGCGCTGACTGTATACACCAGATCTGAGGCTTCCAGAACCTTGAAGTCAGCCGGCAGTTTTCTCTGAAGTGAGAGAGGCACACAGAAAACAAAATAGCTCAAACCACGGCAAAGGAAATCACACACAAAAGCCTTCAGCCAATTTCAGCTCACTCACTTCCTGTTCTCCACAAGCCCCACTGGGAACAGACAATGCTCTAAATGCCTGGTGTTGCCATCTGTCCACTCCTACCAAGGTCAGAGGTTATGAGAAACTGCTGCATAGAAACTATTCTCTTGGGAGTTAATATCAATTTTAGAAGAAAATGTGTGGAGACAGTAGCTGAAAGGTGTATCTCAGTGTTTAGAGGGGGAATAATACCAGGATCCCTTCTCGAAAAAGAAGCACGTCTCTGGAATGGGCAGTGGTGTGCCGCAGCCAGCTGTGCCAGCTCCTGAAAGCCGACAGCACACGTCACTTCCCTACTCTGCATTCAGTGACATCACACTGGTAGCTTGAAATTGACAAGGGTGGGACTGTCTCACCCTGAATCGCAAACCAACAACGCAAATCTATAACCACGTTGTAATCCCCAATCTTCAACCAAATAATTTCAGCCGACATGTGAGCACAGCTTGTCAATACTAAGAGGCACATTTTCCCCCATTTAATATTTCTGAAATTGAGATGCATTTTGCAACTGTGGTAGGCCAGGTGGCAGCCACAAGGTGGTTGTCACTGCTTGCATGTTATGGGCTGCAATGTATCCCTTTCCAAAATTCACATGTTGAGGTCCTAACCACAGGAATTGGCAAATTGTATACATCTGCCTTTTTTTTTTTTTTTCGTTTTGGGGGATTTTATTTTTCTTTCGACACAGAGTCTAGCTCTGTCACCAGGCTGGAGTGCAATGGCCCGATCTTGGCTGACTGCAACCTCCACCTCCCAGGTTCAAGTGATTCTTCTGCCTCAGCCTCCTGAGTAGCTGGGATTACAGGCACGCACTGCCACACCCAGCGAATTTTTGTATTTTTAGTAGAGTTTCTCTATGTTGGCCAGGATGGTCTCAATCTCCTGACCTCGTGATACATCCACCTCAGCCCCCGAAAGTGCTGGGATTACAGGCAGGAGCCACTGTGCCCAGCCGGGATTTTTTTTTTAAACAAAGAGCTCGTTATTAAACATTTACAAGCACAACACAACACAAACTGGGCTAAGATCCTATAAAAGCGACAGTTGCTCAACCAGGCAGTTAGTGAGTAATCACAAACATTTTAATGCCGACTCATGTCGAAACAAATTATGATATTAAAGGTCAAGCAGTTAAGAATTACTCGACAAAGTCTTTTTTGGTGCTTAGAAATATAGTATCATGGAGAATTGTACTAGCATTATACAGAAATCGTATTCCACATCCATTCATTCTTTTCACTTAGAAAGAAAAAACATTCACATGTAGAATGTGCGTGTGCTTATGTGAGTATTTGAGGGAGGTAGAAAACAGCGGAGAGTTATGAATCTCTTTCTGATGCAAAGATACAAAAGAGCTGAGTGAGCAGAGGCCCTGCAGTCCACTGGGACTGGTGAGAAGCCGTGTCCCTGGCAAGCTATAAGCACCTGTAGTTAAGACTGGAATACGGATATCTGTGCAGGCTGCCAGAAGCCCACCCCTCATGGAGTCAGCTGAAGTTGTATACAGGATCTGCTGAGATTTTGCTTAGAGTTTTCACTCTAGGAAAAAGTTGAGGGAAAGCTGAAACTATTTTTCTACTGCAAGATGAAATTAATGTAGAATTAAATTTAAGGAGGGTTTTTAAACAGTTCCAAAAAGAAGGGTGCTTAGCTGCATCTAGAGGTTCGCATTATTTAAAATCTGAACCTAAATCTTGTATAACTTTTCTACAAATTATTGAAGATTAATCAACATTTATGCTGTTTATTGTAGTAAAAACAAATGTTTTTCTAGTGGCAGTGAAGTGACTCTAGCATAACGGGTTCATGTCATTGTGTAAGAGAATTAGAAACAGTTATAGTTGGAGGGTAGGATCCAGATGGCAGTAGGTATTCATCAAATTATGCCACAGAAAGATTAGACACTGTTGTCATTTAAACACGTGGTTTGTCATAATAAAACGTGACACGATATATTCAAGTTTGTAGAAAGATATTGTATATGAAATGATGTGGAAGCTGAAACCAGAAGGGAAGCCAGGTGTGGTGGCTCACACCTGTATTCCCAACACTTTGGGAGGCCAAGGCGGGTGGATCCCCTGAGGTCAGGAGTTCGAGACCAGCTTGGTCAACATGGTAAAACTCCATCTCTACTAAAAATACAAAAAATTAACCAGGCATGGAGGCCACGCCTGGAATCCCAACTACTTGGGAGGCTGAGGCAAGAGAATTGCTTGAACCCCAGAGGCACAGGTTGCAGTGAGCCAAGACCACACCACTGCACTCCAGCCTGAGCAGCAGAGCCAGACTCCATCTCCAGGAAAAAAAAAATCATGACCCAATTTTTAAAAATCTACCTGAAATCAGTAACATAAATCATGACTCATTTTTAAAAATCTACCTTTTCTAGCTTTGTCATGAGCATTATGTTGCAGTGATGTCGCTCTGCCACTGTCTTACTTGCATAAAATAATTTGATCTGTCCCCCTAGCACTCTTTCATCATGGTGGTTATTGTTAGAGACGGGGTCTCTCTCTATCGCCCAGGCTGCTCTTGAACTCCTGGCCTCAAACGATCCTTCCATCTCTGCCTCCCAAAGTGCTGAGATTACAGGTGGGAGTCACCACTTCAGGCCCAATTTTTATTATTTTTAATATTATTCTCACTAAAAGAAACCCCAGGTTCCTGGAGAGTAGTTGGTCCACGTCTTGGGGCAGTGAAAAATAAAGTGGACCTGAATATCTTGTTGTGGCTAGACAGCAAGAACGTTTTTTAAATGCTGACGGGAGTAATGCTAAACAGGGCCAGCTTAAAGGGCTGCCAGTAGCCAAAAAGTGACACACTAAGCATCAGAAGGAACACAGTAGTTCGGTGAAAAGCTACGAGCTCATTATGATCCTTAAACTGTGTACATAAAATAAGGTATGTTAAAGTAAAGGCATTCACCAGCTCAAACAATATGCCTGAGACTGTCAAATTTCCATCTGTAGCCAGGTGCGGTGGCTCACGCCTGATATCCCAGCACTTCGGGAGGCCGAGGAGGGCGGATCATGAGCGTGGGAGTTCAAGACCAGTCTGGCCAATATAGTGAAATCCTGTCTCTACTAAAAATACAAAAATTAGCCAGGCATGGTGGTGTATGCCTGTAGTCCCAGCTACTCAGGAGGCTGAGGCAAGAGAACCGCTTGAAACCAGAAGGCAGAGGTTGCAGTGAGCCGAGAATGCACCATTGCACTGCAACCTGGGCTACAGAGCAAGACACCATTAAAAAAATTAAAAAAGAAATTTTCAGTCTGTAAATTCCACTTGCCCATGTCCTGAAAGTTTACCTAACTTATTAAAAGAATGTTAACAGTCTTTGTAGGGGCACAAAAATCCCATCAGGTTAGGTTAGAATAAAAAGTTGTGTGAGAGTTTATAGTAAAAACTGGGTCAAGGCAAAATTTAAGGGAAAGTCAAGTGAACCATAACATACCAGATGATAAGAAAAGGTGTGGAGCTGGAATGCTGTGTTACTATCGGATGGGGCCCGAATCATGCCTCTCGGAAGGATCTAAGTGCCTGTGTCTCAGCTTTGAATCTCAAACTGATAACCCGAATCCATAACCACATCGGGAGGCCCAGTCTTCAACCAAAGCATTTCAGCTGACGTGTGACCACAGCTTATCAACACTACGAGGTGCGTTGTTTCCCTGTTTCCCGTTTCGGAAATGGAGATGCATCTTACAACAGCTCTAGGCCAGGTGACAGTCATGAAGTGGGTGTCACTGCCTGCATGTTACGGGCTGAAATGTATCCCCTCCAAAATACACATGTTGAGGTCCTAATCTCCACTACCTCAAAATATGTCCTTTCATGGCAACTAGGTCATTGAGGATGGCATGTATTAAGCTGAAGTCACATTGGAGGAGGGTGGGCCCCAATCTGATATGACTGGTGTCTTTTAAAACGGGAAATTTGGATGCAGAGACACACACATGAGAAGAATGCTGTAGAGACTGGGGTGTGCCTCCACAAGCCAGGGATTCTCAGAAGCAAGGAGAGACCTGGAACAGATCCTTCCACAGCTTTGGAGGGAGCACAGCTCTGCGAACACCTTGACGTTGGACTTCCAGCCTCCAGAACTGGGAAAGAATCATTTTCTGTTGTTCCCGGCTAACTGGCTGTGGTGCTTGGAAGGTTCATACGCTGCACATGGGCAAACTTGGTCACAGCTGTTCACGTTGCCCTTCCTTCTAACGAATCGTGTGCATTGCTTAATTGCCATTTAATATGTCTTTTAAAAGATTATGTTATGATTCAGCACTGAAAATTTAGCGTTTTCCAGGCCTTTAAATCAAAAGGCCTGGAAATGGAAACATGGGGCGTGTATTTGATATTAGTGCTCGTGGTTGGTGGATTAGACGGTAGTTCCAGATTATCTTGCAAAGCAACACCTAAGTGCTTCATGGGACCTAGGAACGGCAGACGTCCACGTGTAGATGACGCTGGGCTGTGTTTTGATACTGAAGCACGCGCAGACTGACGCCTATCACATGCCCCACCAACAAAAAGTGCCAAGATGGAAACTCAAAGAATGCCTCATAAGGAACCTGAGTTTCATGTTTTCTGTCATTACAACTAAATTTGCTCCAAGGCCAGATGCTGTGGCTCACACCTGTAATCTCAGAGCTCAGTGCTTTGGGAGACCCAAGCAGGAGAATTGCTAGAGCCCAGGAATCAGAGACCAGCCTGGGCAACATAACCTGTCGCTACAAAAAAATTAAAACACTAGCTGCATGCCGGTAGTTTTAGCTACTTGGGAGGCTAGGAGGGGGCAGAAGGATCACTTTAGCCTAAGAATTCAAGGTTGCAGTGAGTTATCATTGCACCACTGCACTCCAGCCTGGGTGACAGAGTGAGACGCGTCTCAAAAAAAAAAAAAAATGCTCCAAATGACGGCATGTAGCACAAATAAAGGTTTCATAATAATTCAAACTGAAATAAAGTGAAATAAACCTTGCTGTAGAAGGTGTGGGTTGGAGCCTCAAAGAACTTGCACCAAGCAGTGACGGCTATAGCAAGCTGGTGTATCGCTGCCCAGGCCTTGACTTACACAAACCAATTTGGCACACTTACTGGCAATCAACACAGTTGTGAATTGTGTGTTGCAGTATTCTCTCTTTCCATTTCCAGGGATAATATCATGAGGCACCCACGCAATGCATATTTCTTTAATGCCAACAAGAACAATTCAGGAAACTAAGACCAGCTTGACTAAGTTTTGCTTCATTAAAACTGGCATTCGAGAATTGCCTGGTAGAAGATTTGGCTTAAGTCTGAGGCCTAATGTCACGGCATGGCGCTAGAAACAAAAGCTTTGAAATTTTAAATTCCACATTGTACAACAGATGTTTTCTGTATCAATATTAATGAAGGCAAAATACAGCAATTGCATGTAGAGCTGGACATCAGCCAAATGTTTTTAACATTGAATCCAATACCACAGATCTCATTTCAGCCAAATATATCATCGTCACATTGTTCTTACTCTGATATATCCCTTATGTTGTTTTGTTTATATTTTACCTTAAACTTGGTTTTAGTTTTATAGATGTATACAACTATTATAGGCCGGGCACGGTGGCTCATGCCTGTGATCCCAATACTTCGGGAGGCCAAGGTAGGTGGATCACCCAAGGTCAGGAGATCGAGACCAGCCTGGTCAACATGGTGAAACCCCGTCTCCACTAAAAACACAAAAATTAGCTGCAGTAGTGGCGGGCATCTGTAATCCTAGCTACTCGGGAGGCTGAGGCAGGAGAATAGCTTGAACGAGGCGGGCAGAGGTTGCAGTGAGCTGAGATTGCACCATCGCACTCCAGCCTGGGTGACAGAGCAATATTCTTTCTCAAAAAAAAAAGAGAAAAAAAGGGTCAGCCATGGTGGCTCACACCTTTAATCCCAGCACTTTGGGAGGCTGAGGTAGGAGGTACATGACGTCAGGAGTTCAAGGCCAGCCTGACCAACATGGTAAAACCCCATCTCTATTAAAAATACAAAACTTCACTGGTTGTGGTGGCGAATGCCTGTATTCCCAGCTACTCAGGAGGCTGAGGCAGGAGAATCGCTTGAACCCAGGAGGTGGAGGTTGCAGTGAGCTGAGATCATGCCACTGCACTCCAGCCTGAGCAACAGTGTGAGACTCCATCTCAAAAGAAAAGGGAAAACAAACAGACTATTATGGTAAAGGGTTATATATTTGTACCTATTTTAGTGACAAAATAGTAAAAACAAGAAAACACTCAGGGCAGTTCGGGCCTTCTCCCTGTCCGCGCCCTCTCACACTCCCTCTCTGGGCCTTTCCAAGCAGCTCGCGTGTCATTCACGGAGCACAGCAGCCTATGTCAGTGGTGTTCTTACTTTTGCCTCAAAAGTGGCTTCTCGACTTTTTCACCTTACTAAAGACTACAGGTTCTTTAAATTTCTGATCAGCAGAGCACTGTGGTCCCTGCGACCTGTAGTCCCAGCTACGTGGGAGGCTGAGGCAGAAGGATCACTTCAGCCCATTCTCCTGCCTCAGCCTCCCAAGTAGCCAGGATTACAAGTACCCACCACCAAGCCCAGCTATTTTTTTGTATTTTTAGTGGATATGGGGTTTTGCCATGTTGGTCAGCCCAGGAGTTCAAAACCAGCCTGGGCAACATAGTAAAATCCCTGTCTTTAAAAATAATAATAATAAAATTGACCAGGCGTGGTGGCTCACACCTGTAATCCCAGCACTCTGGGAGGCTGATGCGGGCCAATCACCTGAGGTCAGGAGTTCAAGACCAGCCTGGTCAACATGGTAAAACCCCATCTCTACTAAAAATACAAAAATTAGCTGGGCGTGGTGGCATGTGCTTGTAATCCCAGCTACTCAGGAGGCTGAGGCAGGAGAATTGCTTGAACCCAGAAGACGGAGGCTGCAATGAGCCAAGATTGTGCCACTGCACTCCAGCCTGGGTGACAGAGTGAGATTCAGTCTTAAAAAGTAATAATAATAAAATAAAATTCTGCTCAGAGGCTGAGTTTCCCTTGAACACCTCCCTAGTCCCATCTCCCCTGCCACCAGAATTCCTCACTGTATAGAGACCCCAGACTCTCCTGAGCCTACGCCTCAGTGGCCCACATGCTCCTTCGACCCTTCCGACAAGCACAGGGGATAGGTATTATCATCTCCCCACTTTAAGGATGAGAAAATGGAGCCTTAGAGAGGTAACTGAAGCAGTGGGACTGAGTTAAATCCAAACTGTCTACTCCGGGTCAGTAATCCCAGCACTTTGGAAGGTCAAGGCAGGTGGATCACTTGAGCCCAGGAGTTTGAGACTGCCCTGGACAATATGGGGTAACCCAATCTCTACAAAAAACTATAAAAATTAGCCAGGCGTGGTGGTGCATGCCTATAGTCCCAGCTACTTGAGAGGCTGAGGTGGGAGGATCTCTTGAGCCTGAGAGGCAGAGGTTACAGTGAGCCGAGATCACACCACACCACCGCACTCCAGCCTGGCCAACAGACTGAGACCCCTCATCTCAAAAGCAAAACAAAACAGACAGTCTATTCCAAAGCTTTTGCCCTTGCAACTACACAGGTATATGTTTGTTTCCCAAAATCTGGTTGCTGGGATACAGAAAAACACGTAAGGAAACCTGTTAACTCACCTCCAGTTTTTCCTTGAGAATTCTAGTCCTCTGTAGTTTTAGCATTTCATTTCTTTCTAAAACAGCCTCTCGCTGACTCTGAGTAGCTTGCTAGGTTGTGAAAGGAAACGGAAGCATGCGGAGAGCAGCGTTACCAACAGTGATGAGATGGTAAGATGCACATTTTTTGGCAGATCTTCATTTGGTCCAGACAGCCAAACATGCAGGTACTGTATTTGAATTATACACAGTTGACCCTTGGACAACATGGGTTTGAACTGAGTGAGTCCACTTATACATGGATTCTTTTTCAATAAAGATACTGAAAAAGATTTTGAAGATCTGCAACAATCTGAAAAAACTCACAAACCCTGTAGCCTAGAATTATGAAAAAAAATTAAGAAAAAGACATATCATGAATGCATAAAATAGATGTAGATCTCCGTTTAGATTTGATCATGTATTACCATGAAATGCACATGATTCTATTACAAAAAGTTAAAATTTATCAAAACTTCTGTAAATACCTACAGACAGTACATGGCACCATTTGCAGTCATGAGAAATATAAACAAACATTAAGATGCAACATTAAGGGCCGGGCACGGTGGCTGAAGCCTGTAATCCCAGCACTTTGGGAGGCCGAGGTGGGTGGATCACGAGGTCAAGAGATGGAGACCATCCTGGTCAACATGGTGAAACCCCATCTCTATTAAAAATACAAAAAAATTAGCTGGGCACGGTGGCACATGCCTGTAATCCCAGCTACTCAGGAGGCTGAGGCAGGAGAATTGCCTAAACCCAGGAGGCGGAGGTTGCGGTGAGCCAAGATCGCACCATTGCACTCCAGCCTGGGTAACAGGAGTGAAACTCCATCTCAAAAAAAAAAAAAAAAAAAAAAGATGCAACATTAAATTATAACTGCATAAAATTAACTGTGATACACACTATACTACTGCAACCACTTCAGAGCCATCCCTTTTGAAGTTGTGGTGAGCTCAAGGGTTGCCAATATCCACTTAAAATGCCAAACACCATGTGATGCTAATCATCTCCACGTGAGCGGTTCATTGCTCTGGTGAATTGCATATAAAAAGTGATCTCTTGCAGTTCTCATGTATTTTTCAACCTGCTTAGTGCAATACCCTAAATCTTGAATAACACCGTGGGACCCATGTGAAGTCTAGTGATCCTGGAGGGCTCCTGAGTAGCAGAGAAAAGTCATGACACTCTAAGAAAAAGTTGAATTGCCTCATATGAACTGTAGATTGAGGTCTGCAGCTGTGGTGGCCTGTCATTTCAGATGTACGAGTCATCTTATAAACAGAGAAAGTAAACTTACAGTATTGATAAATACAGTACCATACTGTGAATGTATTTTCTCTTCCTTATGATTTTCTTTTTCTTTTGAGAGGGAGTTTCACTCTTGTTGCCCAGGCTGGAGTGCAATGGCGCGATCCCAGCTCACTGCAAACTCTGCCTCCTGGGTTCAAGTGGTTCTCCTGCCTCAGCCTCCCAAGTAGCCACCACGCCTGGCTAATTTTGTATTTTTAGTAGAGATGGGGTTTCTCCATGTTGGTCAGGCTGGTCTTGAACTCCCGACCTCAGATGATCTGTCTGTCTTGGCCTCCCAAAGTGCTGGGATTACAGGTGTAAGATACCACACCTGGCCTTCCTTATGATTTTCTTAATAACATTTTCTTTTCTCCAGCTTATTTAATTGTAAGAATACAGAACATAATACATATAACATACAGAATATGTATTAATTGACTGTATCGGTAAGACTTTCAATCACGGGTGGGCTATTAGTAGTTAAGTTTTTGGGGAATCAAAAATTACGGGTGGATTTTTGACTGAGCAGGGGGTTGGCACCCTAACCTCTAAGTTGTTCAAGCGTCGACTGTAATATCAGTCATAAAAAGTATTATTTTAAAAAGAAGTACTTCAGGCTAGGCATGGTGGCTGACGCCAGTAATCCCAGCAATACGGGAGGTGGAGATGCGTGGATCATCTGAGGTCAGGAGTTCAAGACCAGCCTGGTCAACATGGTGAAACCCCGTCTCTACTAAAAATACAAAAATTAGCTGGGCGTGGTGGTATGTGCCAGTAATCCCAGCTACTCTGGAGGCTGAGATAGGAGAATCGCTTGAACCTGGGAGGCAGAGGTTGCAGTGAGCCGAGATCGTACCACCACATTCCAGCCTGCCTGACGGAGCAAGACTCTGTCTCAAAAAAATAATAATGATAATAATTTAAAAAGAAAAAGAACGAGTTCATACTTACATTTCCCGCCTTTCTTTCTCTGAAACGTAATTAGAAAAATGTAACAATTACTTAACTTTCACAACATGTCACGGCACTCCTTCGACTTTCCCCAAAAGTAACACATCCTGCCCTGTGTCTGTGCCTTTTCATAAGCTCTTTGACCCAGTGCTCTCTCTTCTGACCCACCTCTGGCATCCACTTGAAAAAGTGCCTTCATTTCTCAACGGCCAGTCAGCGTTTTGTCAACCGTGAATGTTTTCTGTGACCTCACTCCCCGTCCCAGTCAGAAACGCAGCCCTCTCACCCTAGGTTCCGATAGCACCTGGCTCGTCCTTTCACATACAAGCTTTAACCCTCTTACAGAAAATGAGCTCAGAGACTGGGCAATGTGCCTCTGAATCCGCAGCCCCTACCCATGTTCAATAAATGCTTATTATTAATAAATCAGATTTACTTATGTGAATGCCAGCATTGGCATTGGAAAGGGAGGGCCAGAGATATTATTCTGCTCTGGAGTGAGACGGGAAAAAATGCTGGAGGGAAAAAATGAAGCTGCAATTCCAACCCATGAGACTAAGTGAATTCCTGGAGACGGCAGTCAGACCTAAGCTTCAGTGTACAGGAAAGGGTGGAGGGGCCGGTAGAGGAGCTCTTGGAGGTGAGAAGCATCCATGACATCAGGTCCCATGAGCACACACCCCATGGATCCAGGAAAGCCCAGTTTATACCCGCCAATCCCCTCTAAGGACTAATCACTCCCTCTCTCACTCTCGAAAATGTCCCAATATGGAAGGTAAGTTACAGTCTTCCTAGCTGTAAGACCACAGAGTTCTCCATGGAAATCCACATCTGTGAAGCCCAAAAATGCCTACTTTTCACTGTTATTTGTTAGAACACGAGTCTTAGAGAATGCATCTACCTTTGCCTGAAGTTCTAAAACCTTAGGGACCTGTTGCAAGTGAGTTCAAAAGCTCACGAGTCTCTGGCTGGGAATGCTGGGCTTAATACCTAGGCGATGGATTGACGTGTGCAGCAAACCGCCATGGCACATGTTTACCGTGTAACAAGCCTGCACATTCCTGCACATGGACCCTGGAACTTAAAATAAAAACAAAAATAAATGTTTTTAATGATTTTTAGAACGCTCAGGAGTACAAAAACCTGAAACATCAAAGCTGTACCCTGGGCCAGGCACGGTGGCTCATGCCTGCAATCCCAGCACTTTGGGAGGCTGAGGCAGGCAGGGCACCTGAGGTCCGGAGTTCAAGACTACACTGGCCAACATGGCGAAACCCTGTCACTACTAAAAATACAAAAATTAGTGAGGCGTACTAGCTGGTACCTGTAACCCCAGCTATTCGGGAGGCTGAGGCAGGAGAACTGCAACCCGGAAGGCAGAGGTTGCAGTAAACCGAGATCAAACCATTGCACTCCAGCCTGGGCAACAGAGCAAGACTCTATCTCAAAGAAAAAAGCTGTACCCTGCCAGATAGGATTATGGGCTGTACCTCCTAGTTACAGGGGCATCTATACTTTCTACATCTGGGGGGCAGGTGGGACCATCACATCCCACAGTGCAGGAGGTACCACCTGCATCATATGAGTGGCACCCCTGGGCTATGTAGGGGACACCAGCTTGCCACTAAGCAGTTACGTGGGGAGGTTCAGATTCTCGAGAGAACCCAACCAAGGGTCCTGATGTCCCAGGAAGTCACCAGCCTTTTCTTTCATCCCCAACAGTCACTTCATGAGGCCCAAGGTGCTCACCGCATTATAAGTCAAGCTCCGTGCTACTGTAATCAGGCTCCCTGGCTGGAGCCCCCATCCCCGTGAGCCCAGCACAATACCTTAGGTATTCTGGCAAGTGGAGTTTGTCCGTCTTGGTGACCACCAGGGCCACGTCCCTACAGAAGCCCCGCTGGCAGGCTTTGATGCTCTCATTCAGAAGGTCTTCGTGGGCTCGCCCCCCAGAAACTCGCTCTACGTCACTTATCACCCAGATCACCGAGCACTTGTCAATGGTCTGCAAAACATGACCACATCGTGTGTCAGCACAGGAAAGGAGTCACGGCTCCTGAGGACTGATTCCCTAAGGTACCGCTTCAGCCTCTCCCTCCAGCCCCACCCCTCACTTCTCCCCTCCACACTCTGTGCACCAGAGGGCCAATGAACGTGAAATAACAATGCATTAATGGCATAAATGTTGCTCTATTGAACATGCAACTTTCTCATGACAGTCATGCGTAGCCTTGTGACATTTCTCTAATTGTATTGCTGCTCTTATCTTACCTCCACGGAAATGAAAATCTGGTTCAATTCTGGGATTGAGTTTATTTGTGGTTCCTCAGCACTTTGCATATAAAGGGGTGACAAGTTTGTGACTTGATAATTAAATCATCATTTTGCTTTATACCAGTAGCTTTTAACTAGTAGAGAGCTAGAAACTGAGCTATGAGCCATTTCTCATGTGTGCCTTGTTCTGTTAACTCCCTGGCCACAGCCTCTGCCTAGCCCAACTTGTCCCTCAAGACTGGAGGGCCCCTGGAACATGGGCTAGCCTCTGCGTCCTGTAACATATGGACTTAACCTCCCGCAGCGCCTTTGAGACACGGTGATGCACCGGGTCTGCTCTCTGCCCTCCAGTGGGAAGCAACTCTCTGCACCTTTCCTCTTGGGATCTACTCACCTTAAACCCAGAGCTTACCACACAGGAGAGGCTTCATAGAAGTTTGTGGCCTTAGAGATTGACAGAATTCCATAAATCAGCCCTCCAGTCCCGGTCCCAGACCCATCACTGGCTGGCTTTATCTCAGTTGTCCCCTGGGGGAAATTCTTGTTTCTCCAGACCTAGATTTGGTGGTGCACCTACCCGCAAGCTGTCACCTGGAGGCATCATTTTGATGTTTGACTGCACCTGCATGTTTAGCGTACTGCCACCAGATGGCAGCAAGGAGCCAGAAACCATTTGACGAGTTGCAAAAGCCAATGAACATGAAATAACGCATTAATGGCATAAATGCTGCTCTATTAAATACGCAACTTTCACATGATAGTCATGCTTAGCCTCGTGACATTTCTCTAATTGTATTGTTACTCTTGTCTTACCTCCACATAAATGAAAATCGGGTTCAACTCAGGGATTGAGTTTATTTGTGGTTCCTCAGTGCTTTGCACATAAAGGGGTGACAAGTTTGTGACGTGATAACTAAATCACCATTTTGCTTTATACCCATAGTTTTTAACTAGTATAGATTTTGTGCCCCAGAAGATATAGTGAGTCTCCAATTTGTGATGATTCCGCTTACAATTTTTCTTTACAACTTTACAATGGGTTTACTGAACAATTGGTAAGTCTAAGATAATCAGGATGGTTGGATTTATAATTCCAGCTTACAGTGGGCTTATCAGGATGCAATTCCATGGTACAACAGTGATCATCTGTATTTGGCAATGTCTGGAGACATTTTTAACTGTAACAACTTGGGGGGTACTAGCAGGTAAAGGCTGAGGATGCTGCTGAATATTCTTCAATGCGCAGGAAAGCCCCACCTCCACCCCCATCCCACAAAGAATTATCTGGCAGCCCAAAATGTTAAGAGATTAAGAAACCCTGATCCTGGACAGTGGGTTTCAGCTTGCTTTTAGCAGGGGAGCCTTTTTCAAATGAAATCTTAGAATTCCAACATACAAACTTGATTTTTTTTATATATGGAGTTTTGCTCTTGCTGCCCAGGCTGGAGTGCAATGGGGTGATACCGGCTCACCACAACCTCCACCTCCCAGGTTCAAGCAATTCTCCTGCCTCAGCCTCCAGAGTATCTGGGATTACAGGCATGCATCACCATGCCCTGCTAATTTTTGTTTTGTTTTGTTTGTAGTTTTAGTAGAGATGGGGTTCCTCCATGTTGGTCAGTCTGGTCTCAAACTCCTAACCTCAGGTGATCCATCCACCTCAGTCTCCCAAAAGAAACTTGATTTTTAAAAGCATAACTGCTCTGGTTGAATTGGGAGTGGAGGACCTGGAACCACCATCTGCTCAATGCCCTCTACCCTCTGTCCATGAACCTTTTGGATCCATAAATGTATGCTTAAAAAGCATCAGTTTCTCGAGTTAGACAAACCCCTTGGATTATGGGGAAGTAAATGAGGCCCAAGTGGTAAAGAGACTCATGTAGACTCACACGACTGTGGATCTGGACTCTCCTCTGTACATGAACAGACTTTGATTTAGGCAAGAAAATAAAAACCATTATGGCCCTTCTGCTTCTCAAACTATACTCAACTTAGGAAACCTTTCGGCTCTGGGCCAGATGTGGTGGCTCATGCCCGTTTGAGAAGCTGAAGCAGGCAGATCACTTGAGCTCAGGAGTTCAAGACCAGCCTGAGTAACATGGTAAAATCTCATCTCTACAACACCTATTAGCCAAGCGTGGTGGTGTGCACCTGTAGCCCCAGCTACTCGGGAAGCTGGGACAGGAGGATTGCTCAAGTCTGGGAGGTGGAGGTTGCAGTGAGCCACCATTGTGCCACTGTGCTCCAGCCTGGGCAAGAGAGCAAGACCCTGTCTCCAACAAAACAAAACAAAAGCCAGAGCAGCTTCCAGCTCTGTAGTGTCAACAGTGGGCAGAGAACAGTCCAGCAAGTGGAAGGCCTTTAGGATGCCAGGCTGGGCGCTCCTCAGGGGCAGGGCCTCTGTCACCTTCATATTCCCCACAGTCCTTGTAAAGTCTTTTAGGCTGACTGACACCATGGATGCCATGGTAGCCTCTGTGACCTGCACGGACACTCCAGATGAGTTCCTGGAAGATCTGAAGTAACTGGAAGACCATGACAAGGACAGGAAATGATCCACCCCTGCTGCGCCTAATCAACTTTGAGACCTTCTCTATTGTTCCTTATTCCTGATAAGGCCATTGGACTTTGTAACTGACCCTGGTCAACCTCGTGACTCCAGACCCTATGACCCCCTCCCAGCTTGCAAAAACCACCCTAAACTATAACTTCTGTCACTTTCCACTGCCTACCCCAAACCTAGACAACCAACTCCTATCCTACCGCCCTCTGCTGACTCTTTTCGGACTCAGCCCACCGCACCTGGGTGAATAAACAGCCATGCTTGGGGCGGGGGTGGGGGGTCTCTTCATTCGGAGCTCGCATTTCAACACTCCTGGTAAGCTACAGGCGCTTAGTGTTCGCTAACAGGAGAAAAGAACAGCAACGATGAAGGGGGCAGTGGTTAAATTTCAGGCCCCACACGAAGCTCCCCACTGCCAGTTAGTGGTGCAGAAGATACAAACAAGCATTTCTATAAAACCAGAACAGCTGGATTTACGAGCAGATGAGACGGCACCCCACCACCCCCATCTGCATCTCCCTAGGCCCCCTCGAGGAGAATGGGCCTCAGAGGGGTTCTGAGACATGTCTCGAGTCACATGACTTCTAAGTGGCAGATCAGATTCAGGGACATCTGAATTCATACCGGGGTTTAGGGAAGGCAAGGCTGGCAGCCTGAGAGACACAGGGAGGGCCACCGCGCTGTTCTCCCTGCAAAGAGGGGGGTCTTGAGTAACTTCTTGTGGGAGGAGGTCAAAAAACCCACAAGAATGCCGGAGAGCCGGGCCAGGCAGAGCACGCTGGGGACCACCCCTCGCTTCAGCCCGACCTCCTCAGAGCACGTTTTCTGAGCCAGAGCTTCGGCTTTGATGAGCTGCCCAGTGTATCTGAACTGGCTGAGCCGCAGCTCCATCCAGTGAGAGTCCCTGGCCGCCTTCCTGGGCCGTCACTCCCTTGCCTGAGCCTGGAACTAGCCAAGGTTGGAGATTTCTACCCAGGATCTAAGACCCTGCAGAAACTAAGGCTCACAAGGCCAGGCCTGGGCCACGGACGAAGGGGAAGGACACAGGGCCTGCCTTCCTCCTAGAGGAGTGTATAATACAGAGCGTGTCCTGGGGCGGGACGGGTAGGCAGAGCCCCAGCAGGGAAGTTAGGAAACCTGCTCTCCAGTTCAAGGCTGTGTGATCCTGGACAAGTTACTTCCCTTCTCTGAGCCTTCATGTCTTCATCTGTACAATCAGGGCAGAGGCTGGAGCCTGTCCTAGATCCTGACGAGAAGCCGTGGTCACCAAGTTTCCCTGGCACACAGTCATTCATCTAAGCAAACCTGCGGAGCTTCAGGAACTGGATTCCTTGGCAGCTGCTGGGCTGCTCACAACTCACTGACGCTGGTCCCTACTCCCAGTCCTCTTCCAGCTCCAGGGCTCCTGGGTTCCTCCCACCGTGTGGTCCAGAGTGCCTTTGTCAACCACGCCCTTTCTCAATCACAGGCCCCAGGCCCTCTCTTTCTGCAAGTTTTCCCAGGAAGCCAAACTCTGGTGCAGTAGAGCTAAAGACCCCGGAACTTCTCCAGGCCTGTCTTCCATAGCCTCCTTCCTCCACCCACCCCACACTCCTTCCCTTCACCCAGGAAGACGCTCCCTGCCCACTCCAGGCCAGCTTCCTCAGCCCTCCAGCTCTATGCTGACGCTGCTCTCTGGCCAGCAACTGTGCTCAGAAGTTTCAACTGCAACCTCCTGGTTTGCCTGGGGGAGGCTGAGCCTCAATGTCCTCTCTGAAGCCCCACCCACCTCTATATGGAAATGAATCACTTTGTGCTCTCTTTTTAAAAGTGGTATGGCTTATTGATTACTATGGACTATGAAACTCACACGCACTAGGATTTGGTCCCTACTAAAGCTACTACAAAGTTAAGCAGATAATCAACAGGTGTTTGCTGAAGGAATGAGGTCTCTCCTACCTCTCATCCATCCCTTTCTGCCATGGGGTTTAGCTCTTCTATTAGACGATACTAAGACTCTTGTGGGAAGGCTCTGCTTCTCATTCAACAGTGTTTAATTTGGCCTTCAACATTTTATTTGTAAAAGCAATACATGTGATTACAAAATATGCAAATGTACACAGATGTACATAGTAAAAAGTGTTAATAAACACAGAAACTGCTGTCAACTGTTGGGCATGTAGCCTAGAAGGCAGGGACTTTCTGCCGCTGTGCATTTATGAATGTTACATGCACATGTAAGCTACTTAACGTAACAGGCCACGCTCTGCAACTCCTCATTCACTTTTCATCGAGTTCGCTCTACCGTGTCAAATACAGTAGGGGTTAAGAGCAGAGGCTCCCAAGGCATCTCAGCTGGGTTAAAACCCGTGTTACTAGCAGTGACTCACTTCACTACAGCACAGTCATGCGGCAAATGCCTGCTATTATTAGTTACAATTTTTTTGTTGAAACGGGGTCTCTGTCACGCAGGCTGGAGTGCAGTGGCACGATCTTGGCTCCCTGCAGCCTCTGTCTCCCAGGTTCAAGCAATTCTCCCACCTCAACCTCCCAGGTAGCTGGACTATAGGTGCGGACCACCAAGCCTGCTTAATTTTTGTATTTTTTGGTAGAGACGGGATTTCACCATGTTGGCCAGACTGTTCTTAAGCTCCTGACCTCAAATGATCTGCCTACCTCGGCCTCCCAAAGTGCTGGGATGGCAGGCGTAGCTACAATTTTTGCATCCTCAGTGCTGAGTATAGTGTGTGTGTTTGATACATGAAAAATAAATGAACAAGGAGATGGATTCTTAGAAATAGCTCGACCTCTAGCCACTAGGTGCAGATTTAACTATCCTTCGCTTAACTTTCTTGTGGTGCACACGTCTGGGGAGTGGCTGTTCAGCTCACATGTGGGGGGTGCCTAAGCATTCACTTGCTGCAATTGAACCCCTCCCCAAGCCCTTGACTGATAGGATGAACAAACCTTCATCCAAATGACCACTTCAGCCACAGCTGATCTCACTAGCAATGGGTACCTATTCCAGAGAGCTAATTCATTCACTGGACAGTAACCTCTCAGGTTTTTCTTATAGGGAATTTGAGCTAAAAGACATAAAAACTGGCCAGGTGCGGTGGCTCACACCTGTAATTCCAGCACTTTGGAAGGCCGAGGTCTGGAGATCCAGACCATCCTGGCTGACACAGTAAAACCCTATCTCTACTCAAAATACAAAAAAAATTAGCTGGGCATGGTGGCATGCACCTGTAGTTCCAGCTACTCGGGAGGCTGAACCAGGTTGAACCAGGGAGGCGGAGGTTACAGTGAGCCGAAATTGGGCCACTGCACTCCAGCTTGGGTGACAGAGCAAAACTCCGTCTCAAAAAAGAAAAAAAATAAAGACATAAAGACTATAGTCAGACACTGGGAGGAACATGAACTGCAAGGTCATTTAGAGACAGGGCAAAGTCAGTCATTTAGACATTGTGGATCCCAATGGCTTAGCAGAGAAAGGTGGGAGAGGGGCAGGACTTTGTGGAGCGATGCACAAAAGAAGCATGGGCACAAGAGACCACGCAGAGAATGACAGCGAGCGCAACTGCCTCCATCCCGACACGCCATCCTGAGGCCTGGCTGGTTCTCATGAGGTCCTTTGATAACCTTTTGATGACCCCTCTTAACTTGGGGCTGCTTCAGTGGGTGTTTCTGTTCCTTATAGCCAATACAGTCTGCAGCCTCCTAGTTCTTGGTGACTGGCTGAAGCTTCTGCTTTGTCCCCAACACTTGGCCTCTCCGTTCCACTCTGTCCTTCACTCTGCTGACTCGAGCCACTGTATTGCTGGTCTTTCTCATACATCACACATACTTGTCCCGGATCCAACAATCACATCCTGTGATTCCTCCCTCCCCAGTTTCTCTGGCCGCCCATATACTGCCAGGGCCCTGAGGCTTAGAACATAGAAGAATTTGGCGGAGTGTGGTGGCTCATGCTTGTAATCCCAGCACTTTGGGAGGCCAAGGCAGGAAGATCACAAGATCAGGAGTTCAAGACCAGCCTGGCCAACACAGTGAAACCTCATTTCTACTAAAAATACAAAAATAAGCTGGGTATGGTGGCGGGCGCCTGTAATCCCAGCTACTCGGGAGGCTGAGGCAAGAGAATAGCTTGATCCCAGGAGGCGGAGGTTGCAGTGAGCCAAGATCACAACACTGCACTCCAGCCTGGGTGACAGAGCAAGACTGTCTCAAAAAAATAAATAAATTAGTAGAATTTAATTCCAGTGAACTCATAAAATCCCTGAAGCTGAAAGCAGAGCGTTCTCTGTTGCTTGAGAAAGGATAGAGGTGTTGAGGGAAGAGAGAACTAAGCCAACTAAAGACAGTCACCTTTTTCCACATCTCGTCCCTCTTGCTGTTGAAATCGCCTGTGCCTGGGATGTCCACCAACACGACCCCTTCTGGGATCAGGTCGGATTTGGGAAGAGTCACTTCCACATGTTTGATCAAGGGCCAGATGTGCATCTCAGCGGCCTCTCCATCCCAGTCTCTCCTGTGCATGCGGATGTAGGGGTCCAGCCTGATGGACAGCTCTTCCGCCTGAAGAAGAAGGACAGAGTCACACATACCAGCCATGCTGCTAGCTCTGTTCTCCCGGGTTGGCTGTGATGCAGGTTCATGGTAGGTATGCCGAGGAAGGGTCAGAAGGGTACCCAACAAGGGGCATCAGGAGGCCTGCAATCAGGTCTGCAGGACCTAGAACCTGAGAGCCAGGAAGACCCTGGAGATCAGGACGTTCAAGCTCCTTACCTTGCAGATGAAAAAAAAAAAAACATTAGCTCAAATGGAACCTTAGGGAAGTTATAACATTGCTGGATAATAAGTTTATCTTCTCAACTACACTGAGTCCTAAAATTAACGTCAGTAATATGTAATTGACATTTGCACTACCAGAAAGCCAGCGATGGCTATAGAACATTGACAGTGATGTGGTAACCATATATTCCAAATTGAAAATTGATCTAAAATTGGATCTTAAGAAGAGTTTTTAAAATTAATCTTCCGATTACAAAAAATACTTTGAGATGTAGGCATTTCTAGGATAGTTTAATGATGGTGAATGAGAGAGGAAATAGTTCTTAGACTATGGTTTCTGCTTAAACATGTCTTGGGACAATGACACATCCATGCCAGCAACTACAAGAGTGAATCTCAACTGGGGCACTTCAGGGGACAGAGGTTTTGGGATGTATGGTAGTCATTGTTAAATAAATTTCTATAGAATAGTACTGTAAGAAAGATAAGAATGTCAATTATATAGAGAGAGAGAGAGAGAGAGAGAGAGAGAGAGAGAAAGAGAGAGAGAGAGAGAGAGAGAGTTTCGCTCTTGTTGCCCAGGCTGGAGTGCAATGGTGCAATCTCAATCTCAGCTCAGCATAACCTCTGCCTCCCAGGTTCAAGCGATTCTCCTGCCTCAGCCTCCTGAGTAGCTGGGATTACAGGCACATGCTACCATACCCGGCTAATTTTGTATTTTCAGTAGAGATGGGGTTTCTCCATGTTGGTCAGGCTGGTCTCAAACTCCTGACCTCAGGTGATCCACATGCCTCGGCCTCCCAAAGTGCTGGGATTACAGGCATGAGCCACCGCACCCAGCCTAGAATGTCAATTCTTAAGAGAGTTTAAATTAAATCTCTGGATTTGTTACAATCTGGGTAACAGGTAACAGATTTCATCAATATCAACCGAATGATAAACCATGAAAAAGGAAATAAAAGCTCTTTAAGATGTTGTCATTTTAAAATAGAGCAGATATCATAAGAGAGAAGTCCAGGAAAAGGCATGGGCTTGAAAAGCCCCTTTTTACAAGAGGGCTCAGCCCCATAAACTGGTTCTGGGCAAACATCATTAGAGAAGGCAAACTCAGATTCTAGAATCTCCAGTGGAAACCCTGAATGTGTAAGCTCACTCACTGAGATAGTGATTCTGCTGACCTTGTTTCAGTGGGTAAATTTATAATGCTGGGAAGGAGTATTTCCAAATGCAGAGTTGGCAAAGACATTGATACCCTTGTGTAAGTTGTGTATATTCAGATAACGTAACTAGTCTTGTAATCATTGGGTTTCTTACACATGCTCAGACTATGTTTTAGACACTAGAAGTGTAATCATTTTCATAGTAATATTCATCTTAAAACTGTAAGAAATGGGCACTATATTTGTTTGACTTTCCAGATATATAAGAGATGGCAAAGTGCTTTGAAAAGGTTTCATTCATTCGATTTCTAAGTGTGCCTAGTCAAGTATTTAAAACATTTTGAGACACTCAAATATATTGAACTTTAACTGTCATGCAAAGAGCCTAAAGAAGTGTGATTGATTATGTAAGTAGCATTAAATAGTTACAGGAGATTTGCTTTGTTAATCAAGAGATAATTGAACATTAAACTTTAGCACACGTACAAACATTGTACCCATTTTACCAATAATCACTAGATTTAAAAATAGAATAGCAACATTTTAAAGGTGTATTTAAAGGTGAGAGATACAAGAAAAACTAGGTTTTTAAATGTATAGCTTTCCTAAATTGAATGTCAGTTCCACAAATATTTTGTTTTAATTCAGAAATGAAATCTTAAAATGAAAATTGTTTTAAAAAACAAGATTATTGTTCTACTAGTTGTCTGTCCAATCTCAATCCTGTCCCTCTTTTATGCCAGCAGAATCCTGATTTTCTGTCTGACTGGGAGGCCGTGGAGGGCGACCGGTCTAAGGCAATCATGACAAGTCTGCTTTTCACTTTCTCTGGACTCCCTTTCAGCCCGGAAGGGCCATGTGGCTCAGTTCAGAACGCTGAAATCTACATGGAAATTTGTCAGAGGTATTTCTGGGAAAGCTTTTACTTTCTGATGAAAGGGCAGATGTGGCTGATGCCAACTTTTTATCCACTTTTTCCTTCCAGTAGGCTCGCATGAAGTCTAGCAGTCCGGGAGCCATCTCACGATAGTGGGGGTGGCGGAAGACCAGGGGACCAGAGAGGCTGATCTTGACATTGCTGAGCCACTAGACCAACCTGACCCCTACTGCCCCCAGACCTCTTACATGAGAAAAGGAATCAATCCCTGTTTGTTTAAGCCACTATAAGCCTTCTTAAAAAAATCACCGGTAGGCCAGAGTATCCCTAATTATTCTCAAGTAACTGTAAATAGTCTTTTTTTGGACACAGTAACTCCTCCATTCACATACTAAAAATTCCCACCTGATAGCCATAAATAATAAGGATAACTTGGGCTATGGATACTTCTCATTTGGGTAGGAACTTATTTATTTCATACAAACACTATACCAAGAGCCAGTCCCCTGAGCAGATTCAATGGTTAGACTTGAGACCCAGGATGACATGAAGGAAAGTACGAACTTGACGCTACCTCTTCTGCCTTGAGGGTAATGACTCTGCAGGTGGGGATCTTCCCTTTGGGCTTCGCCTTCAGTAACTCCTCATAGCTCTTCCTTTCCGCCCCATTTCCATAAATCATCTGTAGCTTCCAGGTGGCCTCCTCCACTGCCTCATCCCTGTTCCACGCATCCGCCTCTTCTCCGCCCAGCTCCTCCATCCTGTGCAGGAGTTTAGTCAGGTTCTTCAGCTCCTCCCTCCACTCCTGCCAAGGCAGAGTAGGGCCAAGCCCCTCTTAACACAGAGACAGAGAACACTGACAAACAGAGGGGTCTGTCGCCCCCTGTGGAGGACCAAGGGGCTGCATATTCAGAAAATCTAGGACATCGACTTCGGGGTCTTGAACAGGGAAATGGCTTGCCCAAAGTCTCACAACAATGTAGGACCAGGCCAGACCCCTCCAGCCGCTAGATTAACGTTCTCCTGGAATGGGCTCTTCTCATTCAACAAAGGCATGAGCTGTATTCGCAAGGAATATAATGTCTCCGAGACCGTAAGAAGGAAAGAAAAGAAAGGAAGGAAAAAGGGAAGGGAAAGAAGAAGGAAAGGAGGGAGAGATGGAGGGAAGAGAAAGGATGAAGAGGGGAGGGGAGGGAGAGGAAGGGAGGGGAAGGGAGGGGAGGGGAGGGAAGGGGAGGGAACACTTACTTGGTCGGAGAGAAGATGGATTTTGGCCTCATACTGTACACAGCAGCCGGAGCTCACTTGTACAATGCAGGAAGTACATATGCTTTCTCCAGACACTGGTAGAAACATTGCTTGCTGGATGATGGCATTGATCAGGGAGCTCTTCCCAGCCCCAGTGCTTCCAAATAACCCAATGTAGATTGGGTCCAATGTCGGCTTTTCAATCAAGGCAAGGAGCCTATTTCTGGATGAATTTTAAGATGCACATCGTCATGATCATCAAAGTTTAGACTAAAGAGCATTGAAACAGAATGCAAAGGAACTGAATTCTAATCCTGGGCACGTCACCACAAGCTTCGGAGTCTCTGCTCTCTCCTCTGTCAAAGGAGAGTATCAAACCCTGTTTACTACACAGAGTTGCCTGGGGGTCAAGTGAGATTATGCAAAAATACTTGGTAATAATAATTCCAACAGTCCCTGTAATGTCTACAGAGATGTGAGGCATCTTTATTTGTACTCACTGGAAATTGCATATTCCTTTTTTCGTTTGTTTATGTGTCTGAGACAGGGTCTCACTTTGTCACCCAGTCTAGAGCGCAGTGATGCAATCATGGCTCACTGCAGCCTCAACCTCCTGGGCTCAAGCGACCTTCTCGCCTCAGCCTCTGAAGTAGCTGGGACTACAGGCATGCTCCATGCTGCCTGGCTAATTTTTTTGTATTTTGTGTAGAGACACGATTTTGCCGTATTTGCCAAGTGATCCACTGGCCTTGGCCTCCCAAAGTGCTGAGATTACAGGTGTCAGCCACTGCACCTGTACAGGAATTGGATAGTCTTGACCCTAGAAACACCCTGTGTACAGAGGTGAAGTATTAATAGTGTTGGGAGCAACGGAGTCTTACTGAGCAGGAGAAATTGTACCCTCAGCACCACTCAAGTCCTTCATGTTGGCAGGGCACAAATAATTGGGACATGAGCCCAGAGTCACACAGCATGGGGTGAATTCTGGACCCTCTCACTGACCACCAGTGTGACTTTGTTCAGGTCTGGGCCTCTCTGAGCCACAACTTCAGTAAAATGGAAGTGATCATATAGCTCCTACTTTATAGGAGTGTTGAACGGATTAGGTGATATTTGATATATAAAAAACACTTAGCAGACTACGTAACAGTGACAGTTCAATGAATGGCAACTATCCCATAGCTACAGAAATTTGTATCCTTCTTTGCTTAGTGTCTAATTAAGTACTTCCTTTCCTTGTTGAGGGAAAGCACCTATAATCGCCTAAGGAAAGACATTGACATAAGATTTCAGGGTTGTGGATTTCAGACTCACATGAGATACTTGACTCCATTAGGGACACTGTCATCCAGGAAGACCGACTGAATAAGTTTCTGGTAAGTGTTGCTCAACACCCTTCTGGTCCGTGATTCCAGTTTTTCATCTAGAATGAACAGAGAGATGTTACCTGTAGGTGACAGGTGATAAAGTACTAGATCTCCTGGCAGGGATAGAGTACTAGATCTCCAAAGAAGGTGTCTGCTGAACGTTGCAGAGAAGGAAAAGAAAATAAATGAAAAGCCGATTAAACAAGATGGCAGGTTATCTCACACTAGCTAGAGATGGTGGCTCACAGGAGAGAGCCATCATTGGTTCTGAAAATCTCCAAAGAGCCAGGCTGCTCTGAAACTCTGGTTACAGAGTTATGATATGTTATGACACAGGCTTCAGCCCCTTCTAGATTCCTCCTGCCTGTGGTCATAAAAAGAAAAAAAAATGCAGCCAGGTGAAGTGGCTCATGCCTGTAATCCCAGCACTTTGGGAGGCCGAGGTGCGCAGATCACGAGGAGATCAAAACCATCTTGGCCAACGTGGTGAAACCCTCTCTCTACTAAAAATACAAAAATTGGCTGGGCATGGTGGCATGTAGTCCCAGCCACTCGGGAGGCTGAGGCAGGAGAATCACTTGAACCTGGGAAGTGGAGGTTGCAGTGAGCTGAGATAGCACCATTGCACTCCAGCCTGGCAACAGAGCGAGACTCCATCTCAAAAAAAAAGAAGTCCAAGGACACCATGTTGACACCCACTGAAGCACCAACCTAATCATTTTCACAGGCTGTGTTCCAATCAGGAAGAGGTTATTTTGATAGCAACTCTCCTGCCCAGAGATGTGTGGAGATAAATTGTCTGATTGCAGCCGCTACAGACACTGAGCCCTCTCTTTTCAACAAAGATTCATTTGAAGATGTTTTACCCAGCTTCAGAATTTAACCTTCTCTTCCTTTGAGCGTTTTAACATACTTGGAACGGAACAGAACCATGTTAAAACAACAGTTTCAGGGCACTCACATTCCTTAAGGGAGCTCTGCTCCACGGAGGGAAATGCTCGGAACCACTGGTCTCGATCTGATTTCCTTCTTTTTCTCGTTGGTTCTTTAAATAAATCATCTTCAACTAGAGACAAACAGAGGTTATATAAGATTGCAGGTGTTGGGGCATGGTATTCTTGCCTCACCTCTATCAGCACACAAACCCAAAGAGTCTAACAGATTGGCTGGGAGCAGTGGCTCATGCCTGTAACCAGAAGCGTGAGGGATTACATGCCTGGGAGGCCAAGGTGGAAAGATTGCTTGAGGTCAGGAGTTTGAGACATGCCTGGGCAACACAGCAAGATCCTTGTCTCAAAAAAAGGTGTTGTTTTTTTTTTTTTTTTGGTAGTGACAGGGGTCTTACTGTGTTGCCCAGCAGGCTGGAGTGCTGTGGCATGATCACGACTCACTGTAGCCTCAACCTCCCAGGCTCAAGTGATCCTCCCACCTCAGCCTCCAAAGTAGCTGGGATTACAGGCACACACCATCACACCTGACAAATTTTTGTGGAGACAGTGCTTCACCATGTTGCCCAGGCTGGTCTCAAACTTACCAAAATAAAAAAAAAAATGTTTTTTTAATTAGCCAGGTATGGTGGTGTGCACCTGCAGTCCTAGCTACTCAGGAGGCTGAGGCGGGAGGGTCACTTGAGCCCAGGAGTTATAGGGTGCATGCAGTGGGCTGTGATTTTGCCACTGCACTCCAACCTGGGTGACAGCAAGACCCTGTCTCACAAAAACAATAAACAAAACATAAATAACAACAACAACAAAGAGGAACCGCTTCCCGCTCTGTCAGCCCATAAACTCAATTGGGAAAAAACACTGTTGGATCATTCCAGCTTGGTTTCTAGTTTCAGAGTCACAAGACTGTCTGCATTTAGTTACAAAATGTAGAGTTCAATCTATCTCCCCAGATCAAAAGTCTCTATTTGCAACTCCTCAGAAGCCAAAGTGGCTGGATATTCTTCACCAAATGCCAAGTTTTAGGAAATCAACTGTGTAGAGAGAAGCTCAAGACAGGGTCAAGGGTGTCGTGAGCAAAGGCCTCTGGGAGGTCATTTCAGACTAGGAAAGACATTGACCAGAAACAGAATGCACAGGAAAATAGGGGCCAAGTGACCAGGAAAAATCACTTCTTCCTTGAGCCTCAATTTCTTCATAAAGGAGAGAACTGACCAAAAAGTACACTACAAGAAAAGTACATTACAAGAGTTTGGATGGCTGCCATTCAGATGTCCTTCAAAATTTGGGGGAATTTTCTCCCTTTTTCAGTTGAAGACATCAGCAGCTGCTTCCTTACATAAGCGAGAACAGAAATCACTTAGAAACTGGTTTTTGAAGCTCTGCTGAGATTCATTCACTTAAGCGATTTCCCTGGTTATGAAGTGAAGGGCTGATTGGGCCCACCAGCCTAAGGAAGAGATGTAACCCAAATGCTGTGTTTTAGATGGGTTTTAGAAAACACCCCTTGGGGCTGGGCATGGTGGCTCACACCTATAATCCCAGCATTTTGGGAGTCTGAGGTGGGCAGATCACAAGGTCAGGAGTTCAAGACCAGGCTGGCCAACATGGTGAAACCCCATCTCTACTAAAATATTAGCTACCTGTAATCCCAGCTACTCGGTAAGCCGAGGCAGGAGAATTGCTCAAACCTGGAGGTAGAGGTTGCAGTGAGCCAAGATCGCACCACTGCACTCCAGCCTGGGCAATGGAGCGAGACTCCATTCAAAAATAAAAAAAGAAAGAAAAAAAGAAAACACCCCTTGGTCGTGTTTACCTGGCTAGAAAGGGGCAAGAGGTGGGTCTTTGGGGTGACCGCTGTTGGAACTGGCCCTAACTCAGTGCTCCTGGGGCTGGCCTGTGCCTTACAAAATGGCCATGAGGTGATCCGAAAGAGTTGATCCCCAAGAATCACAGGGATGCCATGAGGTTCCAAAACTCAGTGTGACATTCCGAGGTCATTTCCTGACGAACCACAGAGAAGGAATGTCACACACGCCCCAGGTTGGCAGCCCACACAAAAGGCCCAGTCTCTGCCTGGGGGCGCCAGACACAGATCTCCCAGACAGTCCAGGCTGCCTTCCCTCTCTGTTCAACCTTACATCTTCCAGCACAAATGGAAGCCAACGCACACCCCAAAGAATATTCTAGTATGAGCCATGCTAATTGCCAAGGCCTGAGTCTCTGCCACCTCATGCTCCACACTCCTGCAGCAACTGAGAGCTGAGAGAAGTTACACTTCGACCGACCCCTCTCTCTCAGGCACTGCCACTGATGAGTGAGCTCAAATTGAAGAAATCGCCCTGGGTCAGTTTGAGGACTGCCTTAGAACTAAGTACCAAGTGGGTGCTGGGTCGATGGCTGGAGCTGGAGAGGAAGAGGCAAAGAAAGAAGAGCCTGCTGGTCAGGACCTGAGGCCAGCTACCGGCTGAACAACACTTTCATCTGTGCTCCAAAAAGCCTCTCAGAACTCCGGGATGTGTCCACGGCCTGTCTGTGGAAAGGGTGTAAGGGACGCAGACTTACACTTCAGGAACTCTTTTGGGTAAACAATGTTTGCCTAATTTCTTAGCCACGTGTATGAAGCAAGGACCAAGTCCACACATCCAGGGCCCTTATTTCAACACTGTAAGGACTGACAACGAATCTGATAAGAGATTGGAAGCTTATTTCTCAACTAAAGCAAAGGCTAGGAAGTCCAACACGGATGGGTTGAAAACTTTTTCTTCAATTTCTAAAACGCAAAACTCTCCGGACAGGAGAAAGTGTTCCATCTTGATTTATACCATGGAAGGGTAGTATTTATATTACGTTGTAACCAAAATAAACTAGCGTGAACCTGGATCACAGATCTTATTATTCCTGTTCATCGCTCAAGCACCTCCTTGCCCTTTCCAGAATTCTCCACCGAATTGTCCTGGGAACCAGGCTCTCCGGGTGGATGACAGCAGTCCCCTAGCACACCGCTGCTGTTCCTTCTTGCCACCACAAGGTGTCACTTTTGAAAACTGATCCCCCAACAGCCTGAGCTGAGATGCAGTGTCATTGGTGACTTTTTTTTTTTTTTTTTTTGAGTCGGGGTTTCCACTGTCGCCCAGGCTGGAGTGCAGTGGCAGGGTCACGGCTCACTGCAGCCTCAACCTCCCTGGCTCAAGCAGTCCTCTGACCTCAGCTCCCAAGTAGCTGGGACTACAGGCACTCACCACCATGCCTGGCTAACTTTGTTTTTTTTTAGAGATGGAGTCTTGCTGTGTTGCCCAGGCGTGTCTTGAACTCCTGGACTCAGACGATCCTCCTGCCTTGGCTTCCCAAAATACTGAGATTACAGGCATGATTCAGACCATTGCCAGAGACTGCCAGAAACCTTTCAAGCAAAACAAACCCATTCCTCGGGGTTAAGTTTAACTGAAGGGACCCCGAAGTGGCAGTTCTTCCTAAATACCTGCTCAGGCTTGCTTCAGATGCTAGCATCACCCCACGACCCAGAAACACTGCTTCACCTTGCCCCTAAGGGAATCTATCCCCTCAGAGTGAGGAAAAGTATCTTCTTCGGTCCTCAAAACACAAAGGACGTGATGCACGGCTGTTTTCTGCACCTGGGGGTTATATCCCTGTCATCGCCTACAGGGAAGCTCCCTCATTGGCTCCAGGGGCCCTGTACCAGCCTTCTGAGGGAGGGAAGCCACCCACACTGACTCCAGTGTGACTCACCCTTCCAGGAGTCGCTCCAGTGACCCACACCTCTCCTTCTAAGGAAAGCCACCTAACATCATTCCAGGGGGCTTGTAAGAGAGGCTACCTTCAGAGAGTCCAAGATGACTTTCTGGAACACTGTGATTCTTATTTTTGAGATGGAGTCTCGATCTGTGGCCCAGGCTGGAGTGCAGTGGTGCAATCTCAGCTCACTGCAACCTCCGCCTCCCGGGTTCAAGCGATTCTCCTGCCTCAGCCTCCCGAGTAGTCAGGACTACAGGTGTGCATCACCACACCCTGCTCATTTTTGTATTTTTGGTGGAAATGAGGTTTCACTGTGTTGGTCAGGCTGGTCACAAACTCCTGACCTCAGGTGATCCACCAGCCTCAGCCTCCCAAATTGCTGGGATTACACATGAGCCACTGTGCCCAGCCTGGAACATTATTATTATTTTTTTTTAAGGAAGAAAGCCCCATTTATTTAACTGCTGGCCAAACAGTTCAGCTCATTATGAATAGACTATTTCAGTTACTGTTGAAATAACTGGTCTTCATTCACTATTTAAACTTGTCATAAGAAAGCACCTTCTGAATAAAGAGTAAGGAACTATGGCAACAGTTAAATATAGTCCCAACCCATTTGCCATTCATCCTGTAACAGGAATCAGTTCCTATGTCCTCCATCAGGAGATGCTGCAGAGATGTTACCTGGATGTGGTTCCTGGCCAAAAACATCCTTTGTTTCTGCCATGCCTTGTTATGTGAGCACCTGCTCTTCTCCCCTTAGAAGAACCAGCCTGTGAAGACAAAGTACAAAGACAGGTAGGACAGCAGAATTCGAAAATACAGAAGGTAAAACCTAAGGATGTGTAAATCTGCTTGTGCGGTGTTTCTGCCCGTTCCAACTTCTCTCTGAATCTCTCACAACAACTAACACACCGCTTAATGGAAACATGACAAAGATCAGTGTTTGAACACTGGTTTCCAGTAATACTTTCCAGTATCTCTAAGAGTCTAGGCCGGGTGCAGTGGCTCACGCCTGTAATCCTAGCACTTTGGGAGGCCAAGGTGGTAGGATCACTTGAGGTCAGGAGTGCAAGACCAGCCTGGCCAACACAGTAAAACCCCATCTCTACTAAAAATACAACATTAGCAGGGTATGGTGGTGGGCACCAGCTACTCGGGAGGCTGAGGCAGGAGAATCACTTGAATCTGAGAGGAGGAGTTTGCAGTGAGCCAGGATGGAACCACTGAACTCCAGCCTGGACAACAAAGCGAGACTCTGTCTTGAGTAAGAAAAAAAAAGAGTCTAAATCAATATTACCTGAGAGCTTTAGGGTAACTCACGCTGAAATGAGAATAAGCCTCTGGTGACCAGAGCTGTGAAGGTGAATTTGTATAGCTTCGCTGCTTTGGGCGGCGTCCGTGCTCCAGTGGGGCAAGCCTTGAACCCTGCGCCAGTGATACTTAGTTCCAGTAAGTCTCAGCAGGAATCTGGGAGGCAGAGGAACATGAGATATTCCTAGAGTTCCCCGGAGTTGCTTTGAGGGGGCTGCTGACTGAGGAGGGAGATGAAGTGACTTGGCTCCCTGGACCTTACTCATCGACCACAACTTCCACTGGGAGGACGTTGCGCCTGGGCTCTACATGCAGCTGGCAGCACGGAGCATCTGCAGGAGGGAGAGGAGAGCCGCCTCCAAAAGAAGGGACAGATCCAGTTGCCCTCCAGTCCACCACAGATAGGACTTGGACGTGGAGGGAAAACTGGACCCCTGGAGGCTCAGAACAGTGGGCACTGCCCAGACAGGGTGGAATCTGCTAGCCTGGAGCTGGTTTGTCTCCACCCATAGAGAAGAACTTGGGGAACATAAGTGGGGAGCACCCAACGTGCTTATTGGCTGTTATCTGATGTTTCTGTTTGGATCACCCAGCTGTGTATTTCAAGAGCAGAGTCACCAGCCCTTCTGAAATATGCAAAAGCCTTCCTGATCTGTCAACCCCCACTAGACCCCACAGGCAGTTATTTAGGGAGACTGGGCCTTATTTACACATTAACCCCAAATTAAAATCACCATTTGTCAGTTACTCTTAGTTTGGTTTGCATATAGTAACTGACTAAACGGCTTGTGTATTGGTGGGTGTTGGGTGAATGTGCTAAGATCCCCTACTAAGCGCAGGATTCCGAGGCTTAGGCGGAGCTCTTTCCCTCTCCCTTCCTCCTCTCTGCAGCCACTCTCAGACCATCCCACTCTCCTTACAGTTCTCTAAAGCCAGGTATCCTATTGAACACCCGAGCATTGTAGCACATGTGGGGTTCCCTTCCCTTCTTCTCCCAGGCGAATTCCTGCTCTTTCTTCAAAATCCTGTTTTGGTGCTTCCTCTGGGAAATGACGTCCTATTCTCAGTCATTCTGCCCCTGTGTCCCCGCCGCTGCATACACACGGTGTTTATGTCTCTGTGCTGTGTCTCTGTACACACTGTGCTGTGTTTCTGTCTCTTCCTCCTGGTTGAACCACTTGAGGTTAGAGGACTGCATGTTTTTTTCGGTGTTGCATTTCTATGGAGAAGGGCAATGACTGACTGTAATGGTCGCTGAACGAATGGATCACACAACGAATGAGAAGCTTTTGATGAGATTCCACACCAAAGGATGTTTAAAAGCTAAATGTGTTGTTTCTGTCTGGTGGTGACAGAGTCTTGTTCTGTCACCTAGACTGGAGTGCAGTGGCATGATCTCAGTTTACTGCCACCTCCACCTCCTGGGTTCAAGTGATTCTCCTGCCTCAGCCTCCCAAGTAGCTGGGATTAGAGGCATGCACCATCATGCCTGGCTAATTTTTGTATTTTTAGTAGAGATGGGGTTTCGCCATGTTGGCCAGGCTGGTCTTGAACTCCTGGAATCAAGTCATCCACCTGCCTCAGCCTCCCAAAGTGCTGGGATTATAAGCGTGAGCCACTGCACCTGGCCCTGAATTCATTTTTGATATGTTAGAGTCGTGGCTTGAAGAGTAGAAATAAATAGCAAAGTATGCAAATGAAGCAGCACTCCCAGGGAGGACTCTCCTCAGGGATAAGGAATACTTGAGGTGAGGAAGGGAAGACACAGGTAAAGGCAGACGATGGGGAGGGGGCTTCAGGGTGGTCCTCAAATGTATTACCTTAGAGCTGCAAATAAAAGAGGCGTGCTGCATATTTTCCAGGGTTCCCAGAGGGTAAAACTGGATTCATTGGGTGCAAGGTATAAGAAAGCATTTTGGCTTAACATTCTCAAGTAATCGGAGTTGCCCAGGATGGAATGAGCTCCCTTAGGAAGCAGTGAGTTTTCTGCCTTCAGAGGTGTCTCAACCTGTATTAATATGACCACCTAATAATGACGCCGGGTTAGATAAACTTTAAGCCTTCTTCACATCCCAAGATTCTATGTTCCTACTTGAAATTTTCACCAGGAAAGCTGGTAGTGGAAGTACTCCATGAAGGTACTTAATTCCACAGAAGGCACAAGCAATTTCTGGTTTGGAATACTGAGTCGGAAATGCTGGCACACACCAAAACTTAGGCGAGTTACGAGAAAAAATGGCTAGATGGGCCAGGGCAGTGGATCACGCTTGTAATCCCAGCACTTTGGGAGGCTGAGGTGGGCGGATCATGAGGTCAGAGGTTTGAGACCAGCGTAGCAAACATGGGGAAACCCTGTCTCTACTAAAAATACAAAAAAATTATCCAGGGGTGGTGGCAGGTGTTTATAGTCCCAGCTACTTGGGAGGCTGAGGCAGGAGACTGGCTTGAACCCAGGAGGCAGAGGCTGCAATGAGCGGATAGCACCACTGCACTTCAGCATGGGCAACAGAGTGAGACTCTGTCACAAAAAAAAAAAAAAAAAGGCTAGATAGGCTACATAATGGGTAAATATACCATAATGTGTGTCAATAATTTTAGGCAGGGTGTGATGGCTCATATGTATCACCCCAGCACTTTGGGAGGCTGAGGCAGGAGGATTCATTGAGCCCAGGAGTTTGAGACCAGCCTAGGCAACCAAGTGAAACCCTGACATTACCAAAAAAAAAAAAAAATCAGCTGGGTGTGGTGATGCACACCTGTAGTACTGGCTATTTGGGAGGCTGAGGTGGGAGGATCCCTTGAGCCCAGGAGTTGAAGGTTGCAGTGAGCTATGATTGCACCACTGCACTCCAGCCTGAGTGACAGCAGGACCCTGTCTCAAAGAAAAAAAGTTAGATACAGAACCAGGATTACCCCTAGGAAAAACATCTGTCATTTTCTAAAGAGAGCAGCTCCAGGAGTCACTCACACAAAATGTTCCACATCATATTGTCACAGTGAGCATTGGAAGCAAAACAAAATGTATGTCCCAACCCATGGACAAATCCAGGGTCGATCTCCAGCACAGCTGGTGTGCTGGAATTCAAATTCTAGGAGGAAACAGTGGAGCCAGATAAAGTGCAAAAGAACTGATAGGCCAAGTTGATAAGAGTCATCATCATACAGACACTGAGGTTAGGGCCTTCAATTGAGAGAGCTGTGGACTAACGGGCACAGAATCAAAGGGCTTTGAGTTTAGAGCAGAAGCAGCTGTAGTCACTGAATTCTGGAACATGGGTAGTGGTTTTGGCTTCTTTCAGAATCACAGGAACTTTAGTTCATTTGACTTTGTTTACCAAATCAACAGTACACAGTGTCCAGCAAGGGCCCTTAGCACCTAACTAGCTGGGGTTGGGTTGGGTTGGGTTTAGCCGCATGCTAAACAGAAAACCACACACCTCCCTCCATAGCAGCATCTGTGGCCTCCGTATACAAGTCATTTGTGAAGTCTAACTGAAATTTGGAATGGTTGGAAATGATGTGGATTTGGTTGTGGTGGATTAGGCTTCAAGTTCCTTCGGCTGGTGTTCAAAGACTGGCGGGAAGGGATCATCGGATGACCATACAGAAACACTGGCAAATGGAAAGGGCTCATTTACAAAAAGCCTCAGAGGACGAAGAAAATAAACATCAAGTCCTTAAAGAGGAAAACCAATAAACAAATCGGGGTGGTTTGGTACAGACACTCAGTACATAGTCATTGGGTTGCACTCAGTGATGAGGTGGGAAGAACAGGCTGGAAATCAGGTGTGGAAGCTTCCAGCTCTGGCTTTGCCACCAATCAGTGAAGCTAGAGGACTTCCAACAAGTCGTTTGGTGACCCTGGGCCTCAGGTTTCCCATGTGTAAGGCAAAGACTGAACTAGTCCTTAAAGTGTGAGTGTTCTCTGATTTAGATTAGTGCTGAAAGGATAACAATTCTCACTCTGAAAATGTCAGGCCAGGCACAGTGCCTCACACCTATCATTCCAGCATTTTGGGAGGCCAAGGCGGGCAAATCACTTGAGGTTAGAAGTTCGAGACCAGCCTGACCAACATGGTGAAATCCTGTCTCTATTAAAAATACAAAAATTAGCTAGGTGTGGTGCTGTGCACCTGTAATCCCAGCTACTCAGGAGGCTGAGGCAAGAGAATCGCTTGAACCCAGGAGGCAGAGGTTGCAGTGAGCCGAGATTGCGCCATTGCACTTCAGCCTAGGCGACAGAGCGAGACTCCATCTCAAAAAAAAAAAAAAAAAAACTTGGGAAAATGTCACTTGTCATTGAAACTGAGACTGTACCAATGATTAGGGCTTCTGTGTGGCCAAGAGCAGAACAACTGAGAGTACTGTGATTTCAAGTGCATCCATTGTAGTAAAGAGAAAATGAGCCACAGGAGTCTAGTCCTGCTCGAAGTCATCCTGCAGTCCACTTCTCCCCAAAGGAAGGAATGGTGGTGTCCATTGTGAACATTTGGTTTCTGTGGAGAAGCAATTGAAAGCTGTCCAAATTTATTGCTCAGACAGGCAAGGTTCTGCCTGTGTGGTTTATTTCACTTAGATTTCAGCGATGCGGTTAGCACTGAAGTCTTGCTTTTAGTACTTATTTACATTCATGTGCACCGAACCTAAGAATAGCATCTTTTAAATAAGACTCTGCACATTCAGCTAGACATAGGAAGGTTGCACAGAACCGGTTTCCTGATAAATCATTATAACTTTCACAGTTATTCTTCCTTCTCTCACTCTCCTTTTCTTCTGTTTGTGTTTGCTTATTATCTTTTTTCTTACAGGAAAATCACAGAAGCAACACAAATGCAGGTCATTCCTTTACTAGAACAGCTGCATATCATGGCATAAATAAAGAATGCAAGCCGGGCACAGTGGTTCATGTCTGTAACCCCAGTACTTTGGGAGGCCGAGGCAGGCAGATCACGGGGTCAGGAGTTTGAGACCAGCCTGACCAACATAGTGAAACCCCGTCTCTACTAAAAATACAAAAATTAGCCGGGCATGGTGGCATGTGCTTCTCAGGAGGTTGAGGCAGGAGAATCACTTGAACTCAAGAGGCGGAGGTTGCAGTGAGCCGAGGTAGCGTCACTACACTCCAGCCTGGGTGACAGAGGAAGACTCCGTCTCAGGAAAAAAAAAAAAAAAAAAGAATGCTAGGGTCCCTTCTTCCTCAAATCCAGACCCTGAGGCCCAAGAAGGGGAAGAAGGTTGTCCAAGGTCACATAGTAAGGTTCCGGCAATGAGGACTGAAACTGAGGTTTCCTGAGTCCAAGTTCAGTGTTCTTTTCATCACATTCAGTAATCTCTACCAGGCACTATTTAAACAAGCCCTCTGGAGCTCAGGCGTAGGGGATGGAGGGAGTAGCGGCCACAAAGGAGGGTTCCCTCAAATGCATGGCAGAGGCATTTCCTGAGAAGGAAGGCTGATGAGTGTGGAGAGAGTTTTTACTCTGTCACCAGACTGAAGTGCAGTGGCACACGAGCTCAGCTCACTGCAACCTCCACCTCCCAGGTTCAAGTGATTCTCCTGCCCCACCCTCCCAAGTGGCTGGGATTACTGGCACCTGCCACCACACCCAGCTAATTTTTGTATCTTTAGTAGAGACGGGGTTTCACCATGTTGGCCAGGCTGGCCTCAAACTCCTGACCTCAGGTGATCAACCTGCCTCAGCCTCCCAAAGTGCTAGGATTACAGGTGTAAGCCACCAGGCCCAGATTTCCTGCCTGGAAACTCAAAGACACCTCAAAAGTAAAACAGGCCAGAGAGAGAAAGAGAGAGTATGAGAGGAGTACATTTCCTCTGTATTTTTTGTGTCCAATGCAAAAATCAATGTGTTTATTACAAAGGACAAACATCCTTTTCTTTTCCCCTAGTTATTCTCCTTGAGTCAGAATCTCATTTTGCCCTGTCTCACCTCACATCATTAACCCTTTCCAACACTATTCCTGTTTTCCTTTCACTTCTACCCCTCCAAAGTAGCATAATATATATAAAAAAATTCAAATTCTTAAATTAGCAAAGTTTCTCAAAGGAGCATTTTGGCCATTAGCATTGGTTTACACTCTACTTTTAATAAATATGGGAAGTGCTTGGTACATAGCAAGCACTAAACAAATTATTTGTTGAATGAATGATGATAGATAGACAGATAGATAGATGATAGATAGAATCTTTGTGTGTGTGTGTGTGTATATATATATATATATATATATATTTTTTTTTTTTTTTTTTTTTTTGAGATGGAGTCTCACTCTGTCACCCAGGCTGGAGTGCAGTGGCGTGATCTCAGCTCACTGCAACCTCCACCTTCTGAGTTCAAGCAATTCTCCTGTCTCAGCCTCCTGAGTAGCAGGGATTACAGGTGCACACTACGATGCCCAGCTAACTTTTTGTATATATATATATTTTTTTTTTGGTAAAGATGGGGTTTCACCATGTAGGTCAGGCTGATCTCGAACTCCTGACCTCATGATCCACCCACCTCAGCCTCCCAAAGTGCTGAGATTACAGGCGTGAGCCACTGTGCCTGGCCTTTGTATCTATATCTATAGATAAATCTATCTATAATATTAAGAATAGTAGGAAGTATATTTATTATTTTATTTATTCATTCAACAAATATTTGTGAGTATCTATAGTGCACCAGGCACTGTTCTAGATACTGGGGGTGCAGCAGGGAACGATAAGGGCACGGTATCTGCAAACACAGGGCTTCCATATTCCAGACGTGAATGGTAGGGTGAAAATTACTAGGGATTTGGAGTCAGAATGCCTGGATTTTTGCTCCTGCGTTCAAACTTTAATGCAACACAGAGCAAATCACCTGATCTGTCTGAGTGTCCATTTCTCCACATATAGGATAGAAATGATTAAAAAAAAAACTATATCAAGAGTTCACTGGCTGGGTGCAGTGGCTCACACCTGTAATCCCAGCACTTTGGGAGGCCGAGGTGGGCAGATCACTTGAGGTCAGGAGATTGAGACCATCCTGGCCAACATGGTGAAACTCCGTCTCTACTAAAGATAGAAAATTAGCCAGTGTGGTGCTGCATGCCTGTAATCCCAGCTACTTGGGAGGATGGGGCAGGAGAATCACTTGAATCTGGAAAACAGAGGTTGCAGTGAGTCGAGATCGCACCACTGAACGACAGAGGGAGACTCCATCTCAAAAAAAAAAGAGTTTGTTGTGTGAATTAAATGTGATAATGAATGCAGGATTGCTCTACAGGCACTTATGCATCTGTACAAATGTTACTTTCTGAATATTTTGTGAAGGTCATTAAACTAGAAGTCAGTGTTGTATCATTCAGGCCGTGTCTGTTTAGTCTTGGGGAAACAGATGCCACCTTAGCCGAGATCCTGGCTCCCATTCTTGTCCCTGTTGATCAAGCACACTGAGGATGACCTACCATCTTCCTTAAAGAATCTGGTCAAGTTTTTTCTTGCTCTCACAACAAGGCAAGCTAAAGAATGAAAGAAGGAAGAAGAGGAGACTGTTAATGAAATGACAGAAAGTTGACGAAATTTGGAGTTTATTTCCTTTCTTTGAGTTTGGGTTTAGGTTTCAGTGACTGTGGTGCTCCAGCATTTCCTAAGCACCTCACTGGCCATTGCACTGCTCTTCCAAACGACGGATGTCCCAGAGGAGCAATTTAAACACATTAGCTCAGAAGCAAAAGCCAAACAAAGGCCTCCAAATCTCTAAAGGAAAAGAGATATGTTTTCAGCATAACACACCGGTTAATGCCTTCAGCATTAGAAGTGTGGCCACCGGAAGCAGTCATGGTAGAAGCGAAGCTTTGAGATGATATGTTTCTCTCCATCTTTCTTCCCTAGGTAAAGCGATAAGCAAAATAAGCAGATATTTTCATAATGTACTTCATCAGATTCCAGGGAAACAAAGTTGAATCTTCTCATGTTGCTCTCCCAAGCTTGTTAAAGCTAATGAGGCATAAGATGACATTTCCGTCCTTATGGGGAATTCATGCACCCATCAGCAATTTCTGCAATAGCTGTTTTCTTTTGGGAGGAATGATGAATGACTTGCCTAACATCACACTGCTCAGTAAAATTCAAACTAAAACCTGATTCTCCCAATTTCTAGCCCACTGGCCTTTTTCACAGCCTTAAAATTCACTTAACAGTCTGAGCATGAGAAGTCATGCCAGTAATCCCAGCACTTAGAGAGGTTGAGATGAGAGGATCCCTTGAGCCGAGGAGTTTGAGACCACCAGCCTTGGTAACAAAGTGAGACCCTCATCTCTACAAAAAAAAATTTTTTTTTAATTAGCTGGGCGTGGTAGCATGCATCTATAGTCCCAGCTACTCAGGAGGCTAAGGCAGGAGGATTACCTGAGCTCAGGTGAGGATTACAGTGAGCCATGTTCACACCGCTGCACTCCAGCCTAGGTAACAGAGTGAGGCCTCAGAAACACACAAAAGCCCCAAAATTCACTTAGACAAACAGAAAAGTAAAATTCACTTTCCCTCAAGAAATAACTTGCTTTAAGAAAGTCAAATGAGAGAGAAGAGAGACGAGTGTCCCATACAGAAGAATTCCAAATAATTGGTGTAGCTTCTCCACCCTCAGGGAGGGAGAACAGAACTCCCTGCTCCATAAGTGCATGCTGTGCATAGCAACTACTTTCCAACGAAAACACTGCAGAGACTGGAGCGGGGAAAGGGTCACTTTACAGCAGAGAAACCAGACAAGCACTGCCTCCGCCAGGTGGCCAGCGTCAACACCAACAGTCCTGAATCACGTTGACCATATGGCCCCTTGATAGGATGTGAGAACAGCACTTTAACTCCATGACTCCTTCCCCAAAACCCATTAACTCCAGTCTAATCACAAGAAAAACGTCAAACAGATGTCAATAGAGAACCCTACAAAACACCCAACCAGTACCCCTCAAAAATGTCATATTCCTCAAAAACAAGGAGAGTCTGAGACACAACGTTACAGATAAGAGGAGCCTACATAGTAAATGTAACGTGCTATCCTGAACAGGACTCTACAGTAGAAAACAGACATTAGATAAAAACCAAGAATCTGAATCAAGTACAGCCTTCAGTTTAATAATAACATATCAGTATCGGTTCATCGCTGTAATAAATGTACCACACTAATATCACAGGGCAAGTTGGGTGGGGATTACATAGGAATGCTCTGAACTATCTCGTCAATGTTTCTGTAAACTCAAAAGTGTTCTAAAACTTAAGGTCCATTTTTAAAAAATCAACCACAAGTTACAGTACAAATTACATAAAAGAAACAACTCACCAAACGTCACTGAACAGAAGAAAACAAAGTTCTGCGTTGGTTAGAGAAATCCACAAAGGAGATGATGGCAGCTTCTCCTTGGTTCAGGTATTTCAAACCAGCTGGGTTACGCAGCCCTTTGGGGCCACAGTCGCAAAGCCACATTCACACAGCAGAAGTGAAACTGACTTGCCGTCAGGGGGCTATTTATCATGGTCTCCTCCCAGAGATACTGATTTATGATGTCTTCTCCTTTCACATCAATCTAAATTTGCCAGGCACAGTGGCTCACACCTGTAATCCCAGCACTTTGGGAGGCGGAGGCGGGCAGATGACTTGAGGTCAGGAGTACAAGCGCAGCCTGGCCAGCATGGTGAAACCCTGTTTCTATTAAAAATACGAAACAAATAAAAATTTTAAAAGATTAGCTGGGCGTGGTGGCGCATGCTTCCAGCAGGTGATCCCAGCTGCTCGGGAGGCTGAGGCAGAGAATCACTTGAGCCTGGAAGGTGGAGGTTGCAGTGAGCTGAAATCACACCACTGTACTCCAGCCTGGGTAACAGAGCAGGACTCGGTCTCAAAAGAAAAAACAAAATCTAAATGCTACATGAAACGAGGATCTTGCTTCCTTCTCTGCCATCGCCACATCCCCCTGAAGCATCCTCTCTCTGAGGGTGAACACGGTTCAGATGACCCAGCTCACTGGAGCAGATGGACAAAAATGCCCCAGGTCCAAGAGAGACAAAGCACTGGGTTTGAGATACCCAACTGCAAGACACGACTGGGAGAAAGGGATGCCATGAGATAATAAATACAAACTTATTCTTGACCCTAAGTCTTCAAATTCACCAAAAATAACATTTGGTGAATCCAATGTTGTTTGATTCATCGGATTGTTTGGATGTAGACATGAGTAATATACTGTTTAAATCTCTTTCTGGAATTTACATTTTAAATCCGTATATTTTTATTTTATTTCTTTATTTATTTAGAGACAGGGTCTCGGTCTGTCACCCTGGCTGGAGTGCAGTGGCACAATCATGGCTCACTGCAGCCTCGACCTCCCAGGCTCAAGCCATCCTCCCGCCTCAGCCTCCTGGGTAGCTGGGACCACAGCCATGGGCCATCATGCCCAGCTAATTTTAAATTCATATTTTTAATAAACCCAGAAAATAAAAATGTTAAAGTGCCGTCCAGGAGAGATGAAAATACAACCCACTTCATTTGCTGTGTCTGGAAACCCAAACCATCACATCAAATACAGGGAAAAAGCTGTTCCTTGAACCCTCAGCTTCAGGGTGTCTATTACCATTAAAGGCCAACTCAGTCATCACCAAGACAACCCTTAGTACTCCAGGTGTGTATTTAGTCCAAAGAGGGGATTCAGAAGGTAAAGAGGTCAGAACAGGAAAAGAATTGAAGATAAGTGTTTAGACTGGTCTTAAAAACTGCTTTGAACTTTCGGCAAGATGATGTCCCTTCTCCATAGAAACACCAAGGTAAAGTTCAAAACAAAGTCACCGTGAATCCATCCTGGGTGCTGGGTCTTCTACTGAGCTCTCTAGGCAAAATCACACCTGACGCTTGCATTCACGTCACACGTGCTCAGCTCTCCCTCTACTGGCTATTTCTTAGCTCCAACGATTAACCGCTAATGCTACTAAATTACTTAATAACTGAAATTAATTTTGACCATTTTTAAAGCTTCTTGGGGCCAGACACAGTGGCTCACACCTGTAATCCCAGCACTTTGGGAGGCTGAGGTGGGCAGATCACTTGAGGTCAGGAGTACAAGAGCAGCCTGGCCAACATGGTGAAACCCGTTTCTACTCAAATTACAAAAATTAGCCAGGTGCAGTGGCTTGTGCCTGTAATCCCAGCTACTTAGGAGGCTGAGGTGGAAGAATGGCTTGAACCTCGGAGGCAGAGGTTGCAGTGAGCCAAGATAAAGCCACTGCACTCCAGCTGGATGACAGAGCGAGACTCTGTCTCTGGGCTCTGTTGAATAAAATAAAGCTTCCTGGGTTCCGTTTTTGTTTGTTTGGTTTACATGGGGTCTCACTCTGTCACCCAGGCTATAGTGGTGTGATTATGGCTCATTGCAACCTGGACCTCCTGGGCTTAAGTGATCCTCCCGCCTCAGCCTCCCAAGCAGCTGGGACTACAGGCATGCCACCACACTTGGCATATATATATATATATATATATATATATATATATATATACCACCACACTTGGCATATCTTTAGTAGAGATGAGGTCTCCTTATGTTATCCAGGCTAGTCTCAAACTCCTGAGCTCAAGTGATCCTCCCACCTCAGCCTCCCAAAGTGTTGGGATTATGGGCATAAGCCACCAGGCCCAGACTCTGGGGTTCTTTATGGTGGTCCTTGGCACCTGCTATTGAATACCTGAATGCTAAGCCTATTCAATGTTTCTCCATTCTCTCAGGCTGAATTTCAATTGAACTCACTGAAAACATTGAAGCAATGAAAATGTCCACAGGGTCTCATTATCACACCCAACCACCTCGGGGTGCTCTTCCCTTCAGCCTGTTACTAATGAACTATCCATGTGCCCATTAAAGGCCAAATCCCTTCTCTGTGCATCAGATTCCATCCCTCTCTCAAACTGAAGGAGCACGTAGACTTCTTCCTCCTCTTCTCTTAATTCAGCAGACTTTTACTCCTCACTGGATTATTCCCATCGGTGAACAGACTTGATGTCATTTATTCCATTTTAACAAACACTTCCCTAGATCTCCATTTCCCTGACAGGTATTAGTACATTTCGCTGCACTTCGTTGTGACAAAACTCCTAGGCCAGGCACGATGTTAGCAGTTTGGGAGGCTGAGACAAGAGGATCACTTGAGCCCAGAAGTTCAAGACTAGCCTCAGCAACATAAGGAGACCCCCATCTCTACAAAAAACAAAAATAAAAATTAGCCAGGCATGGTGGCACATGCCCGTAGTCCCAGCTCCTTGAGGGGCTGAGATGGAAGGATCATTTCAGCCTGGGAGGTGAAGGCTGCAATGAGCTGATTATACCACTGCACTCCAGCCTGGGTGACAGAACAAGATCTTGTCTCCAAACAAACCGACCAACCCCCATAACTCCTCAAAAGAGTTGTCTCAACTTACGGTCTCAAATTCCTTCCCTCTCAAGCTAATATAAACCTATTCCAGTCAAGCCTTCACCCTTCCCATTCCATTAAAACTGCTCTTGTCAAAGTCCACAGTGATCCTGGTCAATTTTCAACCTTTATCTTCCTTGAGCCATTAGGAGCATTTGATCTGACTGATCATTCCGTTCTGTTTGACAAACTTTCTACATTGGCCTTTGAGATATCCACTCCTAGTTTTCCTCCCACCTCCCTGGAAGTGCCCCTGTCTTCTTTGCTGGTTATTCCCTTGCTTTTCAACCTGTTAATAAAACACTCCAAGGCTTTGTCTCTGGTGTCATTCCTTTCCACAGCCACCCTGTTTCACAGTTTTCAATTTCACTCACATGTCAATACCTCTCAACTGACATCCAGTGTCTTTTTCATGTCTTCCTGTTTACTAGTCATTCCAATATACAACAGGTTCAAAGCAACCCCCGCCAGTCCCTTGAGACACCTCTCCACCTAATCTCCATTTCAGCTAATGATCATCCACTGTTCCAGTCCCTCAGTGCAAACACTTTGGTGTCACACTTGATGTTGCCGTCTGCCTTTTATATTCCACATCTGATCTGTGAGGAAGCCTTGTTGAAATTATCAAATTATATTCAGAATCTGAACACTTCTTACCACCTCTGCTGCTGACTACCCTGATTTGAGTCACAATAATCTCTGGCCTCATTCAATGGTTCCTAAACTTTGCTGCCCAGTGGAAGAACCCAGGATCTTTGACAGGTCCTAATGCCTGACTCCCACCCCTTGATATTCTGATGTAATAGGTATGGGATGTGATCTGGGTACTGGGATTTTTCACTGCTCTCCAGCTGACTCCAATTGCAGCAAAGTTTGGGAATCACTGGCCTGCTATAGTAACCGCTACCCACCTGATCTTCCCGCTTCTAAGCCAACTCCCTCTCGGTCTATTCTCAATGTAGCACATAGACATGCTTTTAAATTACAGATCAGATCTAATCATTTCTCTGCTAAAAGCCTCAATGGCTCCCCATCTCACTCATGGTAAAAGCCAAAGGCTTTTCAATGGCCCACAAGGTCTCACATGAGCTGCACTGCCCCGCCCCATGCCCCACTCCTCTGACCCCTTTCACCTTGCCTCACCCACTGCTCCCATGATGTCAGCCTCATCACTCTCCTTGAACATCCTCTCATCTGGGACCCGGGCATCCTCTCACCTAAGACCTTTGCACTAACCGTCACCTCAGCCGGAAATACTCTTTCCCACGTAACTGCACATCAAGTATTAGCTCAAAAATCACATTCTCCATAAGGCCTTCTGTAACCTCTATTTAAAATTACACCTATAACCACCCATCTCCCTCCCTCTCTCTCTGAGGTAAAAGAGGAAAGAGGCAGAGGATGGTGCCCTTAATTAAGGAAGAGCAGATCTGGAGAAATCACAGAGTTCTATTTTGGACGTGTTAAGTTCGAGATGCCTGTTAGACACCAAATCTAACAAGATATCAAACAGTGGAGAAGCTGGGGTTGGACTGGAAACCCAGCAGCAGATACGTGGTGCTCTGAGGGTCACCTTGGAGAGACAAGGCTGAGTGACCCTCGTGGAACACTAGTATTCTGAGGTGAGGCAGAAACAGTCCATTAAAGAAAGAGAAGAAAAATGTCCATAAAAGAAAGAGAAGAAAAACAAGAGAGTGGAGGGCTCTAATAAAAGATTTTCATGGAAATGTTGACAAAAATAGTCAAACGCTGTAAAACACTTGAAGAGATTTATTTATTTATTTATTTATTTATTTTGAGATGGAGTTTCGCTCTTGTCGCCCAGGCTGGAGTGCAACGGCACGTTCTCAACTCACAGCAACCTCTCCCTCCCAGGTTCAAGCAATGCTCCTGCCTCAGCCTCCAGAGTAGCTGGGATTACAGGCATGTGCCACCACACCTTGGTAATTTTGTAATACATTTTTAGTAAAGATGGGGTTTCTCCATGTTGATCAGGCTGCTCTTGAACTCCCGACGTCAGGTGATCTGCCTGCCTCAGCCTCCCAAAGTTCTGGGATTACAGGCATGACATTTTTTCTGAGCCATAATGAGTGACCAATTGATGCAAGATAGGCAAGCCTCAAAAGTGGGGATTTGCCTGGGAGGGTTCTTGGCTTTGCCCAGGAAACCATTCAAGGCTGAGCTGGTGGTGTTAAAAAGCAACTCGCATTGAAGCGGTGGTGCACAGCAGCAGCAGAGGGACTGCTCCTTGCAGAGCGGGGCCACCCCTCAGGGGTATTTATTTAATTTGTATATATTTTACTTATTTTTGTATATATTTTAACTATATACAAATTAAGGGGCGATTTATGCAGAAATGTCAAGAATGAAGGTGGTAACCTCCAGGTCATCAGGTCATTGCCATGAAAGTGGGGGTAAGTTTCAGGTGTTGCCATGGCAATAGTAAACAGACGTGGCATACTGGTGGGCATCCTACGGAAAGCTGCTTCCACCCCTGCCCTATTTCAGCTAGTCCTCAATTTGGTCTAGTGTCCAAACTCTGCCTCCAGAAGAGAGTCCCACCTCCTACCTCACAATGGTCCATGACAGAGCCCCAGGAGATCCTGAGAACATGTGTCCAAGGTGGTCAGGTTACAGCTTGGTTTTATGCATTTTAGGGAGTCATAAGACATTACTACATGTAAGATGTATATGTTTGGTCCAGTGTGGAGGAAAAGTTACCAACATTAATTGGAACTCAATTGAACATGGACACAAACAATGGTCACCAAGTCCTGGAACAGGTTCTGTGAGCCTCTTGAGGTATTCATCCAGCACTGCTTTGTAGATCTATTTCAATCTATTCCTATATGTTAGCTATTGAAAAACAAGAGACAATTGCAAAAACAAGTTGACCTTTTGTGTTCCTTGAGCCCAGTCATGAAGGGCCTTGTAACTGGGCCTCATGCCAAACAACTTGTTACAAAAAGAGCTGAGGTCCCAGACCACACCAAAGCTTCATGAGACCTTTCCTCGACTGTGCATGGATGAGTGACCGACTCTGGAGCCCAGAATGTTGCTTTCTGGTCTGGTGGTGAATCCTCCATAGTCTGGTGAGTGTAGTGTCTGACTCTGGAGCCCTGAAGAGGTATGTGGGCTTCTGGCTTTGCAGCTGTTTAGGAACAGAAGGAAGGCAGTTTTTGTGTGACTCAGTTCCCAAGCTCTTTTTTTTTTTTTTTTTTTTTTTTTTTTTTCTTTTGAGAAGCAGTCTCACTCTGTCACCCAGGCCGGAGTGCAGTGGCACAATCTCGGCTCACTGCAACCTCCATCTCCTGGGTGCAAGCAATCTTCCTACCTCAGCCTCCTAAGTAGTGGTACCACAGGCGCAAGCCATCATGGCTCATGTTTTGTATTTTAGTAGAGACAGGGTTTTACCGTGTTGCCCAGGCTGGTCTCAAACTCCTGAGCTCAGGCAATCCACCCGCCTTGGCCTCTCAAAGTGCTGGGATTACAGGCGTGAGCCACCAGGTCTGGCAACTTTTTTTTTTTTTGAGATGGAGTCTCCCTGTCTTCAAGGGTGATGTGCAGTAGCACGATATCTGCTCACTTCAACCTCCACCTCCAGGTTCAAGAGATTCTCCTGCCTCAGCCTCCTGAGTTGCTGGGATTACAGGCATGCGTCACCACGCTAATTTTTATGTTTTCAGTAGACAGGGTTTCACCATGTTGGCCAGGCTGGTCTTAAAAAATGCCTGACCTCAGGTGATCTGCCGACCTCAGCCTCTCGAGGTGGGCATAGTGCTGGGATTACACGCATGAGCCACTGCGTCTGGTCCCAAGCTTAACTGTTTTCTTGGGCATAGTGAGTTTAGGGTCCCAAGATGATATTTTCCTTTCAGAAAAGGCATTCACGGCTTTCACGATGGTTACTGATCATGTGTGCCACTCATCCTGCACCCCGGATTCTCATTCGACTCCTGCCTGGTCTCTTCCAGGCCCTTAGTTTCCACAACAGGGTAGGGCTCCTCTTCCGTGTTCTCGCCCATTCACGTTCCCACCCGTCATCCCCGGATGTGACAACCCTAGGCTCCCACACCCCCCATGAGAGACCACCCACTTCCACCATTTCACTTAGGCTTCATGCGCAGCCTCTATCAAGGAGCTCTGTCTCATAGCTGTATCGCCCGTACAGCCACTCTGGTCAGACGCTCCTATCCTCCGTCCCTGAGACCCTGTGCCGGATCGCAGCCGAGAAGCCTCCCTCGCCGCCTGCTTCCCGGCGGGTTGCGCCCAGGGGCGGGGCGGGGGTTTGTGCGCGTCGTCTTCCGGGAAGAACTTTACGATTACGATACACTGACCGACGTTTTACGACAGACGGGGTTGCTTTGTGGCTGTCAGCTTTCCCCGTGGTCTTAGTTCGCGGCTGCATTTTTATCCCTGGTGGCTTGCTACCGCGGCGCAGAAATGAAGCAGAAGCGCAAAGGTGCGAAAGGGGAAGGAGGTGTGGAAAAGGGGTAGTCCGAAAGGGGCGAACGCCCAGACAATCGGATGCTGAACCGAACTTTTCCTGCGAGAATCCGCTCCCCAGTCCTGTCAGTCGCGTCTCCCCCTAAGATCAGTCTGTCCATTCCTGACCCCTGCCTTTTTGTCTTTCCTTTTGTGCTTTTTGAGGCACCCTACCCTTCCTCTCTTCCGCTTTAGCAGTCACTTGGTGTCCTTTGCTTGAATGGTAGGGAAACCTTTATTCCAAGATATGCCCTCCGAGGAGTTTACGTTGTGGGACTTTTGATTTGTTAAGATTTGTTTCACGACACATTTGACGTGTCAATTTATTTTAAAGCCTTATGTTAAAATGAAGAAATTATCCTTGGATTCAGTGTAACAGTTGTGCATGCAATTATTCCCGTTTTTATTACCACCTGAGTTGGCATGGAACAGTTCCACCTTTGGTTTTTCAACAGGATGGATTCAAATTTTAAGTATTCTTTCACAGGTTCTGTTCATATTTCTGTACACTCATTTAGCCAGTTGGTCTAATCATGGTAATGGTTGTCAGAATAATAGCTGTCATTTATTGAGTCTGAATTATGAAGTCGGTATCATTTCCATTTTACAGATGAAGAAGCTGAAATTCAAAATGTTAAGTAACTTTCCCAGCCAAAAATTATACTTAGGTGTGGCGCTGGTTGGTTAGGCTATCTGTAAGCTCAAAAAACATAAAATGAAAAATAAATACATCGTTCATCACTATGCGTCTTGACATTAACTGCTGTTTTTCTTTCTTCCGAGGAACAATTCCAGGTGTCCACGTTGCCTTCGATTGGGTCTTGTCACATTTGCAAGCCCTAAATTAATTTGTTAGCTCACTCTAACTTGCTCCTTCTCAATCTGTCAGGCTTCTTTTAGCTGCTTCTCTCACCAAGTGATGTTGGTTCTTATTTAGAAATTGCCTCTTGGAATATTATTCCTCTTCATTCTGGCTGCCAACCTCCTAACCCACCTTCATCACTAATATTTGAATGGTATTTTAGCTTTCATATACATTATTTATTTGCATCTTAGAATGGTTTTGTGAAATTTGGATGTATTATCCGAATTTTACAGACAAGGAAATGGACGCTCAAAAAGTTGTTGATCCCGGCCAGGTGCGGTGGCTCTATGCCGGTAATCCCGGCACTTTGGGAGGCCAGGTGGGTGGATCACTTGAGGTCAGGAATTGGAGACCAGTGTGGCCAACATAGTGAAACCCCATCTCTACTAAACATACAAAAATTAGCCGGGCGTGGTGGCAGGTGCCTGTAATCCCCACTACTTGGAGGCGGAGAGGAGAGAATCCCTTGAACCTGGTGGGAGGTAGAGATTGCAATAAGCCGAGATTGCACCACTGCACTTCAGCCTGGGTGATGGAGCAAGACTCTATCTCAAAAAAAAAAAAAAAAAAAAAAAAAAAAATTGGTGATCTTTTCCTTTCGCACACAGCCAGTAGGGATTGAGACTGGATCCTGTCTTAGATTTCCTGGGCTTTTAAAACAATGTTGCTTTTCAAGAGCCATTTGCATAGTATCCAGATTATATGTATTCTTTTCACTTTCTGAATCATTACTTTGTGTCAGTACTATTTTTACCTTCTTTAAACATTACTTTCATCTTTTTATTTCCAAAGTTAAGACTATGTCATTCTTTACTGTCAATTGCATTCCATTTCAATGCCTTTGCCAAGTGGCCAGGGTCCCCTGAAATCTATTCTTTACTAAACCCTGTTCGAAAGCTGCAATCTAGTTAGGCTGTGCTCCTTCACACACAGATAGGTAATTCCTCTGCCTGACATTATTGCTTCTGGGTTGCCTTCTTTTTTGCATGTCCAAATCTTGCCTATCTTTAAAGATCCCTGTGCCGTTTCCTCCAAGAAGCTTTTGCCTACTCATTTACTCCTCCAGTTCCTGATACACTCAAGAGCGACACAAGTGGTTTTCAAATCTTATCTCCTCTTAACAGCTGATTTGCTTTCACTCTCCCAGTAAATTCTTACACAGAACCTCAATATATAAACAACTGAAAGAGCTGCTGTGGTGGAAATCAAGAGACCCCCTCCTTTTTTTCCCTCCTCCCTTATTTTCCTCTTCCCTTCTCCCTTCCTCAGCCATGACCACCACCCGTCCTACCTCTGTTACATGGCCCCTGAGGCAGCTCTTTAAAACTCTGGAAGTGCTGAGTTACATGGTTTGGAAAGCATTTAGCCTTTGATTATAGACGGACTTCATTTCCCTCAAAAACTGTTGTGTATGTGTTAGCCTTGCCTCATTAAATTAGAGACAATGTGGTGCAGTGAAAAAAGCCTGGAAGTTGTGGTGTAAAGAGTTGCACTTGAGTCTTGGCTGTGCTATTTATGTTGGCTTGTTAACTTGCCTTAGCCTCATTTTTCATGTCCATAAAATGTGATAACAGTACCTACCTTCAGTGTTACTCTCAGTGTTCAAATGGGATACAGTAAATGTGAGGGTTCCGTAACTGCCAGGGCCTCCCATCCACACTTTTCCTTATCTTTTAGCTTTCTGTATAGTATGGGTCCTCAACCCGCTGGACCACAGACCAGTACTGGTTCATGGCCTGTTAGGAACCCAGCTGCACAGCAGAAGGTGAGCAGCAGGTGAGGAAGTGAAGCTTCATCAGTATTTACGGCTACTTCCCATCACTCACGTTACTGCCTAAGCTCCGCCTCCTGTCACTTCAGTAGTGGCATTAGATTCTCCAAGGAGCCCAAACTGTTGTGAACTGTGCTTGCGGTGGATCTAGATTGAGCGCTCCTTATGAGGATCTAATGTCTGATGGTCTGTCACTGTCTCCCATCACCCCCAGATGGGACCGTCTAGTTGCAGGAAAACAAGCTCACTGATTCTACGTTTTGGTGAGTTGTATAATTATTTCATTACATATTACAATGCATTAATAATGGAAATAAAGTACACAATAAATGTAATGCACGTGAATCATCCCAAAACCACCCTGCTCCCCTGGTCTGTGGAAAAATAGTTTTCCACTAAACCAGTCCCCAGTATGAGTAAGGTTGGGAATCACTGCTCTACCGGCAAGAAACTTGCTTGCCAACAGCTTCCAAGCTGATACTCCACAGCTTTCGTCCCTGGAAAAAGACTGGCATTTTTTCGCCTTGAACCAAAAAGCTCCCGTTGGCCTGGCTTAGAGGTATGCTCATCCTTGAACCAGCTCTTGAACTGTGCTTCCGTGGAGTGGGTCATGCAAGAACCTGTCAGCTTCTGCTCTTGCCTTTGGATGAGAGCGGGCACCCCACTTGCCAGGAGAAGTCCATGATGGTGGACAGACAGTATTTTAGAAATGCATTAAGATTCTTAGACAGGTTTGAAACTTTACTTTTGATAGCATTTTTATGTAATAGGTACATATTCTTGTTCTGTCTGCCTGTGAGAATCACCTGAATTCATGCATCTAAATGTCCTTTATGAACTCTAAAGTATTATGCAAATACTAGTAATTACAACCCGGGGTGATAAACGGAAGAGAATTACTTTGGTCCTTTCCTGTATAATTAGGTTCTTTCTCCTCACATTGTTTCTACTCCTCCTTGTATTGTTTCCTGTATTTATCTGTAGTCATCTCATGGTATATGTGCTTCTAAAGGGAGCTTTTTCCATGTATATGTAAAGCCAGGTTTGTTTAAATTAAAGATACAAAAGATATGATCAAATCGTGAACAGTAGAGGTTTAGCGTCTTCTGAACTTGAGCTGTTCATTTGGCATATTTGTGTGGTTTAGGAAGGAAAACTTCTAAATCAGACTTTAAAATCTGGATTGAATGATACAGTTTTTGACATTGTTGAATATTCACTTTCCAGGAGATCTCAGCCCTGCTGAGCTGATGATGCTGACTATAGGAGATGTTATTAAACAGCTGATTGAAGCCCATGAGCAGGGGAAAGACATCGATCTGAATAAGTAAGTGGATCTCAAAATATAATCATGTACAGCTTGGACTTTCCTACAGTCACAAGTAAGAGTCATCTTTCGTCTCTGCATCTACTCTTTTTTAACTACAATATATGTTCACTCTGTTTAGATCTTCCCTAATGAAAGGTTCTCTCCCCAACCCCAGGTCATCACCGCATATAGGAATGACCTTTCCTTAGACTCTATTCTCTGATACTTGAGATGCTTTTCTTAGCTAGCAGATCTCTTTTATGAAATGATCTAGTACTACTTGTTTTCCAGCTCAAGTTTTATTTTAGTTGAGAATTTTAGCTTTCTGCCTTGCCTTGTCATTCATTTCTTAATGGCAAAATTGTCTCAGCTTAAGAATACTAATAGCTTGTAATGTTTATTGGGCACTTACCGTATTCCAGACACTGTTGCTAGTGCATTGTATGTGTTAGCTTAGTTAATCCTCTCAGAATTCTGTGAGATAGGTACGGATAACAGCCTCATTTGACAAGTGGGTAATCTGAGCCAGAGACTGGTTAAATAATTTGTCCAGGGGTAAGTAACTAGCAATTGGCAGAGCTGGGATTTGGAATTAGGTCAGCCGTTTCGGTCAGCCGTCTCCAGAGCCCGTGTTCTGTGCTGCATCACAGCACATCCTACTTTCCTTCCCTTCTGTCTTAGCTAAAGCAGCAGCTTTCTGCCAGGAAAGCCCTCCCTTTGGGGCCCCTGGTCTAATCCAACCCTCCCCTGCTGTAGAACCTCTGACACATTCACCCACTTCCTCCGCATAATCATGTACAGCTTGGACTTTCCTACAGTCACAAGTAAGAGTCGTCTTTCGTCTCTGCATCTACTTTTTTTTAACTACAATATGTTCACTCTGTTTAGATCTTCCCTAATGAAAGGTTCTCTCCCCAACCCCAGGTCATCACCGCATATAGGAATGACCTTTCCTTAGACTCTATTCTCTGATACTTGAGATGCTGCAATATTTTACCCCTTCCTTGAATCCTCGTGCTTAGTAAATATTTGCTATAGACATAAATGAGTAAATAATTATCCTCTTTTGACTATAAAGATATAATATTTTACTGATTTTTCTACCACATCTTTAACAGCTTTTCTTTCTGTTTCTGTTGGTTATATCCCTGATTTCTACATCTTACATATGTTTGTCGTTCTCTTTAATTTAGCACATCTAAAGCTAAAGCTGCCATCTTCCTTAAAACTTGCCCCTCCTCAGATGTCACCAGCCTATTATTGGAAGGTCTCTCAGTCTGGCTTCAACCCGCTTTTCCAAGTTTTTAAACTTCTGTACCTTTATATTGAAAATCTTCTGCTTTGACTGTTGGGGTGGGTGTGTGTGTGTGTGTGTGTGTGTGTGCGTGTGTATGTGTGTGTGTGTATATGTTATGACATGTTTTAAGCATTTATACATTAATTTTTTTTGGATGCCTGTCTGCAAACATGTAAACATAGAACAAGAAAGGACTGTGCCTTACACCTTCTTCTAAATCTTCTTTTAAATATTAAAAAAGAAAATTAAGTGTCCTGAGTACCAAGCACTCAGGCAGTCTGCTGTCTGTGTTAGATACCCAGTTAACATTTGTGGGCGACAATGTGAGCACCTCACAGATATTAGAAGACTGGGTGAGCAGGCACAAAGAGAAGCTGGTACAAAGAGTTTTTTAAACTTTCGAAAATATATACTTTATTTCCTATTTGGTTCTGTGTAGCCATCCTGGATTTTTTTTTTCTTAATTGTTGTTACTGTTTTGTCTAAGACAGTAGCTTTCAGTGATTTCTTCCTCAGGACATTTGGCAATGTCTAGGGACATTCTTGAGTTTTGCAACAGGAGACAGGAAGAAGGCTGGTCGTGGGTAGAGGCCAAGGATGCTGCTAAACCTCCCTCAGTGCACTGGACACCCGCCACAGCAGATAATGGTCTGGTCCCAAGCATCAGTAGTGCTGAGGTCAAGAAAGGTGCAGTGAGAATAGTCCTTTGAAGCTACAGCGCTGTTCTGACCTAGATTATATTTTGTCTTCATCTGGGGACGCTTCTCCCTCCAGAGCCCTCTGGTTTTCTTTCTGGTACTAGAGAGCAGGAAGTAGTCATTCACTCATGAATTTTATTCTTCTGTTTCCCTGATACTCACAGATTTTTTTTTTTTTTAGACTGAGTTTCACTCTTGTTGCCCAGGCTGGAGTGCAGTGGTGCAATCTCAGCTCATGGCAACCTCTGCCTCCGAGGTTCAAGTGATTCTCCTGCCTCAGTCTTCCGAGTTGCTGGGATTACAGGCATGTACCACAACGCCTGGCTAAGTTTGTATTTTCAGTAGAGATGGGGTTTCTCTGTGTTGGTTAGGCTAGTCTTGAAATCCTAACCTCAAGTGATCCACCCATCTCGGCCTCCCAAAGTGCTGGGATTACAGGCGTGAGCCTGTAAAAAGTTTTGCCACACCCACCAATATTCACAGATCTTAAAGCTACTTTTTTCAGGTGTTGAAGGGTTAGGAGAATGACACTTGTTAATGATAATGCTTATAGATCATCCTTTTGGTAGCTTGTTCTTAAAATACCATGATCTTGGTAATGTGAGATGCTTTACTTTCAGGGTGAAAACTAAGACAGCTGCCAAATACGGCCTTTCGGCCCAGCCCCGCTTGGTGGATATCATCGCTGCCGTCCCTCCTCAGTATCGCAAGGTCTTGGTTCCCAAGTTAAAGGCGAAACCCATCAGAACTGCCAGTGGGGTGAGTGATTCGATTCATGGAGTATCAACACACTGGGAATCTGGCAGAAGTCCTTGCCCCATGTACACCCATGTAGTAAGGTGGAGTGGTGGCTTCTAACAAATGAAGGTCCATATCAGGATCTGTGCTGGAGTGGAGACCTGTGTGGAACACGAGGAGAGCAGAGAGAGGAAAAAAATAAATTGTGAGTAAAGGAGTAGGCGATGTCTTGACGTCTTTAAAAGTATAGATTTAGGCTTGGTGACAGTCACAATAGGATTAATATTGGCCATCTTAAGCTGGTAGCTTTCAATATAATTGATGCTTGTAAAAGGTACTTTTGGTAGGTAGTTAATGGTGCAAAGTCGTTCTATATACGGTCATTGGGAGCACTGTGGAAGTCCAGAGGACAGCAATGTCCTTGCAGCACATGGGGCTGGGAAGGCCCAGTAGAAAGCACAGAGCTTGCTTGACCCATAAGCCAGGAGGAGCAGGCCCAAAGCGTCATGGGAGCAAGGACACAGGAAGCTAAGGCACAGAGGTAGAAATGATGGGAAGGGTGTGGTGTATGCAGGGAAGAGTGGGTATGCCAGACCGAAGGGCACTAACAGTTCATTCAGGAGAGCAGGACTGTGCCTTGAACAGGTAGTTTGGGATCAGCCAGTAAAAATCTTAAATGTCTGGCAAAGCAGCTAAGTAATAGGAAACAAAAGTTTTGCAACAGGAAGTAATATGAACAACGTAGATTTTCAGAAAATTAATATGGATACAACATACAGGGTGGTTTGGAGACAGAGACTAGATTCGACGCTCTTGGTATGATCTCAGTGTGCAGTGTTAAGGACCTGGGTTAGGATGGGGACTCTAGAATGAGAGAGATGAGTGTGAGATACATCAGGAAAATGGAGAGAATTAAGACCCTCGTAACATGTGGTCCCCAGAACCAAATTCTGTTCCCAAGGTGACCCCACGCGTTCAGTCTGTTACTTGAATTGGGATATTATATTCCAAGGCCACTTTGTTGACTTGGTGACCGTATCTCCTGGATCATGTTACATGTGCGGCTAATTAAACCCTAAAACTTTTACATACAGTGTACCACCAACCCTCGTATCCTCTTCTTTATACTTAAGTGTTTTTGTTTTGTTTGTTTGTATCTAGTGTAAAAAGCTTGTTAAGAAAAACTTGTAGTCCCTGCCCCTCACCTCCCTTTTTCTACCCTCCAGCAACCACTTTTAACTCTAAGCCAATTTCTTTAGCATTAACTTCCACATCCCTAAGTAACATTCTTCAAATAATAGATAAGTCTTGACTTGTTCTGTTCGTTCGTTCTTTCTTTCTTTCCTTCTTTCTTTCTTTCTTTCTTTCTTTCTTTCTCTCTCTCTCTCTCTCTCTTCTTTCTTTCTTTCTTTCTCTCTCTCTCTCTTTCTTTCTTTCTTTCTTTTTTTTTTTCTGAGACAGAGTCTTGTTCTGTCGCCCAGGCTGGAGTGCGGTGGCATTATCTGGGCTCACTGCAGCCTCTGCCTCCCAGGTTCCAGTGATTCTCCTGCCTCAGCCTCCCAAGTAGCTGGGACTACAGGCATGTGCCACAACGCCTGGCTGATTTTTGTATTTTTAGTAGAGACAGGATTTTACTATGCTGGCCAGGCTGGTCTCGAACTCCTGACCTCAGGTGATCCGCCCACCTCGGCCTCCCAAAGTGCTGGGATTATAGGCATAAGCCACTGCCCAGCCGACTTTTTAGGGTTAAGCATTATGTGTGGGCTTGCCACTAAAGAAGACAAAAGCTTAGCAACTTTTCAGCCTTACTGGTGAACCTAGTCTTCTGTGATACCACCCTCTCTGTTTCTCCTGTGTCTGATCATTTCGGTTCTTTCTCTGAGGGCTACCCTTGTCGTGCTTACCTCGAAAAGTTAGTGTTTTCTGTCGTCCTGGACCCATTGTGTTCAGTACTGTACATGCTTTCTTGGCAGCCTCATCCATTTGATGGTTTTAGCATTGCTGTATGCTGACTCCCAGCATTAACTGTTCCCTGAGCGTCAGACTCATGTCAGATTGTCAGTTAGGCATCTGTCTTTTGACTGCCCAAGAACCTCCTCATGTATAACTTAACCAAAACTAATACCAGACCTGCTTATTCATCTTTCCTGGACGTGTTAGTTCATGATGCCGCCATGCACTCAGTTTCCAAAAGAATGTGAAATGCATTGTCTGTTTCTGCTGCCACTGGTAGGAATGTTTTGGTCTTTATTATTTTTTGTTTAGATTATTTCAGTCATTTCCTTACTCATCTACGTTGTCCCACCTGCATGAAATTTAACAGTGTCGCAAGAGTGATCTATGGAAAGTATCAGAAAGACACAGCTGGTGGCCATTTTCTGTCTACTACCATTCTCACCTCCATGCTTTTATTCTTGCTGTTTCTCTGATGGCGTTTTATTTTATAGAGTAGTTTTAAATTACAGAGAAAAACAATTTTATATACTTCCTCTGGCACCTTGACCCCATCCCAGTTTGTCTATTATTAATATCTTGCATTGTTTGGTACATTTGTTGTAATTGAGGAACCGATATTGCTGCGTTATTATTAACCAAAGCTTGTAGTTACATTAGAATACACTCTGTGCTCTACATTCTGTAGGTTTTGCCAATATATAATGTCACGTATCCCACTATTAATTACAGTGCTGTATGAAATCGTTTCACTGCCCTAAAATCTCCTATTTGTCCCTCGTCCTCTCCATGCTCCAAATGTAACCTGACTACCACTAATTGTTTTACTGTCTTTATGGTTTGCTTTTTCCAGAGTGTCGTGTACAGTAGGAGGAATCATGCAGCCTTTCCCCTTAGCCATATGCATTTAAGGTTCTGCCATGTTGTTTTGTGGCTTGGCAGCTCGTTCTTTTTTAATTGCTGAATGATATTCCGTTGTATGGATGCACCTCTCTTTGCTTATTCCTTCATCTATTGAAGGACATCTCAATTTTTGGCAGTTAAACAAAATTGTGTGAAGGTTTTAATGTCAACCTTGAGTAACTTTCAAGAAGTGCAGCTGGTAGATCACAGAGTAAGACTATGTTTCACTTTGTAAAAAACGGCAGACTCTTCTAATGTGGCTGCGTCATTTTGCATTCCCGCCAGCAGTGAGTTCGAGCTCCGATGCTCCACGTCCTTGCTAGCATTTGGAGTTGTTAGTGTTTTGGAGTTTATTTTGTTTATTCATTTATTTATTTTGAGACAGGGTTATGCCCTGTCACTGAGGCTGGAGTATAGTAGCGTGATCACAGCTCACTGCAGCCTCAACCTCCCAGGCTCAAGTTTTCCTTCCACCTCAGCCTCCCGAGTAGCTGGGACAACAGGCATGCATCACCACACCAGCTAATTTTTACATTTTTTGTAGAGACAGGGTTTCACCATGTTATCGAGGCTGGTCTTGAACTCCTAGGATCTTTCTACCTTGATCTCCCAAAGTGCTGGGATTACAGGCTTGAGCTGTGGTGCCCAGCTAGTGTTTTGGATGTCAGCCATTCTCACAGTTGAGCCGTGGTATCTCCTTGTTGTTTAGTCTGTAATTCCCCAATGACACGGTGCTGAGCATCTTTCCATATACTTATCTGCCACTGTGTATCTTCTTTAATGAGAGATCTCTTCCCATCTCTTACCCTGTTCTTAACTGGGTGTTTTCTTACTAGGTTTTAAGAGTTCTTTGTATAGTTTAGCTACAAATGGTTTATCAGGTACCTGTTATGCAGGTATTTTCTCCCAGTCTGTGACTGGTCTTTTGATTGGCTTTCTCAGAGCACAGCTTTTAAGTAGAGACAGTGAGGTCTGTAACCCATTTTGAGTTTGTATTCAAGTTGTTTGTGTTTTCCTTGAAACACCATGGTTGTTAATGCTGATACATTACTGTCGTTTAAGCTCAGACCTCATTTAAATTTCACCAGCTGTTTCAATAATGTCCCACAGAACAGAGCTCAGAATCACCTGTGGCATTTAGTGGTCATATCTCTTTAGATATTTCCTTTGTTTTTTTTGCAGTCCATTACCTTAACACTTTTGAAGATTTCAGGCAAGTCATTTTGTAGCACGTGCCTCGGTGCGGGTTCGACTGTTTGCTCATCATGCGGTTCAGTTATACGTCTCTGGCCTCTGCATCACGGAAGCGGCACTGTGTTCTTCTCGTCTCCCATCGGTGGTGCATAGGTGCCATTTGTCCTGTCACTGGGGTTTCTCATTTTGATCAAGGTGCTGTCCACCAGACTTCCTCTCTGTCAAGTTTATTTTTTTCCACTTTGTATTAAGAAGTGTTGTGTGGAGAAATACTTGGGAACTAGGTAAATACCCTGTTTTTCATCACATACCCGGTCGCTCCTTTATTTGTATGAAGGAATTAAAGGTTTCCTATTTTGTGGGTTGTCATCTGTTACTATCACTATTTATTTTGATGCACAAATTGTTGCAAACTTGACCAGCGGGAGCCTTTTGAAGCTGGTTTCTATGTCTTTTTAAAATGTCCTCATCATTCTTTGAGCAGTTTTTAGCTTTCTGGTGCAGCAAAATGTTCCAGGCTCAGCCAGGCATGGTGGCTCATGGCTATAATCTCAGCACTTTGGAAGGTCGAGGCAGGTAGGTCACCTGAGGTCAGGAGTTCGAGACTAGCCTGGCCAATATGGCAAAACCCAGTCTCTACTAAAAAAAAAAAAAATTGAGCATGGTGGCACATGCCTGTAATCCCATCTACTTGGGAGGCTGAGGCAGGAGAATTGCTTAAACCCAGGAAGTGGAGGTTGCAGTGAGCCAAGACCACGCCATAGCACTCCAACAGAGTGAGACTCTGTCTCAAAAAAAAAAGTTCCAGGCTCATCTTAGACTTTCTTTGCTCCAGCCCTGGAATCAGCCATTTCCCCAAGGAGCCCTGATTTCTTTTAGCAGAGAAGTATATTCAGAAACTAAGACCTGTGTACTAGGTGTGCTTACTGCTGCTAGGGTGTTGCCGCCAGACACTCTCAGTGGATCACGCGAGGACGTACGTATGTGTAGCTACATACATACATGCACCACATACAGGTAATACATTTCCGTTTTATTTGTCAGTCTGCCATATGTTGAACACTCTAATTCACCACAGTACCTTTAATTCCACCCAGTCTGCAGCATTCATTCTGCTGTTCTCCCTTTCCATGTTTGTAACTGCTTCTCTGAAGCCTGGCTCACATTTGCTTTCATGGATGGCCTGATTTCACCAAGTGCCCCAGATGTAAGCAGTCTCATGTCTGCCACTGCCTCCTCTCCTCACCCCACTGAGACTCTATCAGGACCCTCTGAGGTTATTTACATCAGACTCTGTGAAACATGAAGCTGCCAATTTAACAGTCCCTGCTGCAAATACTGAGATCTAGTATGTTCACGAGGTGTTTGAGTCATAAAGGTTAGGTTTATATAGAATTGCATAAAGTAATTTTTTTTTCCTTACAGGCTATTTAGTAAGACAGAGAAAGACTAAGAATCACTGTGGCTTTAACAATTAATTTGTTATTTTGTACCTAATTGATTGTAAAATGGAATACAAACATCCATATAATACATACGGACATTTTAACTATGATTCATACTGAACAGAGATCACCCTTGTACCCAGTGCCCAGCTTTAAAAATACAGCCTCGTCGATACCTTTGAAGCCCCTTCTTGCCACTGGTTGCATTCCTCTCCTTCTGTCTAGGGATAACTGCTCTGTGGAGTTTTGTACTAATGATCCTATAAGAGCTTTTGTATTCATCTTTCTTTTATAGATTGCTGTTGTGGCTGTGATGTGCAAACCCCACAGATGTCCACACATCAGTTTTACAGGAAATATATGTGTGTAAGTATGGTGATTTTGTTAAGTTGTATGTATTTGTGTTTTAATTTAATTATGTCCCTCAAGCCCTTAGTCAGTACATGCTGGTAATATTTAAAACTTTGACTTAATAGATTTATTGATTACTCCTTTCAAAAAAGCAACCATTGATAGATGTTTTAGTGCTTTAAACTTGGAGTATACGAGGCTGGGCGCATTGGCTCACACCTATCATCCCAGCACTTTGGGAGGCCAAAGCAGACAGATCACCTGAGGTCAGGAGTTTAAGACGAGCCTGGCCAACGCTGCTAGGCCTGTCTACTAAAAATACAAAAATTAGCTAGGTGTGGTGGCGTGCACCTGTAGTCCCAGCTACTTGGGAGGGTGAGGCTGGAGAATTGCTTGAACCCGGGAGATGGAGGTTACAGTGAGCTGAGATCATGCCACTGCACTCCAGCCTGGGTGACAGAGCGAGACTCCATCTCAAAATAAATAAATAAATAAAATTGAAACATGTATATTTTAATTTGTTGCAATATACAATTTTAAAAATGTAGGTTATGGAATTCAGTACAGTAGACATTGGGATATGGAACTCAAAACGGTACATTCTGTGAAACTCATAAATGAAACATTGGAATATAAGCTGCCTAAATTCCACATCAGAAATTTAAAATAAGTTTGGATCAGAAATATATCAAAGTAAAAAATTATTCTTCTACATAACCTTTAGATTTCTCAAACTCAGTTGTTTGAAAGAATTAGCAGAAGGGTTTGCATGATTCTAGGTAGGAAGATAAAAAGGGGCAAAGCTTTTCTTTGAGTGTGGTTCCCAAGAGAACACCGAGGATTGATCCAAACTCAGGAAAACTTCATTCCTGTTGTTTGCCCCAAAAGCTTAAACCTCTGAAATAGCCACAACTGCAGCATTTTGAAAATGGGTGTAATATGGTCTATTTACGTGTTTATCTTACTTGTTGGCAGAAAATACATTACAGACACCGCAAAGGTAGATTTTTCTGTTGGGATTTGAAAAGGAAGCTCATTTGATGTCAGGATTTTATGGAGACAGTAGATGCTTGGAACTAGATGGCTGAACTAAATTTTGTATCTGACATTCTGGTTCTTTTGCTGTATTGGCAGATACTGCCCTGGTGGACCTGATTCCGATTTTGAGTATTCGACCCAGTCTTACACTGGCTATGAGGTACAGTAACTTCAGGCTGTCCTGATGAAGTGTTGCATCACTTACCTGTGGCGTGCTTTTACCAGTACTGGCTTTCTGACAATTTTGTTTTGGTTGTTTTTGGTTATTGTTGTTCTAATTATAAAAGGTGTTCATTCACCAAATATTTGCCAGTGTCTACTAGTGCCCTATATTGTTGTAGCCATGAGAGAAATACTTACATGAGCACTTCTTATTACTGTATCCCAGACACTGTTCAAAGTGCTTTACAACTGTAAACCTTATTGCAATGTTTTGAAGATAAACTCTATCATCATCCCCAGTTTGCCGATCGGGAAACTGTGGCATAGCAGGCTTAAACAGCTGGCCCCGACATACTGTTAGTAAGTGACAAGCAGCTCTGGAACTCTGCTGCTCACTGCTACATTATACTGTCCGTTTGTCTTCTGGAATTTACATTTTCTTTTTCTTCTTTTTTTTTGAGATGGAGTCTTGCTCTGTCACCCAAGCTGGAGTGCAGTGGCATGACCTCCTTTGCTGCAGCCTCCACCTCCCAGGTTTAAGCGATTCTCCCGCCTCAGCCTCCTGAGTAGCTGGGACTATAGGCAAGCACCGCCACACCCAGCTAATTTTTGTATTTTTAGTAGAGTCAAGGTTTTATCATGTTGGTCAGGCTGTTCTCGAACTGCTGACCTTAAGTGATATGCCCGCCTTGGGCTTCCAAAATGCTGGGGTTACAGGCAGAGAAGTCACTAGAAAAAGGCTCAGGGAAGGAGAGATGGGGGTGTTGTGCAGCACAGAGGGTGAGGGGGGTGTGAGGCTGGGTTAGTAGCAAGGTAAGGAGTTTGCATTGTTTGCATTTTAGTGTGGGAGTTATGAGAAGCCATTAGGGTTTAAGGCAGGGGAATGCTACCTCTGATTTCGGTTTTTTAAAAGATGATTTTGATGGCCGTGTAGTGAAACGGTTAAAGTGGGGACCAGAAAGAAGGCAGGCGGCCAATGAGGTGCTATTGAAGGAGTCACCCTTCTCAGAAGAGCTTAGAAGCCAAGAAACCTTGTGACTTTATTCTCATAGATGTTTTCATTTTTTTCTTGTTTTCTAGGGTTCAAATTTTTTGAAATACAAGAGCAGTGATGTAGTGAAAAGGCCTCTCGTTCCTATCCCCTGGCCACTCTTTTTTGGTCCTCCCACTACCAGTTGGTGTTCTCTATTATTTCCTCCCCATCCTATGGGGAGTTTCAAATATAGGATACATGGGTTGCATATCCCTTCTGCGAAATGCTTGGGACCAGAAGTGTTTCAGATTTTGGATTTTTCTGGATTTGGGAATATTTGCGTATACATAATGAGAAAGCTTGAGAGTAGAGCCCAAGTCAACATGAGATTCATTTTCAGTTTATGTACACCTGATACACCTAGCCTGAATTAATTCTATACAATATTTTAAAAATAATTTTGTGCATTAAACAAAGTTTGTGTTAAGTACTTACATGTGGAATTTTCTACTTGTGGCGTCGTGACGGCACTCAAAAAATTTTGAGTTTTGGGGCATTTTGGAGTTTTGGATTCGAGATGCTCAACCGGACGTATTCTTTATCTGACTTACTGCACGTAAGGTAGCATATCAGAATCCTCCTTCACTGTGCCTTGATTTTACAATATCTTAACATTTTATGTCAGTACATTGTTTCGTGGCTGTAGAGTATTCCACTGTATGATAGTAGCCATTAAAAATTGTGGTATTTAAGAAGCTCATTTAAAAGTTACTTTACTACAAGACTGGAATATGTATGCACATCTGTGTCAGTGAGCAGAACACTTTGGTGACCCTGGGATTCCAAAAGTGTTTATACAAAAGAAAGGTATGACCCAGGGAGACGCCCTGCTGTTGACGTGCTTATGGCAGCGTGAGTAGACACCTGCCTGGTGCTATTCAGGACATTATTTCGAACCCGGACAAGACTGAGAAAAGTTAATGGGAGTACACACCATGTTTTCATTGTTCAGAACCATGGAGAGTTTTTTTTTTTTAATACAGTTCTTTTGAAACTACTTTTTATTTTTAATTCAATGTAGGCATAACAGAATATTTTTCTCTTGTAGCCAACCTCCATGAGAGCTATCCGTGCCAGATATGACCCTTTCCTGCAGACAAGACACCGAATAGAACAGGTACATTTTTTAAAGACATTAAAAAAAAAAAATTAGTTGTTTATACTTAGTAAGAAGGCAATGTTGCTTGATTCAAATTGAACCTGAAATAAGAATGAAAACGGTGTTTTTCCCTTTTGTAAGTTTTCAATATCTATGTAAGGGAGGGAGAATTTGCCTTGCCTAGCAAGGTCAAAACACTGCTTTCTTTAAAGACTGTATTTATTGTTTAAGGGTTTTATATTATCTAAGTTTTTCTGAATTTGTAGAAAGTCATTTGTATTATGAAGTGTGTGGAATGAAGATGTATGAAAGTTCTTAGACAATAGGTAGACGTGTTGACTTTTAACTTCCAAAGTTCAGATTAAGAAGTATTTTGACTGGCCAGGTGGAATGGCTCATGCCTATAATCCCAACACTTTGGAAGGCTGAGGCAGCAGATTGCTTGCACCCAAGAGTTTGAGACCAGCCTGGGCAGCATGGCAAAGTCCAGTCTACAAAAAATACCAAAATTAGTGTGGCATGGTGGTGTGCATCTGAAGTCTTAGCTACTTGGGAGGCTGCGGCTGAGGTGGGAGGATCCCTTGAGCCCAGAGGGTTAAGGCTGCAGTGAGCCGTGGTCATACCACTGCACTTCAGCCTGAGTAACAGAGCAAGAACCTGTCTCAGAAAGAAGTATTATGACAGATTTGTTGGGTAGAAATGGAAGTTGCCTGCAAAGGGGTACAAGGAATTTGTGGGAGTTATGGCATTGTTCTATATCATGATCATGGTGGTGGTTGGTTACATAACTCTATCAACTCTCATCCATTGTACACTTAAAGTTAGTGGATTTTATTGTATTTAAATTATACCTCAGTATAGCTGACTAAAAACAAGTAGTATGTACATGACCTTGCACTATTCAAGAAATCTGAACATTAATACAGATTTTCTTTATTTACAAGTTTATTTTAAACTTGTCCAAGTTAAAAAAATGTGAAGCACTGTCCTCATAGTTGTAACAGTAATGTATAGTAGGCACGTCAGGTCTAACGTCGATAGTAATACATACCATCTGGGTAAGCTGTCTTTAGTTTTATTTATTGGCTTGTTGATAAATACTGTTCAGTTTTAATTTCCACTTTGCTGTTTCCCAAGCATATAAGGAGCAGGATTGCCAGTGACAGGAGAGGGCCCCACCTAGGGGAGCCCACATTTTTCCAAAAAGTGGGTTCTAAACTGACCTTTGCTTCAATTTCTTCTTGAGCTATGATATTTAATTTATTTGAAATCTAAAACAATGTTTCAATTGAGCATGAAATGTGTATGTTTACCAAAAAAGGAGCAAAGCTTATAAGATTTAGACACTGACATCGAGCAGTGATTCTTTCCTTAGCTATAAATGCTCTAGAATTACCTGAGTAACTTCTCCAAAATGTGTCAGATCGTCACCTCTTGAGGTTCTGATTCAGTCTGCTTTAAGGCCCTAGCAAGACATTTCAAAAAGCTACCAGGGTAATTTTGATGAGTGTCCCTTGTAAACAACCATAGATCTAGAAATGCAGTATTCTTTTAGTGTTGCTATACACACAGGCATATCTATAGTTTTGCTCTATAAATTATTTGCCATTTTCAGAATTACTGTTAATTTCAATACCTATTTTTAAAAATTAGAATTTTGGCTTATTGTAGTCAACAAAATGAAAAATTTGTATCATTCTGTCCCCTAGTAGAGGAGACCTAATATTTCTTTTCTTTTTTTTTTTGAAACAGAGTTTCATTCTTGTTACTTAGGTTGGCGTGAGGTGGCACAGTCTCGGGTCACTGCAACCTCCGCCTCCCAGTCCTGCTTCTGCCTCTGGAGTAGGTGGGATTATAGGCACCCCCCCCACCACACCTGGCTAATTTTTGTATTTTTAGTAGAGATGGGGTTTCATCATGTTGGCCAGGTTGGTCTCAAACTCCTGACCTCAGATGATCCACCCTCCTTGGGCTCCCAGTTGCTGGGATTACAGATCTGAGCCACTGCACGGGCCCTAATATTTCATTTTTAATCAATCAGACTTTCACTTTTTTCGGAAAGCAGACATGAGATGTGTGCCCAGAATCATTTATTTATTTTAGACTGCTGTCTTGGTTTTTCTTTCTATTCTTTTTTCTTCTGTCGTAGCAAGTCTTTATTATGTTACATACTCATTCATGTATCGTTGTTGACCATAAATGCTGCCTTTTTGTCTCCTCGGCTTACCACCAAGTCTGGCACAAAATAAATGATCAATAAATACTTATTATTTTGCATATTGTATTATATTTGTCTTTACTGCTTTCCAGTTTCTATTCTTCATGTTTTAAATTTCCACTTTGTGAGTAATCGAGTTAAGCCTCTTGCTCATTGTTTTATAGTCTCATTAGCTCTCTTTGAGTTATTCTCACCTTTTCTCTTTCAGACTTGAGCCTATTTTTTATCCACAGAACTTGCTAAATGTGTTTCATTGTTTGATTTTTAAACTGTACTGATGAAAACAGTGCAAAATAAGAGATCTGCAATGCCTTCTTAGAGTGGTTGTGTATGCTTATATCATTCTAATGCTAATGAATTTGTCTTTCAGTTAAAACAACTTGGTCACAGTGTGGATAAAGTGGAGTTTATTGTGATGGGTGGAACGTTTATGGCCCTTCCAGAAGAATACAGAGATTATTTTATTCGAAATTTACATGATGCCTTATCAGGACATACTTCCAACAATATTTACGAGGCAGTCAAGTAAGAAATTCTTATTTTATGATAGTCTCCAAAGTGGTTGTCAGTTTACGCTTCTCGCAGCAGCCCGTGAGGATGCCCTCTGCAGCCACATGCTTACTCCTCATGGTCTTTCTCATTTCATGGGAAAGGATTATTTTCACTGAAATAATCCTTTTAAAGAAAAAATGAATATAGTTTGTTGACATAGTAGTGTTCTCAAATAGATTTACCAAAAAGGGGCCGTGAAGGTTTTTTCAGCTCACCCAACAAGGGGACTGGGAGTACTCTTTATTTGAAACATTTAGCTGCTGTAAAATCAGCAAAACAAGGTGCTGTTATTTAAAAACTTAATTTAGAGAAACTATGATTTCATAATTATTAAATAATATCTGTTTGTGTCCAATGTCAAGGTGCTGGCATCTGGCAAAGGCCTTCTTATTACATCATCATGTGGCAAAAGGCAGGGAAGCAAAAAGCAGACACATGTGCCCTTTTATAATTCATGAATCTCACCCACAGGTCAGCGCCCTTATGGCCTGATCGCCTTCAACGGTCTCACCTATTAATACTGTTAAACTGACAATTTCAGCATGAGTTTTGGAGGGGACGAACTCATGTTTGTCAAATCAGGTGCCAGTCAAACCACAACAAGTTTATTTACTCATTCTGAATTCTAGTTGACAAAGTTATGCATTATTTTGACCCGTTGCTTTTAGCAGGAAGAAAACTACAGTTTTGTATGTAGTTCAGTGGTTTAAGAAGTGAAAGTCTTAAAATAGTTTTTGTTTTCAAGAGTTGTAGGAACACCTAGATAGTTATATTTTCCTTATTTACCAAATCCTTCTTGAGGACCTGCTAGATGCTATGTACTGTTTTAGATACTGGAAAGTGGTGATATTCAGGCTGAGACCTGAAGTACAAGGATGGGTTAGGCCAACAGCAGAAAGGATAAGATAAAGGCCCTGAACTGGGAAACAGCTTGGGGTATTCTAGGGACAGAGGAACCAGCATGGTTAGAGCCTATGTTAATCCATTTGTGTCACTATAAAGGAATACCTAAGATTGGGTAATTTAAAAAGAAACAAGGTTTAATTGGCTCCAGTTCTGCAGGCTTCACATGAAGCATAGTGCTGCCATCTGCTTCTGAGGCCTCAGGAAGCTTCCAATCATGGTTAGAAGGTGAAGGAGGAGCCAGTACATCACATGCCAGGTGTGGGGAGGTGCTACACTCTCTTAGACAACCAGATCTCACGTGAAACAACCGAGTAGAACTCACTCATCACCGAGGGCATGGTGGTAAGCCATTTATTTTTGAGGAATCCAGCCCCAGGACCCAAACATCTCCCACCAGGCCACACCTCCAACATTGGGGATGACATTTCAACATGAGATACAGAGACGACAACACCCAAAGTATGTCAGATCCCAGTGAACAAGAGAAAGAATGTCATGCGATGGGGTTGAAGTGTGAGGTAAGGGCCAAGTAACACATGCTTTCGAGGAGTTGAAGTTTTATTTGAAATGCAGTAGGAAGTAGGTGACTGGGAAGTGGCATTTCTGGTTGACAGGAAGGCTCAATCTGGCTACTGTCTGGCTAATGGATTAGAGGAGTATAAGGATAAAAGTGAGAAACCAGATAGGAGGCCATATGATTCTCTCCATCCCTGCTCAGATGAGGGTGGCAGCAATGGTGATGGAGAGGAGATCGAGATAGGGGGTGAGAGAGAGGAAGGCATCAAGCCTAACGCTAAGTTTCTGGCTGTCAGAAATGGTGGGAAGGTAGGGTAGGGCTGTATACTGAGGTAGAAAATTCAGTGGGAACAGCAGAGACAATCTCAGTGGGAGGAAATCAGGAGTTCTGTTTTGGGTGTGTGAAGTTTGAAGTGCCTGTGATACATTCTGGTGGAGATGTCAGTGGCCTTTGAATACAAGAGAAGTCTGAGCTGATGGTAAAAACAGGATTACCAGCTCTCAGGTAAGATTGCCAGCCCTGTAAATGGAGGAGGCCACCTCATGGGAGAGTTTTGGATCTGCAAGGTTTACTAAGTGAAAAGCAGTATTTAGAGAAATTCTTATAGTAGGATCTCATTATTTGTGTGTTCCTGCGCGCGTGCGCGCATGCACACACACACACACACACACACACACACACATATCTGTATAAATGCATAGAAAAGGTGGTAGAATAATGGTCACCATAGACCTCAGCTGAGGAGGAAGGGACATGGGGAGTGGGAGCGAAGGAGGAGGTTTACATTTGCTCCACATACAGTGGGCCAGGTGTTGTCATGGGTGTTTAATATTCACTTCTTTAATATTCATAGTAAGCCTTGAGTTAAGTGTTCAGATTATCCCTGTTTTACAGGTGAGGAGGCTGAGGCACAGGGAGATGAAGCAATTTGCTCCAAGTTGCCGAGGTGGTTGGTAGTAGAGTGTGATATGAATCCCAGGTGGCTTTGCTTTCAGAGCCTAACTTTGTAATCTGTGTTGGGTATCAAAATATGAGTGTGTCTGCATGTGTGTGCAGATATCAGAGCTTGAAGATATTGGGAGGAATGTGGCCTCTTTTTCCTTGCTTCCCTTCCCTACCACCTTCAGGCCTTTCTCTGGCTTCCCTTTTATATGGGGTGGGGTTTTATATAGCTAATTATAGGGTGGTTCAACTAGTGCCACCTCTTAAGATTTTTTTTGTAGGACCAAATTTTGAGTAGACCTAAGGGTGGTTTTTATTACACTGTAATTAAAGTACTTTTGGTGCATAGTAAGCACAAGTCAATATGTGAATTAATTTTGAATGAATGGTCAGTTAGCTAATGACCTGGGTAGGGCTGCCTCTCCAAATTGGGGACAATCACAGCTTTTTATGCACTCCCTACTCCCCAATCCCCCTAACTTCCTTTGTTCTCCTCGGGTTTGTAAAATTGAAAAGAGGAGCTTTTTCATGAAGTTTGATACCAAGGGTAGCTGAAAGAGCCTATGTGAAAGGTTCGCAGCCGGGAGAGTTTGTGTGGACAGCAACCCTCTTCTGTTTGATTGACTCTGGGGACTGTAACAGGTGAATTCTGTGTCTGTGAACCTGGACTTGTAGCATTGTGGTCTTTCCTCCTGCAGGGGCTTTAGTAGCAGATGAGATGGTGACTGTATTGTTACTGCTCATTCAAAAGTGATCAAGAGGCCAGGTGTAGTGGCTCACGCCTGTAATCCAAGCACTTTGGGAGGCAGAGGCAGGCAATCGCTTGAGGGCAGGAGTTGGAGACCAGCCTGGCCAACATGACGAAACTTCATCTTTACTAAAAATATAAAAATTAGCTGGGCATGGAGGCTGGCACCTGTAGTCCCAGGTGGAGGCTACTTGGGAGGCCGAGGCACAAGAAACACTTGAACCCAGGAGACAGAAGTTGCAGTGAGCCAAGATTGCACTACTGCACTCCAGCCTGGCTGACAGAATGAGACTCTGTCTCAAAAAAAATTGATCATTAATATGAATCATCCTTAGTAAATGCTGAAATCTTCAAACGTTTGAGGAGTAATAATATCATCCAACTAATTACTCTTAATACTGAAAAATCGAACTATCCCTTGGATAAAATGTGATGGAGGAAAAACAGAGGAATGGCAGCAGAACATTCTGTTAGAGGGTTGCTGACCACAATTCATTCAGCTTTAAAAATTCCCTGGTGGGGGCATCTATCAATATAAGTTTTTCTGTGCGAGCTCATATACTTCTATGCTCCTCTCTTGGTGCAGCTATTCTTATGTTGAAGACCTTACATGTTAAGTGGAATTGAGCTGTAAATGTCTTAGACTTCCCTCTCTTCCCCCATTAAAAATTTGCCACAAAGCTTGTCATAGCCTACAGTTTCCTGGGGTATAGGAAGCAGGCCAACTGGGGTCTGCATAGTGAATTTTTAGGGTGTGTCTAGTTTGACATTTTCATCGGTTGAAACTAAAAATTGTGCTCTAATCTTGGTGTAATGTTTTGTTTTTGCAAAAATGTTCTGGTGCCTAGTGGTGTTGGAATGTAAGTTGTCTGTCACTGGGTCGAAAATGGGGTTGTCTAGTACAGCAGATCATGATGTGTTCGTAGAAAACGCCCTGTGCGTGAGAGAGCATCTTTCAGTCAGAGACAAGGCCGGGCCTGTGTTGTTTTGTTTCTGTTCTTGAATTTGCCTCAAGAGGGCAACAAACACCTTATTTTCAGTTAAAATTTATCCGTGATTTGGGTCTTCATTGCAACACATCTCCTGAAGGCTCTTGAGAAGCAGTAAAAGTGCAATCTGGGGGCCACAAAGCCGTCCATAAATTCTGCTGGGTCTGCCCATGCACACTCAAAATGTTTTGTTCTTTTCTCTCAGTCTCTATACTTTTATGAGATCATCTGAAAAAAAGAAAAGACCCAGTTTGTGGCATATTGTTGCTTTGTTGAGGAAAAGTTTTACTACAAACTCCTCATAATAGAGTTGGTATTTGTTTTGAGGGAACCTTTGTATTGGAAGAAATTATAGTCTAGTTTGTGCTACAGAACTAGAGGCAGAAAGTATTTTCAAATGTTGGCATCGTTGTGAAATGAAAAGCAGCCTAGAGAAATTGTGGTTTTGATATAACGTGTCCCTTGGACATGTCTGGACTTTCCCTTGCCCTTCTCTCTCACCTTGCGCGGAGCGTATGTGTGAAAACGGGCTGGTTTGTGCAGCGCAGCCCACCCCTCTTAGATGTAAGGTGACATGTGTATTTTACTTTTGTTTTTGCTTGCGAACTGCATAGGTGTAACTGACTTTCATTAGCTTAGCAGGGATTTTTTTCAAGATTAATTTTAAATAAGGTTAAAAATGATATATTGTGACCCATGAGTCAGCAAGCAGTGTCGAAGGTTAATGGTCTGTTTACGTTATGGTCAAGTTTTACTGCTGTGTTAGCTCAGGTGTCCTACCTGATTAAAGTTTTGCTTCTTAAAAGAGTAGGAGTTAGGGTAAAGAAAAGCCCCAGCAAGCAGAGCCTGGTTATTGTGTGTGACAAGCTAG